TTTTTTAGAAGCGATGTATTCCTGGGGACAGTATCTCTCTTTGAAGGCATGGGTGTGGCACACAGCTGAGGCTTATAGGGTGGTAGAACAGGGGTCCCCCAACCTTTTTGGGTCCCAGGGACACATTGGAAATGTAAGGAACTGTTATCATCGCCACAACATACCCATTTGAAAAACTGGCCACCCTCGGAACGCCCCACAAACGAGCCAAAAGCCTGCACATATCCCAAAGCAAATTTAAGTAACAGACTCTCTGAAAGACGCCAAAGGCCCCTAATCTAAAATATAAGCCGAAGCTTCTCCTTTTGGTTACCCCAGAGGAGAGGGAAGAGGGAGAACAAAAAGCCAGTTAATACCGTATTTTTCCATGTATAAGACTAGGTTTTTTCCCTAAAAAAGAATGTCAAAAATTAGGGGGCGTCTTATACACAGATGGTGTTGAGAGTTGGCTGGCTATTGGTTGCTGCCGCAAATATAGGGGGCGTCTTATAGATGGAAAAATGCGGTGATTGGGTTCCTAATCCATGGTTTAAGTTACATGTGAACCTTCTTAGAATCTTCTAAATTCATTTCGTATTTAAAAATGTATTTATATGGGGGGGTTTAAAAAAATATTGCCAGTCATTTTGAAGGGTAATGTGATTTTAGCTGTAATGTTCTCATTAATTTGTCCCTGGTGTTTGAGTAATGCAGTATTAGAGGCACAGGAATTGCAATCTGTTGCGAGATCAGATGCTTTATTTTGTAATATTGCTTCAGTAATGGGATTATGGGTCAGACAGAAAAATGGAAAAATACTACATCTAGTTTCATGCTATTTCCATTTCCTTCTTGAATTTAATTAAACAAAGATTTTTATGTCTGACAGTTAATATGGTTTAACACAAGTGCACCAGTTACGTTTTGGGGTGGCAGAGTTTTGAAGGTGCAAGGGCACCCATAATTCTTGGATTTAGTAAAAGTTAGAATAAATCAAGGTTTGATTAAACTGGGCTGAACACAGAAGTACCCTGAATTTTGCACCCACAAAACTCTGGCACCCCAACACTTCCCAGGTGTACTTGCCATCGCATTCATTTGATCTTTGCAAAATGAAAATGACTGGCTTAAGAAATTGAAATATAGGCTGTTGCCATGTTTGTTTACAATATTTGTATAACATAGTGTTTCTCGAAGCAGCTCACAATAATAAGATGAGATTTATAGGCAGATTATGTTGCCCACGCAAGAACAGATCCGGAATACCATCTGCTGCTGTTGTGCTGTGATAGTGCATGGCTCATGGCTCTGTTCTCTTGCAAAGTTGTGATACTGGTGGGCAAATAATAATAATAATAATAATAATAATAATAATAATAATACTGGGCAGCAGTGTTTTCCAGATTCTTCTCCTCAGTCTATCACTTGTAGCTTTATTACCGTGATAAGGTATTGATTAAACCAGTGTTTCCCAACCTTGGGCCTCCAGCTGTTTTTGGACTACAACTCCCATCATCCCTAGCTAGCAAGACCAGTGGTCAGGGATGATGGGAATTGTAGTTCAAAAACAGCTGGAGGCCCAAGGTTGGGAAACACTGGATTAAACCATTGGCTTCCATCAAAACAAAGCAGGAAGCAACAACCAAAAGCTGCAGCAGTGCAGAGCTAATCAACCATTAGGGTTGAAGCAACAACGCCAGCTACAGAATACTGTAGTGCACTACAAGGCTCGCCATAGTATCCCTGCACTTTTGCACACATTTAAGCAGGGAAACTTTCCCACGTTAACAATGTGATTTGTTTGAGCATCTGCACTTAACCAATGACTCAGTCTTATATGTGCTCCGAGACATAATTGAGATCCTGGGCAGCTACAGTTGTCAAGCCCTAACTTAGGCTCACCGGTGTCTAAATTGAGTTAAATGTACAACTCTCTAACTAGGGAGTGGTTCTTTATTTACCAGAATGCCATTACAGCGTAAATGGTATCATGGCCCATAAACACAGAGAGGCAGCAGTTGCCTTGGGGTAAGAGGAAGCTACCTCCCAGGTGCCCATAAGCAAACCTGAGGAATAGCTTTGACTCAAACAAGCAATACTTGAATCAACATACAGTGGTACCCCGCAAGACGAATGCCTCGCAAGACGGAAAACCCGCAAGACGAAAGGGTTTTCTGTTTTGGAGGCGCTTCGCAAGACGAATTTCCCTATGGGCTTGCTTCGTAAGACAAAAGCCCATAGGGAAATCTCCGGGGACCTGTTTTAAATTGCTGGCGGTCGGGAGCAAAGACTTTCGCCCACAGCCGGCCTTCAGAAGAGGTCCTGGACCTCTTCTGAAGGCCGGCGGGGGGCAAAAGTCTTTGCTCCCCCCCGCCTGCCTTCCCGGGACAGCGGAGACTTCTCCGCTGCCCCGGGCGATCTTAAAATGCTGGCGGGCGGGAGCGAACGCTTCGCTCCCGACCCCCAGCATTTTAAAATCTTTGGGCGAGTGTCTGCAAGCCTCGCGCGCCTGGCAGGAGGTCCTGCCGGGTGCGCGAGGCTTGGGGCGGCAGCCTGTCGTCCGAAGCACGGGGAGCCCTCCGGAGGGCTTCCCCTGCTTCGGGCGAGTGTCTGCAAGCCTCGCGCACCCGGCAGGAGGTCCCGCCGGGTGCGCGAGGCTTGGGGCGGCAGCCTGTCACTCGAAGCACGGGGAGCCCTCCGGAGGGCTTCCCCTGCTTCGGGCGAGTGTCTGCAAGCCTCACGCACCCGGCAGGAGGTCCCACCGGGTGCGCGAGGCTTGGGGCGGCAGCCTGTCACTCGAAGCACGGGGAGCCCTCCGGAGGGCTTCCCCTGCTTCGGGCGAGTGTCTGCAAGCCTCGCGCACCCGGCAGGAGGTCCCACCGGGTGCGCGAGGCTTGGGGCGGCAGCCTGTCGCCCGAAGCACGGGGAGCCCTCCGGAGGGCTTCCCCTGCTTCGGGCGAGTGTCTGCAAGCCTCGCGCACCCGGCAGGAGGTCCCGCCGGGTGCGCGAGGCTTGGGGCGGCAGCCTGTCACTCGAAGCACGGGGAGCCCTCCGGAGGGCTTCCCCTGCTTCGGGGCGAGTGTCTGCAAGCCTCGCGCACCCGGCAGGAGGTCCCACCGGGTGCGCGAGCTTGGGGCGGCAGCCTGTCGCCCGAAGCACGGGGAGCCCTCCGGAGGGCTTCCCCCTGCTTCGGGCGAGTGTCAGCAAGCCTCGCGCGCCCGGCAGGAGGTCCTGCCGGGTGCGCGAGGCTTGGGGCAGCTGCCTGTCGCCCGAAGCACGGGGAGCCCTTCGGAGGGCTTCCCCTGCTTCGGGCGAGTGTCAGCAAGCCTCGCGCACACCGGCAGGAGGTCCCACCGGGTGCGCGAGGCTTGGGGCGGCAGCCTGTCGCCCGAAGCACGGGGAGCCCTCCGGAGGGCTTCCCCTGCTTCGGGCGAGTGTCAGCAAGCCTCGCGCGCCCGGCAGGAGGTCCTGCCGGGTGCGCGAGGCTTGGGGCGGCAGCCTGTCGCCCGAAGCACGGGGAGCCCTTCGGAGAGCTCCCCTTGCTTTGGGCGAGAAGTCTCTGCTGCCCCGGGCGATCTTAAAATGTTGGCGGGCGGGAGCGAAGCGTTCGCTCCCGCCCCCAGCATTTTAAAATCTCCCCGGGAGAGCAGAGACTTCGCTCCCGCCCGCCAGCATTTTAAAATCGCCCCGGGACAGCAGGGGCTTTTAAAATGCTGGCGGTCGGCAGCAAAGCCCTCCTGTCCCCGGAGCTTGCGGGGCGGGAGGTGGGAAGAAGGGCTTTTTTTCCCACCGCCAGCCTTCAGAACAGCCTTCTGAAGGCTGGCAGTGGGAAAAAAGCCCTTCTTCCCCCCCCCCCCCAGCCTTCAGAAGAGGTCGGGGGACAGACTGTCCCCGGACCTGGTCTGAAGGTGGTTTCCCTAGGAACGCATTAATTGATTTTCAATGCATTCCTATGGGAAACCGTGCATCGCAAGACGAAAAACTCGCAAGAAGAAAAAACTTGCGGAACGAATTAATTTCGTCTTGCGAGGCACCACTGTATTTGCCCAGTCCTCCCATCTTTGCCCCACCTTGTCATTAGCCAAGCCATCTGTTCGATACTGACTGATATCACTATTTAAATATTAAGAACAATGAGCCTTGTGGCAGCTTCCAGACTGACAAATTTATCATGGCATAAGCTTTCACGGACTGCATTCCATTTCGGCAGACGCAATGCTGTCTGTGAATCCACACAATGGATTTTTATCAAACCACAGGTGTAAATTGTCTTACCAATGCCAGGATGTCTGTGTTCTAATTACTGTTTTTCTGTGATAGGCCATTGCTAATAAGGTTACGGTCACAGCCTGTACTTTTCTGAATTTCATTTCCTTCTGACCTTGCTGTTTACCCCTTCCCCCAATGTATATATGCACCTGCAACTCAGGATGAAATGGCCTTTAGTCGACAAAACCTAATGCACTAGCCTACTAAGATGCCACAATATTCTTCTTGCTTTTGCTGCAAGAGACTAATATGGCTACCCCTCTGGAAATTTAAATAATAAATTAGTTGCAACTCCCCCTTCCATACTCTGATGCTTAGTATCTGTTGCAGGTAATATTCCTTCAGCAACAAAAATAATAATTCTACTGTCAAACCCACAGTGTTGCAGCATACTGGTTGGTGCATATAATCCTGCTTTCCCCCCTTCTAAATATTAGTCTGGTCCTGACACCCAGGTGTGAATCTTTAAAACTTGAAGCCAGATATTTTAATGCTTTCCATTTTGCTTTTGCAGTGCAGGGCCTTCAGTTTTAATGCCTCCAGCCTTGTTTTTGATATATAGCGCCTTTCTCGGCGTTAAGTGGAAGGCACACATTGAAATTCCAAGCACAACGTTTGCTTAGACTTTTGACTGCTCTTTGGCCTCATTCTTCCTTGGCAAGTGCTTAACTAACTGCCTTTCCGTTCACCCAAGGGTGCTCAGAGGTGCAGTGTTGATAAGCTCCTGTGTGCATTTGTCTCGTTCTCTGCAGACAAGAAAAAAGCAAGCAAATTCCAGCCTTTTAAGAAGTTTTTTGGTAGGAGGAAAAAACGGGAGGCGACCCCAGACCAAGAGGACACCAAGCTGAAACCAAGCAGTTCCTTTGGAAATGTCTGCAATGGACTGTCTTCTGATGAAGAGACAAACAGCGGTCTGAGGTAATGAAACTTATGTATTTTGCCACTGCTGCTGCACCTTTTGTCCTGAGCCTGCCTGGAAGAAAAATGATAGCTATACTGAGAATTCTTATTTGAATCAAGCACGGCCGTTTTGCATTTTGTCAGCTATTACTTCAGTGCAGTTCTTTTGGAGTAAGTGCTTCTGTAATTTGATGACTCCCAAGGGACTGATTTCAGGATTGCAGTTTTTGCATCCCTGCATGCTAAACACTGAATATTATAAGGTGTTTGTTAAAATATTACTATAAAATTAACTGGCAGCCCTATAGCTATATAGGTGTTTTACAAAAGATAAACTTGGAGATAGCTCCTCTCCCCCTACACTCACAGCAGGCACTTCATGCATGAAACCATTTAGACATTTATACACTGTCTTAAATAAATACATAAATGTTCAGAACTTACATGAGGAAAGAAATTGTAAGTAATGATGGGTGAGTTTCTCCCCTTACTCTTGCTCAATTTGAAATGAGCTCAGGTAGAACAATTTATTCCCATCCCTGAAACGGGAAGGAAATCATTCTGTTTTCAAACTCATTCTGAATCTCAGCTCCTTTGCACCTCAGATGTGCAGCAGAATAGGCTTCTTCTGTTGCCACCTTCCTCCATTAGAGATGGGTGGATCTGTACATTTTTATTCTCTTGGGTTCTATTTTTTTCCAATCTTAAATGCAATTCTCAACATTTCTGCAGCAATTTGTGATTTATTTTATTTGAAAAGTCCTCATGAAAATTATTCAACATTTTAAGCGTGAACCCCCACCCCCCATAAACACATTTTAGTATGTCGTTTGGGCTAATGTAGACATTATTGCAAGCAATGTAAGCCTAATACAATGCATTTTTGTATGACATTTTCACTGATACATTCATTTAAATGCACATTTCCCCCCAATATATGCATTCTTGTCAGCATTTAGTTGGATAACTGCATTGCAAAATCCAGATAAGTGTGAATTTCAAAGGATGCCTGAGTTTCTGTTCTCATATTGTTTAGGAAAGTGTTGATTTGATTTGGGTTTCAAAGCAAACTGAATCGATTTTCTCCCCCCCTATTCTCTGCCACAGCCCACTTCACTTTCTTATTTGTCCACAGGGTCAGCGGTGGTGGACAGAGCACCAGTTTAGCAATGTTTAAGTACTAGGAACCTGAACTTTCCAGGTCTCCTGACATTCCTAGTGTGGTGTCAAAAGTAATGGGAACTGGGCTTCCAAGGGTTCCTGGAACATTGGATCTAACAGAGCCCTTCTGGTTCCTGATGCCACCAATATCAAATAAATTCAGATGGTGTAAAGCAGTGTTCCCCAACCTTGGGCCTCCAGCTGTTTTTGGACTACAACTCCCATCATCCCTCGCTAGCAAGACCAGTGGTCAAGGATGATGGGAATTGTAGTCCAAAAACAGCTGGAGGCCCAAGGTTGGGGAACACTGGTGTAAAGAAGTAGGTTGAGAAGGCTGAGAAAGTGGCTTAACTGAGCAGGCCCAAACTTTGGAGGATCTGGGGTCTGAATTGGAATTAATTCAGTGGTTTCCATACTGAGGAATGTTTGTTTCAGATCTCTTAGTTACAGAGGATTTAGGCATGTAAATTTAGACATTCTTTTTTTATTATTATTAAAAACAAGGGTACTTGATGCTTAACTTTGAAGTGACTGGCTGCCAAATCTGCTTGTGGGAACTCTCAGCTTGATACATCCACCATGTTGACTGGGAGCCATACAAAGCCCGTTGCGTCTGTGAATTCAAAATTAATAATCTAAATTTAAATTCTTTAAATTTGTTAAAGAAATATTTAACAAATTGCTTTTGTCCTTATATTGAAGTATAATATTAAGCCCAATACTGTACATGCTATTTATCTGGAGCTGCACATTTCCCCTTTCTTGCCTTTCTTCTCATTATATAGTTCTATTTGGCACTCAGGTGCTTTTAATTATTTGTCACAATTGTATTCTGCTTTTCTGAGTGCAGCATGTCTGAAACATCTCTCTCTTTACGCTCCCAGCAATCTTGTGAGATAGGTTAGGGAGAAGAACTTGACACTTGACCACCAAATGAGGCTCATGGCTCAGAGGGGATTCACATTCAGATCTATGCAGTCCAAGTCTAACACTCTAATCCAATGGGGAGGAGTCTGTGGCCCTCCCTGATGTTATTGGACTCCACTTCCATCAGCCCCAGCCATAATGATCAAGGATGATAGAAACTGGAGTCCAACAACATCTGGAAGATGTTCTCCATCCTGGCTCTAATCAGTTATATCTCAGAGGGGTTGGACATATCTGCAATAATCCAGATATGAGCTGACTCCAATCTTGCCTCTGAAAATACAAAAGAGATTATAAACACATTTTTTTTCTGCAGGCAAGTATCTTATTTTCTCAAAGCTAGCATTTCTGGAAGGCGCTGATGCAGAATGTATGATATCATTAAAAAGTTACAGCCTTTTTTATCATAACATAAGATTTTGCATAAGGAAGGATATTTCCAACTGTGAAATTGGGTTGCATAAACTATTCCTCATCCCACAGTATGTTTGTAAAGGTTGAAGCTGCAATAAACAATCTCCAGCTGCTCTCTTGATCACTGATGCTGGGAAGTGATTCACCAGTTAGGCCAAGGTAGTCAATGATGGAACCAGCAAACGCGTAACTCAAATACTACAAGCATAGAAAATGGTGAAATTACAGGTGCAGCTTAACATGATTGAGAATACATTTTGGTGTTTATTTCTTGGAGTGCTTACTTCTTCCCTTTAGCATCTTGCATTGCATCGTTCTCATGGTAGTTAAGCCTCTTGCAGATAGTGCATGTTTCAGTTCTGGTGTGCATTGCAGGCCCAAGGCACAGCGGAGCCGTAGCTGGTGAGCCCCAGACTGCAATAAACACAGGATTTAAACAAGCCAAAACTGTAACAATTTCACAAGTTTTGGTGCAAGCATTGGGTGTGTATCGTGAATCAATCAACCCAACTGCTGGTTGATTATCTTGCCATGGTTAACTAAGGCATAACGGATCACCCTATGGAACACACCAAATCAGGGTGACCCTGCCTGAGATCACCTAGGTGGAGCTATGGCCTGTCAGGCCCCTTCTGGGCATGTGAACAGAAGCGCCTCCACCGTGGATGCTTTCAATGGGATACCCTGATTCCCTGGACTGTCAGGATTCCAACTGTGCCATCTAACCAGACTCAAGGATCCAACCCTAAGCCCTATCCACCACTCGAATTGGACCCTCCAAGCTCTAACTGAGAGAAATGCCAGGACGCAGCTTACTTTTATGTCCAGAGAGCAGACAAGAGTGAAGCCAGAGAGCAAGGGTTGCACTCAGTCCACTCACCAAGCCACACCCCCAAGCTCACCCGCGATTGGCTAGAATTGTGGGTGAGCTCTCAGAAATCATTGGGGTTCATAGGAGGAGGAAATGACGTCCTCCCAGTGTGGTGTAGTGGTTAAGAGCGGTAGACTCGTAATCTGGTGAACCGGGTTTGCATCTCTGCTCCTCCACATGCAGCTGTTGGGTGACCCTGGGCTAGTCACACTTCTCTGAAGTCTCTCAGCCCCACTCACCTCACAGAGTGTTTGTTGTGGGGGAGGAAGGGAAAGGAGAATGTTAGCCGCTTTGAGACTCCTTCGGGTAGTGATAAAGCGGGATATCAAATCCAAACTCTTCTTCTTCTTCTTCTCCCCTGGTTGCTCTGATCTTGGGTGGACGTTTGTTGTCACGACTCAGGCTGAACTGCAACTGTCGCCAGCCCACAGACAGAGGCAAGCGGCCATTCCACCACTGTAATTCACAGTCAAATTTCTGATAAAAACACCAATGTGAGCTCAGCCTTGGATGCAGTGATCGCAAGTATCTGAAGAGTCACTCACATGTATCATGGCAACTGTTGTCATAGTATTATCATGCCGTTTTAGTAAAAGGATTGTTCAGTGCACAGTAGGACCTTGCTCCAAGCAATGCTTTATTCATTGCCAGGATTTTTCTTTTAAAAAAAACCCAAACCCCAATAATTTGACACCCCAAAAGTGATATTATTTTGGAATTATTTTCTCTGGAGGGGGTAAAAACAAGAAGGCATATGGGTGCGAGCACACTGCAGAATGTTACTCTCATTCTTTTTCATTTTCTTGTTGCTATTTGCGAATGCCTCAATAAGGGAGTGGGAGGCAGGTTTCTACACTCCTAAAAATATGTGGCAGCTTGAGGTTTCCAAAAGATGATAATGGTCTTAGAATTGTGCAGGAGCACAGCAAGGACGCAATATAGATAAATCACTATACTTGGAAATATATTCCTGTCACTGTAGGTGAACCATAAACATACCCACATATAGAAATACCCGCCAGGATGTGTAGCGGATATAGCCATAAAGTATCATAAGAGGAAAGGACACAATCATAGAATCGTTGAAAGATTAAAGATGGAATGTATCTAGAATGTACTGGAGAATTAAATGTGTAGAAGAGCAAATGATTTATTTATTTATTGAATTGTCATCTTCTCTCAACTGGACACAAACAAACCACTGGGCTCAAAAAGTTCTTTCCCCGTTTCATGTTGAGTTTTTTTGGTTTTTTATTTGAGCAGTTTTTGTTTTGTTTTCTGTATTTTATTAATAGTTTTGAGTGTTATTTTATAAAAAACCGGCGGGTTACACATTTTAAAACAAATATTTATAACATTGGCCACCTGTGTATAGTATCATTGGTTGTTCAGAGACATAATACTCTCCAGACATTACCCCATGTAGTTTAAAAACTCATTAGGCCCTGCTGCCACCAGAGTTACCTGCTGGAATGGCGCCACAGATCTCTAATTAAACCGATAAAGTGAATTTTCCTATGTTATAACTGTACTTCTGGCCTCTAATAGTGCTCCTTACTTTTATGCAATACTTGCACACTAGATCAGTGTACTAGGGTTGCAGGCAGTAGGTCAGATGTTGATGTGTTTTCTTTACAAATAGATCAGGAAGCGCCACTATGAAGTCTATAATTGGAATTTGTGATCCAGATAAGTCACTTGTGGAACTGCACACACAACCAGGATTTTCTTTGACATCTCCACTGCTGCAAGAAAGGCAGCCGAAAAGGCAAGCCGCTTTTAAGCCAAATAGCGGATTGACTGTTTAGCTGTTTGAAGAACTGTGGAGAAAACTTCAAAGAAAGTTCTGGCACTGTCAGGCAATTCTCCACACACAGCTTTTTTGGGGGGGTGGGGGTGGGGAGGTAGGATGAAAGCTTATGCCTTAAAAAACTAGTTACTCTTTAAGGTGCCGCAATATTCTTTGTTGTTCTTGCTGCAACAGACTGTCATGGCTACCCCCTCTGGAATCTGATACGATATTAATAAATTATGTCTAAATTATTATCCCATCTGTTTTCAAACTGAGATTCTTTAGATGAAGATAAGGTTTCTAAAACGAAGTCCTCTTCTACATGCATGTATAGTGCAATATCATGTACTAAAATACGGTACATTGTGTTGTTTTTATTGACACATAGCATTTTATTCCCTTGTGTCTTGAATTCTCTGCAACTCTGAGTTATTCTCAACACTGGGTATGATCCTAGTGAAGTTTTGAGCACTTTTAAGGCTTGTTGATTCTAGTGGCAAAACCAGGCAAGTGCTTAAACCTCCCCTGCTGAAATAAGTAAGACATCAACATGTTTTGCATTGGCTTGATTATGCTCAATGACTGGTAGACTTCAGCAGTAAACATTTATTTAGTGTCTCAAGCAGAAACTGCCAAGCCTTATGAAGGTGTCCAGTGCTTCTTGTAGCTCTCAAAAATTGTGATAGCATGATGTACTGAACTATTTTAAAGCTTACTAGCCAAGTCCAGCTCAAGAGAGTTCTTAACTCTGCAGACGTGGCCTCTGCCTGGTACAACTAAATGCATTTTATATTATATATAATGCCTTGCTTCTGCTTTGATTTATATTTTTTGGGGGAAATGATTCAGTCAATTTGCATTTGTTCCAAAGGCTCTTATTAATGGTTTACTAAGTTTTCAAAGACAAAAGCTTTTCATATCGTAATTATATAACAGCAAGAAGAAATTTTCATCTCTCCTATAACTGGGAATTGGAAAGCCTTTGAAATCTTCATTCCCGTTGACTTTTGCTCTGTTTTGCTTCATAATTTCATTTCAAGGAAATCAAGCATTCAAAATACAAATGGTAAATTGCCCTTGATTATATATATTTTACCACTCATGTGGATTAATGTGTGACTAGTGGTGCAGGATAACATATGGCTGATTCATACATCCTATATACAGTCTCTTTGGGAATAAGTGGAGCCACTGTCGGCTGATGGGCAGGGCTCTGCTTGCTTTGAGCAACCATGTGTCTGCTCAGCTGCCATGAGTGTGGTGTAGTGGTTAAGAGGCCAGAACAGAACTCGTAATCTGGTGAACCGGGTTCGCTTCCCCGCTCCTCCACATGCAGCTGCTGGGTGACCTTGGGCTAGTCACACTTCTGTGAAGTCTCTCAGCCCCGCTCACCTCACGGAGTGTTTGTTGTGGGGGAGGAAGGGAAAGGAGAATGTTGGCCGCTCTGAGACTCCTTCAGGTAGTGATAAAGCGGGATATCAAATCCAAACTCTTCTTCAATGTCAGTAGATTGAACAATTCCACTGCCAGCACAGACATTGTGAGTGTAAAGGCATTGGACCATATTAACTGTCCATAAACTGATATTAGAATGAGTATACAATGGCATATGGAATGAATTTTGAGTGATCAAAGTCCAAATTAAAACTTTTTAATTCAAGAAAATGCCTCACTGATAGACTTGGACAAAACAAATTCAGGATTGACCTGAGCTTATTTATTAGTCTCTGTATTTGAAACTAAAGTCATAACTAACTGATATTCATCAATTTCAGTGGGTCTGCTCTGAGTATGATCTAGTAAGGTACCATCACATGTGCCTAAAAACTAGTATGTAGTACCGGTAATTCCTCGTATTTTTTGTGCCATGATTTGTATACTACAGACATATATCATGCTCATTGGCCCTTTTCATATTCACCAAATGGTACTTGTGGAAAATGTAAGCTGTGGAAGAAAAGTTGTGAATAGAATGCAAATTAAATATTTTACCTCCCCCCATGAACCTTCAAAACCAGTTAGGACATGGTTTTAAATACATACATACATTAATTTGGGGAAGCAGTGCAATGAAAAATGGCAGAGATGCTTTTACAAAATAAAATCCTCTATGTGTTGTGCTTCAGGTCTTCCAATCATAGTATGGGAACACGGGCCTTTTCCCATGAGAGTATTTTTATACCTGATGGGCGAACAGAGAGTGAAGAGTCTCTTCAAGCAATGTCACAAGAAAACATCCTAGGCAAAGTCAAAACCCTTCAGGTAAGAATTAGAAAGCGACATGACTACAGGTGTTGCAGTTCAAACTCTTTTAATTTTTCTTGTTTCATCATCTTTCCTTCCTTCTGCTGACCCTATTGCTACGCAAAATATCACGCTGTTAGGAAAGTAGGTTCATTCTAAGTGTGTGTATTTGCAATTTACAGTTTCTGGCAGCGTTCTCCATAACCCTACGGCAGCATGAAGGCCACACATAAAATTAGGTGAAGCACTGACCTCATGTTCAAATACTGTTGTTTGTGCTACATGAGGTCTGCACAACTTAGAACCCACTAAACTGAACACAATCAGAAGTTAAATCTCGATCAAATCAGGATTGAATAATTAACAGTTATCTGATGTAATGACAAAATATAAACCAACACGCAAGGCAGCCTTAAAATGCTCTCCCATCTCCAGAGGCAAAGGATCAGTTAGGGAGATAGGAAGACAGGAAAACTTTTTATTTTACTTCTTTAAAAAAAGATTGATTAACCTTCCTGATTTAAGGTATATGTCTTTGAAACCACCTGTTGGCAGCCCAAGGCAAGCAGTAAAAAAGCTTGTCACGCATCTGTCAAGTCCCAATGCATGGGTGGTGATGAGTTCCATCCAGTCACAATCTGTCAGTTAACTAAGAAAAACTTGATAAAAATCAGCACAAGCAAATGGAAAAGATTTCCCTGGGCTGTAGGTTTGTGTCTGTATCTGAATGTGAAAATCTCCCTGAAAGTAGAAAACTCCTCCCTGATATGCTCTGCAGGGTTTGCAGTGAGAAGGAGATATGCCGGCAAAAGTCTGTTCTGCCGGTGGATAGGGCCACAGGAAGGAAACCAGGTCAGAAGGGGGCCGCGGTTGGAACCAGGTTGGGAAACACTGAATTAGAACATGCAGGTTTAATGCTTCGTTTCTGGTTCTCAGGTGATATTGAAAGAGAACTGACAGAAATTTATTAATGAGAACATTTAATAGGACCTCATAGAAGAAAGTTCCCCCAAGAGCTTGGCTTAATGCAAATATTAAGAAAACTGTAGGTCCCACCAGCAAGGTCCTTATTGCTAATATATGTCAGTCAGAACAAAATACAGTGGTGCCTCGCAAGACGAAATTAATCCATTCCGCGAGTCTCTTCGTCTTGCGGTTTTTTCGTCTTGCGAAGCATGGCTATTAGCGGCTTAGCAGCTTAGTGGCTTAGCGGCTATTAACGGCTTAGCGGCTTTAAGAAAAAGGAAACAAACTCGCAAGAACTCGCAAGACGTTTCGTCTTGCGAAGCAAGCCCATAGGGAAATTCGTCTTGCGGAACGACTCAAAAAACGGAAAACCCTTTCGTCTAGCGAGTTTTTCGTCTTGCGAGGCATTCGTCTTGCGGGGCACCACTGTACATGATAAAATCAAATAAAAATACCATGCATAGAGGCATGTTGTTATTTCACTTCAAACACTTGCTGATTACGAAAAGTCCCCCCCCACCAGTGCATTGTAGATGAACACACACAGCTTTCTTTGACACATAACATTTCTATCAGTAGCTTCATTCATAAGCCTTTATCAATATTTGCAGCAGCTTGTGGATGGGGAAACAGCACAATACCCATGCTATAAGAAGGCATCTTTATTTAGAGGTGCAGGTCAGCCTGTAGGAACAGTCATAGGATGGGTAAAATAGTGTTGTAGATCTAAAAGATGACAAATGGATCTCCCAAAGGCTCATAGTCTGAAAGTTATGAAGGAACACCAAGAAGGAAACTGCAGGTAGAAATGTTGCAGGCTTGATGTTCCAAATGTTAGAAGGATGAAGGAAGAATAAGAGACAGGGGGTTAAATGAGCCTCTTTTATGAGCCGGAATTTAAGGAATCGGTGGAAGAGAACGAAGGCATGGTTAATGGATACATATGAGCCTCAGAGTGTAATAATGAGGCAGCAAGATAATAGTTCTTCATAAGCACAAGTAATTTGATGTCCATTTGAACATCAGTGCCTTGATGCCTGGGCTGCATTATGTGAAATACGACAGAAGAATTATGTGAAATCTCTAGCAGAGTCTGTGCCCTTGGGTGCCTAAAGGTTTCCTTCGGTAGGGAAACTGGGCTGCATTCTCTCAGGTGCCATTAACAACAGCTAGTTCCCTTGCGGATTTCCCCATCCTTTGGGAAAGTTGGAGCTGTTCCCACGTTACGCTGCACACATGCACAGACATTTGTGTGGTGAATTTGAAAGCCAGCACATGGATTGAACTCAGTAATCTGGAGTACAGATTGGGTGCATGCATGTTGAAGCGGTCAGGATCACTGTGTTGTGGATATTCCAGCCAGCAGATGACACAGAATTGTAGACCAAACCCCTGTAATGCAGGAATCTCAACTAAAGCATCCATGACAGGTGGCCATCCAACCTCTGCTTAAAATCCTCCAAGGTAGGAGAGTCCAGCACCTTCCGAAGGAGTCCACTTTCAAACAGCTCATACTGCCAGAAAGTTCTTCCTGATGTTTAGTTGGAATCTCTGTTCTTGTAACTTGAATCCATTGGTTTGAGTCTTTCCCTCCAGAGCAGGAGAAAACAAGCTTGTTCCCTCTTCCATGTGACAGCCCTTGAGATATTTGAAGATGGCGCTTGCCCTCCTCACCCCACACACTTTCACAAAAAATACTTCTCGGGCGGGGTTAAATAGTGGGGCTGAATGGTGATTAAATACAGAATCTAGAGCCCATGAGTAAGATAAAATCTAAAATGCTATTCAAATAAATTTCTTGCTCATGGTAGTGTTGATTTTTGTGCATTGCTTTTGCAGCATTCTACTGCTTTATCTAAAAAGTTGTTTTTTTTAATTGAGTCTTCTGATTTTTCTGAGCTTAATTTCAATGGTTTATTTGTTTCTTCTGAGATACAATATGAAACCTTGACCAAAGCCACACAGCAAATGAGTCATAGTTCTGTTTCATATACAGTAGACATCTATCTTCTTTAATATATTTTATCTCTCCCCTGTTGGAAAGAATACCTCTATTTTGAAAACGTCTGTCTGGATTTGACAATCTCATATTTATATATAAAAAAAACCCAGCATGTATCCTTTTCTTTGAGTGTGCGTTTCCTGTAGATTTTCACACATTAGATGACAGGCAGAGAGACAAAATCTTGTGGTAAATTTCCCTGTAATTTACAAAATAAAAATAATTAACAGTCTCCTCTCTGCTAGCTGAGTATGATTCATCCAGCTATTTCAAGAAAGAAATGCTAAATTTTCCATTTGCCTGTTCCAAATACCTTTTAAAGAGTTTACTTTTCACATGAAATGTATGTCCAATTATTCAGCTCTTTGGTGCCAGTTAAGTGCTACCTTTCTTCAAAGAGGGACGGGGTGGGCCAGGGAGGGTAGCTGAACATTTTGGTGTACAATGGCAGTGAGGCCTGTGAGTTGCAAGTGTCAGTTGATGCTTACAGATCTGTCTGTAGGTATAATTCACTGGTTGGCATGTCTTGGGTAGTGCTTTTTTCGGGGGGGGTGACGCATACCCCCTCAACATTTTGTGAATCTTCGTACTTTTGTCTATTTACTGTGTTTATTTTTCCAGATTTGAGCTATAAATTGGTGGTTTTCTTGAGTCAAAATGAGAGTACCCCTAAACATTTTTAAAGGAAAAAAAGCACTGGTCTTAAGTCATTTTATAGCACAATTGCTGCTAGACCAAATATGTGGCAGAAAAAGGAGTGAAGCTCCTGAGGGGGAAATATATTCTCAAGCACTTGGAAGCACTCCATCATTAAGTTACAGTGCCTGCTGTGGCTGTAGAGACTGATATGGGAGAGACAAGTTTTGTTGCAGTCGTGGCAGATGCAGGCGTTTGCTTGTGCTGATGCAGGTGTACTGCGGCATTTCGTCTTTCTTCGCTCCTTCCAGCAGTCATTCCTACCCTGGAATCCACTAATCCACATATTATTTATAGCAGAAGTAAGGAAATAAGACTTTGCAGGCCACTCACACGCTATCTTTCTTCGTTTCTGTGTAACATATTATTCAGTTCTAAAGACTTTGCTAGGTCTAATAATAATTTTATTATTTATACCTTGCCCCATCTAGCTGGTTTCCCCAGCCTTCAGATGTCTTCTAAAAGTTATATAGTTCTTAAGCTCCTTGACATCTGAAGGGAGGCCATTCTGTAGGGTGGGTGCCACTACTGGGAAGGCCCTCTGCCTCGTTCCCTGTAACTTCGCTTCTTGCAGTGAGGGAACGAGCAGAAGACCCTCGGAGGAGGACCTCAGTGTCCAGGCTGAACAATAGGGGTGGAGATGCTCCTTCAGGTATACTGGGCTGAGGCCTTTTAGGGCTTTTAAAGCAGCAAGGGAAGAATTAAATGGAACACTTCTGAACAGTATAGCCAATAAGGAAAAAAGGAAAGGAGAGCTGGTGTTGGGGTGGGGGCAGGATATAACTAAAGGTTGATAACAAGGAGTATAACTTTAGGATATAACTAAAGATTGCTAAGCAAGGGCCCTACTTGTATGATACCTGAAGTATAGTGAGCACCATGTATTGGTTGAATCTGATTATTTTTATTCCAGCTTTTCATTATGCTTCTTTCAACCCTGAACTGATGGGTGCATAACCCAATAACCACGGATACACTTCTTGAGTTTGAGACAACCTTCATAGCTGGTTTTGCCATGCCTGTGAAAGAGAGCTCCACAACTTTATCTTGCTTTTCATCGGGGAAAATATTTTCAGTCCAATCCTATGTTTACTGAGGAAAAAGTCTCCTAGTGTTCAATGGAGTTTACCCTCAGCAAGTGCAACCACAGAAAAAAAATCCAGGGTAGGAGCAAAGTGAAGTGGGAGAGCAGGCTATTTTCTTACAAAAGTGGGAGAGCAGGCTATTGCCTACAAAAAAAGAGAGAGAATTGCCTGCACACTTTGCCTCATATTCTCAGGTTCTACAAAAGATAGTAGCTTTATTTTTATAAGAAATAAATTTGGGGATCTGGCCATTATGATTCATGGGGGCGGGGACACACACACACTGGCCCTTTACTCTCCATGATAGGTCAGTGTGTCTGGCTGTTTATCAGAAGGTTTGTGTTTCAAGCCCACCCAGGACCGGCTGTGGACAAGATTTCTGCATAGCAGGGGGTTGGACTAGATGACCCTTGGGGTCCCTTCCACCTCTACAGTTCTATGATTTTGTGACTCCCAGAAGTATACAAACTTACCAGGGAGTAAGAAGGTAATAGGGCTGACTTCAATTTATTAAAAGCAGCTGAATGTAAATAATATATTAATTAATTTAATAAATTGTTTTTCTTAGTAGTTGTTTCCCAAGCCGTAATGATTTTTATTGATGATGGAGCATTTCCAGAGCTTGAGAGTATATTTCCCCCCTCAGGAGCTTCACTCCTTTGTCTGCCACATATTTGGTCTAGCGGCAATTGTGCTATAAAATGACTGCCGCTGTTATAAGAAGGGGGAAGGTTTTCTCATCGTTTTCTATTTCTTAAATGATAGTGCTCTTAAGATACAAATTATCACCTCTCCTCACCCCCACCCACTCCCTAAAGGAAAACAGAGATACATTTTAAAAACACCAACCCAATAATAAAAAGTAATTATGAAGGAACAAGGAAATACACTTCCAGCATGTACCTTTCTTATGACATCCATATTTTGCTGCTTTAGGATGAGTGAGAGATACAAAGATAAAATGGTTCCTGGGGTTGGAAATCCGAATGCATCTTCTCTTTCTTTAGCTGATTATTCTGCTTGAAAGTTCACCTGCACAAAAGTTCCACTGAAATGAATGGGACATGCGAAAGAGCACTAGCCATGAATTCGACTCCATAGCTCAGATCTGTCTTTCTGTGACCTGTGCAAAATCTCCTGAGAAATTTTACGAATCTTTCTGAAACACATCCAGAATTTCTCAGATTTTCTGCTGAAGCAGGGGCCACCAAATTTGCTTGGACGTTTGTTTTTAGCAAACTCCAGAACCCCCTCTAAGCAAGTCCCCAAGCATTCATTTGACATGTGTGCAGGCTTCCCGTAAGTATCTTGTTGGACATGGTGAAAGCAGAATACTGAAGTAGATGGACCTTTGGTTTGAACCAGCAGATATCATCTTAAGATTCTAAATTCCCCAGATTCCCTCAAATCCACTTTGAATTTCACTTTTAGGTGAGTTTTTGGTGGCAACATTAGTGTGTCTCCCATTCTGCTGCCCATAAGCTGTCACCTGAGGTTCTTGACTTACAATACTTTGTGTTTAGGGCTGCCTATTTATCGCTTTTTTGTTGTGGAATGGAATCTTAGAAGCATAGATGCAGTCAGAACCAATTTTTACCAATAAATTATTTGTGGGGTAGGGCCTTGTTTCTCCCCTACCGCTATTGTTGGGAGCTTGATTATTAACAGTTTTAGGGCCATTGAGTAGGGTTTCTTCAGTACTGCACCCTCGTGAAGATCGTCTAGTTTTAAATCTGAAACCTGGAGGCATTTGGATTTTGTGGAAACCTAGATTCAGAAGAACAGGAGCTACTTTTGTGAAGAAATAGGATGCTCTATGGTTAAAAACAAACAACTGGTTCCAGCCATTGGGAATTGGTTGGCATAAAAGATGGAAGTATTGGCACAAATCAAGATGTGCTAAGTGTTAGTATTTCACGCCTCCGATGCTGCAGATGAAATTGGTGTAAATCACATGCCTGTCTAGGAAGAGTGTAGGAACGGAAGACAGTCTTATCTCTTCCGCTGTATGTACTGTTGTACTGTACTTTTGCTCTTACTTGCTCCTGTTTCCTCTCTCGGAGCTGGAGAGAGAGGACGCCATGAGTCCTTTGTCCATTGAGTAGAGTTTCTTCAGTACTGCACCCTCATGAAGATTGTCTGCTTTTAAATCTGAAAACTGGAGGCATTTGGATTTTGGGGAAACCTAGACTCAGAAGAACAGGGGCCACTTCTGTGGAGAAATATGATGCTCTATGGTTAAAAACAGGCAACTGGTTCCAGCCATTGGGAATTGGTCAACATAGAAGATGGGAGTATTGACACAAATCAAGATGTGTTAAGTGTAGCCTGTGATCTGTTGTTCTAATACACTTACTAAAATTAACTGCCTTCTCTTTCATCTGATAATGCTGAATATTATGGGCCCCATCACTGTTGGAGAGGAATGAACTGTGTAGGAGAGGGTATGAACAGCTATGGTTTTCCTTTCTAATATGCAGGATGTTGTTGTTTTTTCCCCCCAGCAACAGTTGGCCAAGAATATTAAATTTGGCCAACCTTCACAAGTGACTGTTTCAGTGAAGACAGTTGGGGAAGCAAACGCTAGTTTGGAAGCAGATGTGTTACTCAGTAGCCCCATGGAGACGGCTGCACAGCAGGACGTGGTCCTTCCAGAGAGCAATAATAAAGTAAGTCCTTGATACCTTCCTTTGGGGAAATGTCAAAAGCAGTTGCCTGCTGCTGGCGGTGGTGAGTTTGTACTTTCTCACACTGGGTGCGTGTTGGGGATGGAGTTTGGAGGGACTACTTTCAAGAAGCTGCAGAATCATCAAACATGATGCAATGTGGCTGTTGAATGCTGCACACATGACTCTAGGTACAGCTGTATGTTCACAAGTTCAATGCTCATGCAAGTCATGATGCTTGATCTGAGAACCTTACATATTGGTCCAGTCTAGAGTCACTTTCCTGATGTAAAAAACAACAACACAACAGACAATGAAAGACAGTATATATAGAGAGAAATGTACCGTATTTTTCGCTCTATAGGACGCATCCGACCATAGGACGCACCTAGTTTTAGAGAGAGAGAACAAGAAAAAAAAATCTCTCCCTCTCTGCACAGCGCCCCTTCAGCGAAGCGGCAGGAGAAATGGAGCCCCTTCCATTTCTCCTCCCGCTTCGCTGAAGGGGGCTTGCGCAGAGACGGAAAGCTGCGCAGCGCCTCTCCAGCGAAGCGAAGCCAGGAGAGCAAGAGGGATCAGTGCGCACTGATCCCTCTCACTCTCCAGGCTTCAGCGAAATCAACGCGAAGCTTCCGGAGCGCGGCGGGAGCGCTCCCGCTGCGCTTCAGAGGCTTCGCGTTGCTATTGCTGAAGCCACGGAGCCTGCATTCGCTCCATAAGACACACACACATTTCCCCTTAATTTTTGGAGGGGGAGAAGTGCGTCTTATATACTGAAAAATACGGTACATATGTTTTCACATTTCATTACCCTTGATTAGTTTTGTGAATCGGCATTTATATTTGCTTCATAACTGTGCGTTATCCCATACCGTGTGCATGTTAAGGTCAAGACTTGTCCATGACCTTCCAGCCCTATTATACATTTCAGCTAAGTGCTGGTGATAATGTTGGCATTGCTTTCACTATAGCCCACATGAGCTGGCACCTCTCACCTATTCACAGCATTGCGGGTGAGGTGAGCAAGCTGCAATCTTGTGCTTAGGTCCTTGCAAATTGCACTCCTCGATACCTCAGCACTAGGAGTCATGTGTGATTCTCTCTCACCCAGCACAGACCCAGTCATTTTGGAGCCTGACAGCGCCAGCCCCTGGGAACAGGACACCTTTCTCTGGCAGTTAGTGTAGGATCCGTCAGAATCAATTTGAGGAGGGCTCAAATGTCCTTCTGGGCTCGTCTCCTTACCAAGTATCAGAAAAAAAAAGATGGATGCCACTCCTGGGTGCCAGAGGAAGCAGAACGTATCCAAGCAATATTCCTCAGACCACAATGCGAGCTCATCCTAAGGGTGGGGAAATTTGTCAATTTCAGTTTCTCTTGTGTTTCCAATTTTCAGTTCTCTACATTTCCACATCACTTTGCACATTTACATTTTTTTAAAAAACACACACACCCTAATCCTGAAAACTCACCAGCATTTTAGTGCAAATTGTTCCCAATATACACATTTTAATGCAATTTTGCCTAATAGACACATTTTTGCAACACAATTTATCCTAATTTAATGTGTTTTTGTATGTTATTCACAGGTAATAATAATTATAATAATATAATAACACAAAATGCATTTCTGTGCACACTTTACTGCAGTGTATTTTTGTACACATTGCATGGTTGAAGAACTGCTTTGCAAAATTCAGAAAAGTTCAAATTTTGAAGGATAGCTGTCTTTCAGTTAGTGAATTGTTTCAAAAAGTGCAAATGATATAGATTTGCCTTTAAATGCATCCCTGGCTGACTCACATAATTTCTTAGAGCTAGTTTGTATGTAGTATAAATTCAAGCACAACAAATCCTAAAGAGGTTTGGGTTTTGTTTTTAAAGAGCTGCTTACTGGGAATTGAGGTAAACAGGCAGAGGCAAGCACATTTTCTTGCAGGAAAGAAAATGCAATAGTTAAAAAAAGGAATTCGTGGAAAAAACAAAGAAAATACAGTCCCCACCAATTTCAGCATTCAGGGAGTTAAAAGCCTGCAATGTGGAGACTTATTTATAAAACCACAAGTGTCAACAACCTTGAACTTAAGAGATAAATTGTTTGCTTTGCAGGCTTTCAGGGACACACATGAATTATAAGCGATAGAACCTTGTCTCTTAGGGCAGCTGGGAAATGGAGACCTTTATTCAAGGATGTGTAGAGCATATTCCGAAGGCTTGTCTCGACACTGGGTGTTGCACACTGCACAAGTCTCTCTTAAGGGGACTTGAAAGTGTGCATCATCTTTAGCTCAGTGGAACAGACTTTGAAATTGTCAAGTACATACATAAATTTTCTTCTAGGTGGATCTTTGTTGTGCTGCTGTCTGTAAGAAACTCTAAAAAAATAAGTACATTCACTGGGGCTTTATTGCTTTGAATGTCAATGTAGACTAGAGTTGAATGCTCCAAGGCAGCTCCATATTTTATATGGCAAGCACAGCTATTATTATTATTATTATTATTATTATTATTATTATTATTATTATTATTATTATTTAATTTCATTTCTATCACATCCTTCCTCAAAGGAGTCGAGAATAGCAGTCTTAACCCACTCGTGTACATGTGTGTGAACTGTTTCTCTATCAGATAAGCATACACAGGTTTTTAAAGGCATGAGTATGAAATCTTGCATGTGTTTTCCACTGAACGCACTGGCATAACACTTGTAAGCAGGCAACAATGTGTGCTGTATAAATTGTGGATCTGCCCTCAGTTCCCATGGCACCATATGTTCCCAGGGCAGAATGCAACACTATTTAAAATATTTTTTTCTAACATCCTCTCCCAGACCAAAGTTCTGAGAGCAGTGAATCTAACCAGAGGGTCCCTCTGCTGAACAGAGGAGTCTGAGGAGATGGAGGGGGATCGTTAAGATATTTCAACCAGTTCTGCAATGGTAGTCCATAGTTGTGATATTTGGCAAACATAATCTTATTTTTCCAGTCAGGTGGCACACCCGATTCATTAAGCCCAGCAAGTTTGCGTGGAACAAGGCAGGAAGTGGAAGATAAGGTAATAGTCATGAATAGTTCATTGCATTTGTTTCCAGGACCTCTATAGCCATTACATTTAAGGTTCCACAATAGGACCTATTAATTGAGCATTTGTCCTGGTCTGCTTACATGGCTGTTATATTATACCTGGTCTTCATTGAGCATTCGTTCTGATTTGCTTGCATTGTGTTTACAAGTCTTCCTGTTAGTCATTTGCACATCCTTTTTCCGGTCCTTTTCCAAACTGCAAACAGTCCCCTTCTTTTTAAAAGTGGATTTGTTGCACTAGGGCAATAGAGCCCTTTAAGCCGGTTTAATTGCACAAACCCAGCATTCCAGTTTATGCATGAATCACCCCTTCAAAATACCAACAGTCTGGAGGCGCTCTTACATTTCTACGTTACAATTTTAAAAGTACAACTGGGAATTTCTAAGCATGTACCCCCAAGCCATAAAATGTGAATATGGGACTCAAACATGTGACGATGGTAGATCTGTGTCTTTAAGCCGAATCTGTGCTAGTCATAGTAGTAAGCAGGCAGTAGGAGCTCAGTTTGAAGATGATGCTCAGCCTTTCCCCTGCTTATATTTTAAGCTTCCCTCAATCTCTTTTCCAACATCGTTTCCCATCTGCTGGAATCCGATGCGGCTGGAAACGGGTTGTGGGACAGTTCCCCTTGCATGCCTCAATTGTTATTTGAGGGACGCGGGTGGCGCTGTGGGTTAAACCACAGAGCCTAGGACTTGCCAATCAGAAGGTAGGCAGTTCGAATCCCCGCAACGGGGTGAGCTCCCGTTGCTCGGTCCCTGCTCCTGCCAACCTAGCAGTTTGAGGCCTCCAAAAAAAGCAGTTTGGGGCCTCCAAAAAAAATTTGTTCATAATCCCAAAAAAATGGGTTATAATCTAAAAAAAGGTTGCAAACTGGGACACGCACTTCTGGGTTTGACATGTTTGTAATTCAAAATATATGCAAACCAAGGTACTACTGTAGTGTTCAAGCCGTTATGCTTCCTTAGGAAGGTGGTTACTATGGAAGAGGCTCCTGGCCTCCCCAAGATATTTTGGCCATACTAGTAGCCAGTAGCATAGCAGTTGCCCTGTGTGCAAAACTGTTAGGGGCGCAAAATTTCAGTACCCATATAACTGTGCATTTCTGTCAATGGGCTTCATTGAAAGCAGCTTCTCCACATGGACCAGGAGGTAATCTCTCCTTACAACATAACAACTCCCTGTGGCTGTGATCTCCTGGGTGACACGGATGCCATTAGGCAGTTGAATGTGCATGCCATTTTCTGCCAGCCCTGTGCTGTCCCGAGCACTGGCAACCCACGCTACGCCACTGCCACTGCCACTGGCTATGTGATCACATCCTTTGTATGTACACTCTACCAAAGGCAGCAGAATAGTATGGGCAGGAGGAACTACATGGGCAGGAAGGGAATCTGCTGATTGGAAAGAAGTCCCAGAATGTAGAGGATATAAAGAGCAGGGAATCCAGAGACAGGAGTCACACCCACACCATACATTTAAAGCACACAGTCCTGCCGTGCCCCCCGCCCCAAGAATCCTGGGAACTGTGGTTCGCTCTTCAGAGAGTTACAATTCCCAGCACCCTTAACGAACTACAGTTCCAATTGTTCTTGAGGAAAGCCATGTGCTTTAAATGTATGGTGCAGATGTGACGAGGGTGTCTTAAGGAAGAGGACATAGGAGTAAAATGATTCTGCCAGGTGTGGCTTCTCCTCTCACTACATCACTGTGATGGGGAAATCTGTACCTGATGAAATTCTCCCTTCCATGCAACACTTAAAGGCTCAGGTTTTTGCAGAGTCTGTATCTGGCAACTCTTAAGAGGGAAGTGAGATCCAAGCATCAGTAGGTGGTGTATGAAGCTAACCAAACAAACAAAAAAACACATATTTGGCTATGGGTGACAAAATAAATATAATGTCACATGATTCAGTAGTCAAGAAACAGAACTTTACAAAGCCCAGAATACCTAAAATATGGAAAGTGCTATACTCTATATAATTCTGTACTTACTGCTGCCATTGCTGATTATGAGCCTATTAACATTTATGACATTTTGGCTGATTTCTACAAGGCATCTAACGAGCTTATTAAACAAGGGCAAATAAATATTAGATTAAAATGCCTCTTAAATTTTGTGTAGGGCTGCCACTTAATATTTGCTTAGTCTCGGTAGAGTAATTAGTGATAAGTCAAGGAGCGTCCCTTCCTGAATTTTTAAATTTCAGACCTCTGTGCCAGGGAACTTGTTACTGAATCAGAAGGGAAGCCACAGGTTTGTAAGGAAATGAGAAACTACTGCATATTGACCCAGACCAAAGGATCTTGTGTGTTCTGCGAGTGGGTCTTTTAAGGGTGCAATCTTCTACTGTAGATCCGCTGGTTGAGGAGCTATAGGATTTGAAAGAACCTTCACCATACTGGCAAAATGTCATGAAATATATACTAGTAGGAAATCTCAGTGATGCTCGCATACTGTGGTGTAGCAGGATTTGATCTTGGTATAATGTGAGTATAGCATTGCTTGATAAGGTCCTATGGAGCGGTAGAGTGGGTAGCTTCTTTTAAGGAGAGGTGCTAGAGGTTCGAACTGGGTCTCATACATCCAAAGCTTAGAATATATTACTGAGCCACAACTCTGAATGGAGGCTTACTATAGTCCTGGCTCAATAAGCAGAAGTATGGGTAATGTTAAGTTGTGGATGAACATATCAGATGACACAGCGATTCTTCAAACAGCTCTTGTTTATTCACAGGCCAGAACAGAACTGAACTGAAGGGTTCAGCCAGCCTGCTTATATAGAGCTCCACTAGAACGCAGCAGTAGCCATTTTCTGTAACTAGCCAATCACTGAACATCTCTTTCAATCCCTTATTTGCATATGTGGACCTGAGTGAAAACTATCTACAGTATCCCCCTGCTGGCCCAGGGTGAGAACATCAGTACATAACACCAATTCCTAGGATGACCTACAACTTTTAAAAGCATTATTTATACACAGCCTTGTGTGAACTGTGAAACGTGTCTACAACTTGAAATACCTTACAATGGCTGTGTTGGCAAACAGAAGAGCCGTGTTGGGCAGCTCTCCTGGGCTTGCAGATATTTGAAGGACTTACCAAACCTAGTCTTGCCCCTAACTCACCTTCCCAGCTCCTCCCTTGGTTCTTGTATGACCACTGAGGAAGTGACACAAGATGGTGAACCCTTGCAGGCAAGGGGACTGGGATACATCCAGTCAGCCTTTCTCTTGTGAGGCTGTACTGATGAAGTGGATTCTGTCCCAGTGCTAATTCCCAGTCCATATTAGCTGCTGCTAACAGAGTACTAGAGTGATCAAAGGGAGAGGTTGGACTAAGTTGTGTGGCAGTGAGCAATGATGTGTGGCCCCATTGGGGGCAGACCAGATCTCTTGCCCTGCGCCCATAAACATCAGGAGCTGGTGGGTTGCATAGGGATAGCATGGTGCTTGAGTGTCTTGGCTACATAATAGAAGAGGAGGCGGTTCGTCCATTTGACTGGAAAAATGGGGTGCCCCCATGAGAAGCTGTGTTTCCACAAAAGGAAACTTCTGGATTTTGTTCATTAGGGAAGTTTTTAATATTTAATGCTGTATTGTTTTTAACACGTGATTGGAATCTGCCCAGAGTGGCTGGGGAAACTCAGCCAGATGGGCGGGGTATAAATAGTAAATTATTATTATTATTATTATTATTATTATTATTATTATTATTATTATTATATTAATGGAGACACTGTTCGATTCAGGGTTTGTTTTGTTTTAAATCTGCTAATCCTTTTAAACCTGTCAATTCAACTGTTTAAATCAAGTTCATTTCCACTTGTGACGATTTAACAGGTTACACCGGTCAAATCATCATCGCGGCCGAAAAGGCATCACTCACCTTCTGGCACAATTGAAACGGTCAACCTCGATGCAATTCCCCTGGCAATTGCCCGCCTGGACAACAGTGCAGCAAAGCACAAACTCTCTGTTAAGCCAAAGAATCAGAGGGTTTCCAAAAAGCACAGAAGGTTATCACAGGTATTGACATTTATCTGCTTTCTGTATAGTCACAGATACAGACATAACTTAGATGAACATTCTAGTCATTGATTGTGAGACAGACAGATCTACTAAGAGCTGTGTATAACATTTGAATCTTATCTGCTCACTCTTTGTTCAGTATTTATGTTCTTGATTAACCATTGATTAACCATCAGATTAACATGTCTTAGGGTGTTCATTGCCACCAGACACTATGATGAGCACTGATTGAATCATGGAAATAAGCCCATAAACATTAGTAGCCTACTAATTATCTTAATAGCCTGTATGCCCACATACCTGTATGTATGTGCGCCAGTTGATATCTAAAAGCAGCGAGGGGTGGAGTGTTAATTTTAGTAAACCATCTTTACATGGTAACCTGGAGACAGTTTCTGTTTCTTACAGGCGACCAGGTGAACAGCTATTTATACACCAGCATTAACTGATTATGTTCCTTAAAAAGAACTAGACACATTTTCTTTGCTTTTTAAAAGGTGGATAATTATAAAGGACAATTCCACCAGCTGTTATCTATAAAGTTAGAATCATGTCACCTTGTTCAGAGGCAGCATGTTCTTAATTACTGTATTTTTCGCTTTATAACACGCACCAGACCATAACACGCACATAGTTTTTAGAGGAGGAAAACAAGAAAAAAATATTCTAAATGAAACAGTGGATGTATGATTTTTGTGGTTCATGCTGTGGCCACAGACATGTGATCTGACAGTGAGTTTGGAGTAGCCCAATGCAAAAATCCTGAGGATCCATGTGGATCCATGCTTTGTAACCACGTTTTTGCACCACTGCGACCCTAGGCAACAGTGGGTGCGTGATTTTTTTGGTGCAGGCTGTAGCCATGGACATGCTATGTTATCTGATGGTGAATTTGGGGTGACCCAGTGCAAAGATCCTGTGGATCCATGCTTATAAAAGTCCCTATTAAGGAAAAAACAGACAGGATATACGAAGTATGATTTCTTTTTTATTTACGGTATTTCTTTTTTGGCCACCTCTGTCACTGCAACCTTTGCTCTGTGCTTGCACACTTTTGGGCAATAGGGCATGTAACACACTTTTTTTCATCTGCCAAGATGTAGAAAATCAATTTTAATGTCCCTATATAAAATGCCTAGTGAAGCAGAAGGGTATTACATCAGCCACTGTATTAAGGCTAAACGTTTGAAGAACAGCTCTCTATTGGGGGGGGGGGGAACTAAATTCCATTTTCAATCAATTGTTATTGTGGCAGCAATTATCAGTGTATAGCGCACAATGAGGAAATGAACTTTAAAAAATATATATAAAAAACATTCTCACGTTATACTTCTTCAAAGAAGAGTATTAGGCTTTTAATGAAGGGGAGAGGAGAGATGCTGTAATCCTCCTGGCTCAGGAGATTCTGATTTACCCAGCCGCATGTAGAAAGTATAGATTAAGATATTTGATATACAGCATATAAATCCAGAGATTTCCATGTCTCACTCTGCAATCCAGCCTGCTGTTACGAGCAGGGAAGCAGGGTTTCTCTTCCAAACAAGTATACTGTCTCCCTCCAGCAGTACATTGCTTGGAGAAGCTGTAATTTGGAGGGGGCCTGGGGGCAGGGCTCTCTGCTTTTGGAAAAGAAATGAGAAACCTACCATTGTAAAGCAAAAGTCCCCTCCACCCCACCCAAGCCAGCCCTCTCTCTCTCTCTCTCTCTCTCTCTCTCCCACTTGCGTGTTTTTTGGCTGCCTGCGAGTCCCTAGAGCACGGAGAGGAGGAGGTGGTGGGCTGGAGCCTGCACGCAGTGTGACTAGGAAAGAATTAGAAGGAAGGACTCGATCATTTCCTTAACCCTCTGCTTGCCAGGAGGGCAGGGGATTCCCTGCTCTTTGTTGAGTTTGAGCAAACGCAGCAACAGAAGCGGGTGGGCAGTAAGACCCTGAGGCAGAATGCAGGAAAGCAACAGCTTCCGCCTTCCCTCTTCCCTCCGCCCGCCCGCCCAATCTTATTTTTGCCTGATTTTTGCCTATTTTGCCCCTTCGCTCCGGAGAGTCAGCTCCAGGGACCACACATTCGCTCAATAACACGCACAGACATTTCACCTTACTTTTTAGGAGAAAAAAAATCTGCGTGTTATAGAGCGAAATTTACGGTACTAAATGCTGGAGGCAAACCACTGAGATGATCCCCATATTTTGCTTGTGAGTTTCCCGGGAGCATCTGCCTGCCTAATGTTTTTGTGTATTCTAGCAAGGCTGCTGTTTTATTCTCATGCTTCTATTTAAGAGAAGTACATTGTTCGTTCCAGTCTTTAGACACAAGATCTTGCCATCAGCTGTAATGTGAAAATTTCTCAGATGAGTGGAAACTGAATGGTGGAATACTTGTGATCCTGAATCACAAATACATATTTTCAAGAATCGGTATCTTTCAAACAAGTCCCTCTGACAGATCAACCCCTCACAATCATGTTTGAGAAGTGGTTGTAGGGGCAAACCCCCCCCCAATAAATATGCTTTGTGGGAATTGTGGGATGCTCTTGGGAATTCTCTTGCATGGTGGACAACCATTGAAATGTAAATTGAGCCAGAATCAGAAGAGTCCCAAGAACAGTCATTTAGTTAAACAAAAACAACATAACAATTGGTTGTGTTGATTGCCCTGGTCTCCGGCTTTTAAGCATAGCAATCAATCATACCTTCTTGCCATGCACTTCGCCCCTCAGTTACATTGCTGCTCACATGTGCTATGTCTACTTATTTGTGCCTTTTTCACAAAAGTTTACTGCACTGAGACATATAAAAAATGCAAGATTCAAATCAGTTGGGAATGGCTGCAAGATCAGTCATTCTTCAAATACTGTAAGTGGCCATAAATTGACTGCTGCATTGTTTTTTCTACTCTGTTTGCCAAGTATTTGTTTTATTTACTTAGAAAATAATGGTATGTAAAGAAAATAAGAGGCTTGAAAGCAAAGGAAATTGTTGAGAAAGTAGGGTAAGCTCTGTGAAAGACAAAATTTCCTGTTTTCCAGCATATGTTTTGTTAATGACTATGCCTTCGTTGGCTGTAATGGTGAAAGTCGGAGCTTTATTCTTACAGCATGCACTTTTCCTTCAACATTTCTTGAAAATGGTGGTAATGTGTTTTGTTTTGTTTTTGGTGACTTTAGAGTCAGTTCCTCCATTGGTGTAGGGCAGGCATGTCCAACTCCCCAGAGGCTGCAATCTACTCCCAGTATTAAAAAACTAAGCTTTTTTTGGAAAGGAGGACCTACAGTTTTGAGCTTTTTTGGGAGTGGGGAGATCAAGAGTTCTTGAGCTTTTGGGGGGGTCGACCTAGAACATCCAACGGACGACCTAGAACACCTTCGCGATTGACCTGTTGAACATGCCTGGTGTAGGGAATTAAAATGGGAGAGTTGCACCAGGGTGAAGGGATTTTGTAGATCCATGACCTGAGGCTGCTATGATCTTGCCTTTCTGTTCCAGAATCTCATTCCTAGTGAATGGCAAAGTATTTTGATGATCCACTGGCTGCGTTTTCATGCTTAGCCATAAACTATGGGTAAGACATTTGTCCACAAGTTGTGTGCTAGTGAATGCAGCTTAAGTTCTTCCACTTTTCTCTTCCCTTCTTCCGGTGGGGGAAAATGACCATGAAACATCTGGCTTGGCATTATTTGTTTCTCTCCAACAAACTACGATTGGGAAGCTAAGAACAAAGCTTGGCTTCAGATTGTATGTTTGAGAGAAAAGAACCACAAGCACTGGTTGAAAAATAATGCTAAACCAAATGCTTCATGGTTTGTTTTCTTGCTGGAGGAGAGGAGGAGCAAAGTGAGATAACTTGAACTGTGTGCACAGACTGGTTAACTTAGCCATAATTTATGGCGCAGTGTTGTGACCAAACGTATGTGTATGCATTTATTTATAGCAAAAAGAACTAAAATGTAAGGTGGTTCATTATGAACTCCAGGGTTATTGACTTAAAACTCTAATTAATTATTACCCTGTTGCTCCACACAGCATAGGATGCATAAATAAAAAAATGTTAAATTAAACTGTTTCTGTTTCCTGACGCTAGGAGATGCAAAGTGTGGCAGTGGCAGAGGTTGAACAAGAAATCCTAGAACCACAATTGTATGAAGATAAGCTCTCCAAACATGATGGCTACCATGTTGCAGACAAGCCTATCCAGCATAGGGAAAGCCAAGAACAGAAAGAGGGCAAAAGAAAGCTAGAACATTGCTGGAGAAACTTGGAGACTGAGAAGAAAGTAGAAATGGCTGAAGCAGAGTCAAAAAGCCACACGGAACACAAAAGACTTCAAGAATGCCAAAGGGAAAAAGAAGGGAAGAAACAGAAGCTTCAGGAGGAAGAGCAGCTTTTGAAGATGGAAGAGAGAAAGGGTCAAGAGGGGAAGAAAAGTCTTGAAAAACGGAGGCATCAAGAATTTCAGATGCAGAGGCACAAAGGACTAGAGGAGCAGAGAAGGAATGAAGAGGGCCTTCAGGAACCAGAGGAACAAATGCAACAGGAGAAAGGAAAGCAGCATGAACTAAAGGAACAAAAGCAAAGGCAACTAGAAGAGCAAAGGCATCAGGAACTGGAGGCACAAAGGCAACTGGAAGAGCAAAGACATCAGGAACTGGAAGAGCAAAGGGAACTGGAAGAGCAAAGGCAGCAGGAACTGGAGGCGCAAAGGCAACTGGAAGAGCAAAGGGAACTGGAAGAGCAAAGGCATCAGGAACTGGAAGCTCAAAGGCAACTGGAAGAGCAACGGCATCAGGAACTGAAGGCACAAAGGCAACTGGAAGAGCAAAGGCATCAGGAACTGAAGGCACAAAGGCAACTGGAAGAGCAAAGGCATCAGGAACTAAAGGCACAAAGGCAACTGGAAGAGCAAAGGCATCAGGAACTGAAGGCACAAAGGCAACTGGAAGAGCAAAGGCATCAGGAACTGGAGGCGCAAAGGCAACTGGAAGAGCAAAGGCATCAGGAACTGGAGGCGCAAAGGCAACTGGAAGAGCAAAGGCATCAGGAACTGGAGGCGCAAAGGCAACTGGAAGAGCAAAGGCATCAGGAACTGGAGGCACAAAGGCAACTGGAAGAGCAAAGACACCGAGAAATGGAGGTGCAAAGGCAACTGGAAGAGCAAAAGTGGCAAGAACTGGCGATTGAAAGGCAAAGGCAAGAGGAAGAGCAAAGACATCAAGAACTGGAAGAGCAAAAATGGCAGGAACAGAAGGATCAAGAAGAAGCAGAAGAAAAGAGACAAAGAGAATTAGATGCAAAGCAACAACATAAAAAGCTCTTTCAGCAAGGGTGGAAAGACAGGCAAGAACAGGGGACGCAAAAATGGCAGGAAGAAAAACAAGGGCATCAGAATTTAGGACAGAGAGCACAAGGACTGGAAGAGCAAATGAATGAGGCTGAAAAGCAGGATGAAGTGAAACAGGAAGTACTTCAAGTGCAAAAAAGGCAAACAGACCTGAGACAAAAAGATCTAGAGGGAAAAAGGAATCTAGAAGGTGAAGAAAGGTTGGAAAGGAAGGGAAGTGCCATAAAGCTGGGAAAGCAAAAGAGACCAGAAGAACTACCACAGAATCTAAAGGAGAAAATGAATAAGGACAAACAAGATCAGCAAGAACTGGATAAACCAATTAGATCAGCAGCAGAAGACAGAAGATGTGAACCACAGTCATGGCCTGAGAAGAGGATGCAACAGGAAGAGTTGATAGAGAGGGAAGGAGGACGGAAAGCTGGAAGAACAGAAATCCCCTAGTTTAGAAGGACAAAGACCACTGGAAAAGCCAAAAGAACAAGACAAATCCTTCCCGTTGCAACTGGACAAAAATATTCATTTGGGAGAGCAACATTTGGAAAGCCCCAAGAAAGATCTTCCACTTAAAGAAGCTAGCCAGCAAACATTAAAGCAGCCAGACAAAGAGCAGAAGGAAGAAGAAACTCTAAGGCACCACCAGAAAAGGGACATTGAAGCTCAAGAGCAGGAAAGAATCTTAGGCGAGGAGCTCCGATGGCAAGAAGTTGACGCGAGGCAAACTATGCCCAGGGGATTTACCTTCCAAGTATCCTCTGGAGAAAAGCAAATTATATTTCCGAAAGTAAATCTGAGCCCAGTTACGCCTGTCAAAGAGGCACCAACTCCTTCAGCTGCAAAAGAATTGACAACTCCTAAATCCAGCAAAAGTTCTCACGGTCCCCCGACTTCTTTGTGCGTCCCCCACACAGCAATTTTGGTCACCGGAGCGCAGCTCTGTGGAACTGCGGTCAACCTCAATCAGATAAAAGATACGGCTTGCAAATCTCTCCTTGGCTTAACAGAAGAGAGAAAAACGATGGACGCACGGAAAACGTCACCAGATGCGAAGCGTAGGAATAGTAAAATGAAATATGCCCAAGAGCCATTGGGCAACCAAACCATCCCAGCTGAGTGGGCTTCTATTAGGTCAAAAATCTTAAAAAGTGCAGAAAATGGCCAGCGCAATGAGAGAGACAAAGGAAGCCTCAGTAGGCATAGCGATGATTGGACACCCAAAGGACAAAACGCTTCCCATGGTAATTTGCGCAAGACCTTATCTGCAAGTGCAAAGTTTTCTATAACTCCTGCCTGGCAGAAGTTTTCGGCTAATACAAGCGCCGAGAGTAAAGTTGGCCTTGAAGCAGAAACCCCAGCCAAGCAGTTGGGTCCACCCACGGTCCATTCAACCCAAGAGACAGTTCATACCGAGGCACTGTCATCTGCAGGGAATCATCTTGGAACACCTACAGGAAATACTGAAATACATCGCGAAGTGGCAGGCAATACCGAGGGTTGTAAATTTGCCAAAGATCTCCCATCTTTCCTTGTTCCAGGCGCCTCACATTCTCTAAGTAAGGAAGTTGCCCAGTCGGAAAGTGCTGCAGCTGCTATGGAAACACAGCAGAAGGTGGGTACAAGGAAACTGGACAGCGCTTCCCCAAATGGAGAAGAAAATGTGTCTCCATTTGGGGTGAAATTAAGGAGGACCAACTACTCCTTGCGCTTTCACTATGATCAGCAAGCTGAGCAGAAGAAGAAGAAAAGGTACAGCGCAGGGGACAGTTTTGACGGGGTGCCCACCCCGCTGGTTACGCCTGACAATGAGAAAGATACAAATAATATCTTTTTAAAAGAGAACAAATCCCCAAGCCAAGAGAGAAAGGATGCCATGGTTAATTCTGGGAAGAACTCCTCAGCTAATATTAATCAGAATTATACGGCAGCCGCACCGGTATCTCTCCCAGCTAGCAGTCACGTGTCTTCACCTAGTCAAGAGAAACCCATCTGCAAATCGCCACTCCTGCAAAAACCTGCATTGGCTCCAAAGCCCACCAGCCAAACTCCGCCATCATCCCCTCTCTCAAAAATGCGCAGGTCTCACTTAACCGAATCCACGGGGCAAAGGGTGGCTAAAACGGAGCCTGACACCACCTGGAGAAAAATGGAAGCTAAAGGGAGCTCTCTGCTTTCACAAGCCCACGAGGCAAGCAAGGGGGAAGAGGAGGAGTCTAGGGAGAAGAGGTCCTTTTTCCCATCCATCACCATGCCATGGAGAGAGAGAACAGAGAAGAAGCCAGAGCCGTTGAAAAAAGGTAGGCGAAGAAATGCAGCCCCTAAATACAACTCTGTGATGAGCAAGGGAGATCAATATCCGAAATGTCAGCCTTAAACAGTATTGTATAATTTCCTCGGTGGTGGTTTTTATAGGTTCATTACTAGATTCCATCAGAGTTTTATTATGCGCACACCAGGGGTGATTTCACACGTCTCTTTAAGGACTGACGCATAAAGTGATTATTTTCATTGCATAAAATTAGATTACACATAGCGGGGAAAGTTTTTTGTATCATGTCACATTGCAGGAAACACAGTGCTTGGCAATAGAAGCAACTAATTAATCTGAGTAATCTAGAGATGTTCATGTGTGTGTAAATGCATCCCAGTAAACTTACTGTATTTTTCGCTCTATAAGACGCACCTGACCATAAGACGCACCTAGTTTTTGGAGGAGGAAAACAAGAAAAAAAATATTCTGGATCCCAGAAGCCAGAACAGCAAGAGGGATTGCTGTGCAACGATCCCTCTTGCTGTTCTGGCTTCAGCGATAGCTGCGCAGCCTGCATTCACTCCATAAGATGCACACACAATTCCCCTTACGTTTTAGGAGGGGGAAAGTGAGTCTTATAGAGCAAAAAATACAGTGGTGCCTCGCAAGACGAAATTAATTCGTTCCGCAAGTTTTGTCGTCTTGCGATTTTTCCGTCTTGCGAAGCACGGTTTCCCATAGGAATGCATTGAAAATCAATCAATGCGTTCCTATGGAAACCGACTTCAGACCAGGTCCGGGGACAATCTGTCCCCCGACCTCTTCTGAAGGCTGGGGGGGGGACAAGGGCTTTTCTTCCCACCCCCAGCATTTTAAAAAAACCCCGGGACAGCAGAGACTTCTCCGCTGTCCCGGGGCAATCTTAAAATGCTGGCCGGCGGGAGCGAAGCCTCCGCTGCCGCCCGCCAGCATTTTAAAAAACCCCGGGACAGCGGAGGACTTCTCCGGTGTCTGGGGCGATCTTAAAATGCTGGCGGGTGGGAGCGAAGCCTCCGCTGCCGCCCGCCAGCATTTTAAAAAACCCCGGGACAGCGGAGGACTTCTCCGGTGTCCGGGGCGATCTTAAAATGCTGGCGGGTGGGAGCGAAGCCTCCGCTGTCGCCCGACAGCATTTTAAAAAACCCCGGGACAGCGGAGGGCTTCTCCGCTGTCCGGGGCGATCTTAAAATGCTGGCGGGCGGGAGCGAAGCCTCCGCTGCCGCCCGCCAGCATTTTAAAAAACCCCGGGACAGCGGAGGGCTTCTCCGCTGTCCGGGGCGATCTTAAAAGGCTGGCGGGCGGGAGCGAAGCCTCCGCTGCCGCCCGCCAGCATTTAAAAAACCCCGGGATTTAAAAAGCCCCCGGGAATGCAGGCAGGGGGGAGCAAAGACTTTTGCCCCCCACCGGCCTTCAGAAGAGGTCCTGGAAAGTCTTTGCTCCCCCCCGCCTGCCTTCAAAAACCGTCCGGGATAGCGGAGAAACGAAGGCTGGCGGCGGGAGGAGGTCTCTCCGCCCCGCCGCCAGCCTTCGGAGGAGGTCCGAGGCAGTCCGAGGCTGCGCTTCCCTGCTGTCCCGGAGATTTCCCTATGGGCTTTCGTCTTGCGAAGGTAGCCCATAGGGAAATTCGTTTTGCGAAGCACCTCCAAAACGGAAAACCCTTTCGTCTAGCGGGTTTTCTGTCTTGCGAGGCGTTCGTCTTGCGGGGCACCACTGTATGGTATATCCCAATAAGGACTCCTCCACATTTTCCTACATCTACATCTTTGGCAAGTCATGTTATTGCAGTAAATCCCTGCATCCAAATGTAGTGTCCCCATACAGAGCTCCTGTGCATGCAAGCCTTCCCCATTCACTTCAACAGGAGGGGTAGATCTGTGCATTAATCCTTTGGCTTGTGTTCCATTGAAATGAATGGCAGTGGTGGAGTTCTGTCTGATTCCAGAGATTGCTCCATGAGGATGTAGCCCTTTTGGGCATCCGTCTTGTGCGGGACTTCTAAACTTCATTTTCTGCAGCATGGCCATTTGCAAGCTTGAAAGTTTGCCCAAATATCCCAAAATAGCATGTCAAATAACTCCAAAATCGAACCCCCACGCTTTCTAGAAATAGACAGAGGTGTTAGTACTCAATAGATGGTTACAGATAAAACAAGTTTTGACATTTCTAGGACAGCTTGCACCGAGATCTAAGGATGCAAAGATCTTGTTAACAAAATTGTTGAAAAAGTTGGCGCTGCTGAAGTCTCACCCAAATGTTTTCTAGAAGTGTGGAGCTAAGCTCAAAATGAAGGAGAAAGGGATGAAAGGCTCAGTTGGAGCCAAACCTGATTTGGCTAACAGCAAATGTTGAAGGTGAGAGAGGAGAGGATAGCTATGCTGTGAGATCATAGCATTGTGGGATCATAAAATTGTAGAGTTGGAAGGAACCATGAGGGTCATCTGATCCACCCCCTGCAATGCAGGAATATTTTGCCCAGTGTGGGGCTTGAACCCAGGACCCTTAGATTTAAGTGTCTCATGCTTTACTGACTGAGCTATCAGCTGCTTAGTGGTGGATACACTGATGGGGTCTGAGCTGGCACAGTGACTTGCTAGGAAAGGGATTTTGAGGTCATGGCAAATAGCTCAATGAAAATATTGACCCTGTGTTTGGCAGGGGGAAAGGTAAATTCCGTGCTAGGGATCATTAGGAAGCTATTGACTCCCCTAAAAAGAAATGTTACAGCAGTGGGAATTTGAACCTTGGTCTGCCCAGTGCTAGTCCAACCCTGTGACCGCTGCGCCACACTAAGCCATACTTAGTGAATACTGGGCGACATATTCCTCTTGGATATCTTGTATGCATCTCTGTCTCTGTCATACAAATTGAAACCCTTGTGCGTTGTGTTCTTCTAGAAAGGCCAGTTCTTCAGAGCAGACATTCCATAGATGGCTCCAAGCTGATTGAAAAAGTTGAAACCGCACAGCCGCTCTGGATCACGTTGGCTCTGCAAAAGCAGAAGGGCTTTCGAGAGCAGCAGGCGACCAGAGAGGAAAGGAGACAAGCCAGGGAGGCAAAGCAAGCTGAGAAACTTGCTAAAGAAAATGTAAGTACATAAATCTGCAGGTGAAGTATTTTGATTTTTTTTCCTCTCCCTAGCTGCCTTCAGATTTTAGAAATTATTTAAGCTTTGGTTAGTAAAGACAGTGGGGAAATACGTAGTTTTGTCGTGGTCATGACCATTCTTCGTTCATAGTAGAACTGGACTGTTGAGAGGCCAGAAGAATCTTGGAGACCTCATTTCTAAGCCTGTTTTGTGGTTTGGAGAGAGAAATGCAACCTTTTCCATATTGCACGATACTCATTGAGGAGATGGTGAAAGAATAAGAGCAGTATGTCCACACATAGAGAGCAGATAGCCGTTTCCTGTTGGTAAGCAACCATTTGTGACTTCAACGCTAAATGGGAGCTGGCAAAAAATTGCAAGCCTTCCTTCCCCCGATTTTTTCCATCTTATGTACGTGCACCCTCTCCCACGGACAGCATGTGGATTTGTGTTATTGGCACCTTCTCTCAAGCAGAACTTGGCTGCTTGCCCCCCCCCTCCAATTTTGCTGGCCAACTGTTCCCAAAGAAGCCAAGGGTTCATGCCGAAGTCTGCTGTTCACACCTCACTGCAGGCCTCCCCAACAACAGCACACAGCTCCTTCTGTCCATAAGTGAAATTATCTCAAGAGAACCTTTTGTGTTATCACATCCTGGAAACCTCAATTTTTTTCCTTTTCCCGCTGCAGTTCTCACTCCTCTCATAGAATCATAGAGTTGGAATAGACCACAAGGGCCATCGAGTCCAACCCCCTGCCAAGCAGGAAATACCATCAGAGCACTCCTGACATATGGTTGCCAAGCCTCTGCTTAAAGACCTCCAAAGGAGACTCCACCACACTCCTTGGCAGCAAATTCCACTGTCGAACAGCTCTTACTGTCAGGAAGTTCTTCCTAATGTTTAGGTGGAATCTTCTTTCTTGTAGTTTGGATCCATTGCTCCGTGTCCGCTTCTCTGGAGCAGCAGAAAACAACCTGTCTCCCTCCTCTATATGACATCCTTTTATATATTTGAACATGGCTATCATATCACCCCTTAACCTCCTCTTCTCCAGGCTAAACATGCCCAGCTCCCTTAGCCGTTCCTCATATGGCATCGTTTCCAGGCCTTTGACCATTTTGGTTGCCCTCCTCTGGACACGTTCCAGTTTGTCAGTGTCCTTCTTGAACTGTGGTGCCCAGAACTGGACACAGTACTCCAGGTGAGGTCTGACCAGAGCAGAATACAGTGGCACTATTACTTCCCTTGATCTAGATGCTATACTCCTACTGATGCAGCCCAGAATTGCATTGGCTTTTTTAGCTGCCGCGTCACACTGTTGGCTCATGTCAAGTTTGTGGTCAACCAAGACTCCTAGATCCTTTTCACGTGTACTGCTCTCAAGCCAGGTGTCACCCATCTTGTATTTGTGCCTCTCATTTTTTTTGCCCAAGTGCAATACTTTACATTTCTCCCTGTTAAAGTTCATCTTGTTTGTTTTGGCCCAGTTCTCTAATCTGTCAAGGTCGTTTTGAAGTGTGATCCTGTCCTCTGGGGTGTTAGCCACCCCTCCCAGTTTGGTGTCATCTGCAAATTTGATCAGGATGCCCTTGAGTCCATCATCCAAGTCGTTGATAAAGATGTTGAATAAGACCGGGCCCAAGACAGAACCCTGTGGCACCCCACTAGTCACTCTTCTCCAGGATGAAGAGGAACCATTGATGAGCACCCTTTGGGTTCGGTCAGTCAGCCAGTTACAAATCCACTGAGTGGTAGCATAGTCAAGACCGCATTTTACCAGCTTTTTTACAAGAATATCATGGGGCACCTTGTCGAATGCCTTGCTGAAATCAAGGTAGGCTACATCCGCTGCATTCCCTTCATCTACCAGGCTTGTAATTCTGTCAAAAAATGACAGAATTACAAGAATTACATTCTGTCTCTTATCCCTCCCTCCATCCATCCCACATGTGACACAGCCCGCTGGTAAATTCCGTAATTTCCCGTGTACAAGACGATGGTTTTTTTTATTCTGTAAGAATTTTAAGAATGGGGGTCGTCTTATACACAGGTAGTGCAGAGGGGGGACGTGCGATAGGTTCCAGCCGCGAGCAGGAGAGTGTCAGCAGTGATTGGTGGCTGTGGCAAAGCCTGCCGTTGACTTGCTGTCACTGCGGCAATTGGGTGGGTGATTGGCAGCTGCTGCTGGTGATGCGGGCGATTGGCAGCGTTGGTCAGGCAGGTGAGCGAATTTCGGCAAACCCCCCCCCGAAAAAGCTCAACAACTCTGTGCAATCTCCCCCCATTTTCTTTATTTGGAGTCCCACAAAATAGGGGTCGTCTTATACATGGAAAAATGCAGTAGCCTGGGGTCAGTCCAAATGCAGAGTGCAGCCAAACCGAAAGGAACTCTGGATAGTTAGGAGGGAAGTGGAGCCGCAGCACTTCCCATACCTTAAAGGTAAAGGTAAAGGGACCCCTGACCATTAGGTCCAGTTGTGACCGACTCTGGGGTTGCAGCGCTCATCTCGCTTTACTGGCCGAGGGAGCCGGCATACAGCTTCCGGGTCATGTGGCCAGCATGACTAAGCCGCTTCTGGCGAACCAGAGCAGCGCACGGAAATGCCGTTTACCTTCCCCCTGGAGCAGTACCTATTTATCTACTTGCACTTTGACGTGCTTTCGAACTGCTATGTTGGCAGGAGCAGGGACCGAGCAACGGGAGCTCACCCCATCGCGGGGATTCGAACTGCCAACCTTCTGATCGGCAAGTCCTAGGCTCTCTGGTTTAACCCAGAGCGCCACCTGCGTCCCTCCCATACCTTAGGGAACATGCAACTGTCTCTTGCAACCCTGAAAGCCAAGCATGTGAGGACAGAGGAAGTTTGTGTCTGTGCTTGGTTTGCTCTGCTGCAGTTTTCAGCTTTTTGTGGCCATTCTGGTGGCTTACATTATTTTATCTTGTTTGCTGTGTGGTAGGTTGGACTGAAAGGCAGTGATTGGCTCAAGGTCACTCAGTGAGCTTCATGGCTGAGTGGAAGTTTGAACCCTGGTCTCCCAGGTCATAGTCTGACACTAACCATGTGAATGCCGTAATGAAGCATGTAAATAGCAATGCAATCTATGCTTTTTACTCAGAAGCAGAGATATGAGGAAACAATTCAATTTGGTACACCTGGCAAAGGCACGCCTACTTTGTTTTCACTTTTCAGCCACCACCCTTTGAAATTTGCCACTTCTCTGAATTTGGCAGTCCCATGTAATGTGTACAGAAATGCATTCTATAGGGGATTAAGTCTGCTTGGGGAATGCATATTAGTGAAATTATATACATTTGGGGGGTGTATATAGCATACATTTCTATATAACATGAAACTGCCTTGTAAAAGTATGTATTTTAGGAGAAATTCACACTAGAAGGCTGATGAATTTTCATGAGGTTTTTTTTTTAAAATAAAAAAACATACAAACTAATGTGGAAAGATGGAGAACAAAACTTACAATTAGACAAATGAGAAAATTGGAGGAAATGACATTGTCACATTATTGGTCTATTTGCTTGCCAGTCTGGGGCAGGGGTCAGCAACCATTTTCAGCCATGGGCTGGGCACCATCCCTTAGACCAGGGGTCTGCAACCTTTAAGACAAAAAGAGCCACTTGGACCGAAGAAAAAAAAATCTGGGAGCCGCAAAACCATTGCGACATTTAAAACAGTGGGGAGTGTCAGGGCACACAATGCGCCTCCTCCCCTCGCTAGTATCCGCCCCGGAGCCGCGGCAAAGGTGTAAAAGAGCCACATGCGGCTCCGGAGATGCATTTTGAATAAAAGGACACATTCTACTCATGTAAAAACACGCTGACTGTCCGCGGGCCGGATTGAGGTGATTGGGCCGCATCCTGCCCCTGGGGCTTAGATTGTGTACCCCTGGTCTGGGGCTTATTCCTAGGTGAGTGCTAATTCATCTAGGCTGCAATTCTATGATTACCAGTGGTAATCTATGAGAGCCAGTGTGGTGTAGTGGTTAAGAGCAGTAGTCTCATAATCTGGGGAATCGGGTTCACTTCCCCGCTCCTCCACATGCAACTACTGGGTGACCTTGGGCCAGTCACACTTCTCTGAAGTCTCTCAGCCCCACTCACTTCACAGTTTGTTTGTTGTGGGGGAGGAAGGGAAAGGAGAATGTTAGCCGCTTTGAGACTCCTTCGAGTAGTAATAAAGCAGGATATCAAATCCAAACTACCAAAGCTGCAGTCTTATAACCCACTTATGTGGTAGTCTGAACTCAGTGGGGCTACAAGTGTATAAGATTGCACTGTAAATATATTATTACTATGTTATAATGAAATATTAAAATTGTACAGTGGTACCTCAGGCTAAGTACTTAATTCGTTCTGGAGGTCCGTTCTTAACCTGAAACTGTTCTTAACCTGAGGCACCACTTTAGCTAATGGGGCCTCCCGCTGCCGCCACGCCGCCAGAGCACGATTTCTGTTCTCATCCTGAAGCAAAGTTCTTAACCCGAGGTACTATTTCTGGGTTAGTGGAGTCTGTAACCTGAAACGTATGTAACCTGAAGCGTATGTAACCCGAGGTACCATTGTAATGTGGTTTTTGTTGTTGTTCTTTGCGCTAGGCCAGTATCAGCAATCAGACAGATACTAAAAGCAGCAGCAGCAGCAGCAGAACTAGTACATTGCCTAGACCCGCGGCCCAGGCAGAGAAGAAAGCTGAGACTCCCCTCTCAAGGTTTGAACGCAGAGAACAGCTTAAAAAATCCAACACTCTTCCTACATCTGTGACAGGTATGTTGTGGTTTTTTGTCACAGTTATTGGCGTTATTGACAACCTCGACGTTTTTGTGGTCTCTGAATGGCTCCCCTGTTGACTTATGCTATGTCCTCCACTCCCCCGTACTATATTTGAAGAGAAAATTTTATTTTTCTGGCTTGTTTTTCAGCATGGTGTCATGGGCTTTTGAGGCTCGGTGCTTCAGAAAACAAACACTTCCAAATGGAGCAAGTTCCATAACTTTGCTGACCTGACCTGAGCACTGAGGGTGCTCGTAGCTATCTAGCTCACAATAATAATAATAATAATCATTTATTCATTACCAGCATGCCTAGGTTACTCATACGTTGCACATTACAAACAGCCTGGAAGAACTCCTGTTCTGATTCACACACATTTTCTCATCTTGTCACCTGGAGGCAAATCTTAACCATACTCAGCTAACCTCCAATTACTAATATGCCTTAGTGGGAGTTGTGGCCTCGGTGTTTGACTAGCTGGAGGTTGGATGAATATTGTGCTTAGTTTTCTTGTCATTTCTACTCACGCCCGTGGAGCTGAATACCTATTTATCGACAAACTGGATGAATTCAGATTTTACAGCTTGGTTTGAATAGGCTGCTTACTGCTCGTGGTTTGGGGGGGAAAAGAAAGGGAAATTCTGCCTTTCTCCTTTTGGAATTAGCAAATTCCTCTTGAAAATATGGCCTTTGATAGGTACGTGCCTGGATATAATGCTGGCAGATGGCTGAGAAAGCTGTTATACTAATGAATAATGCGCTAGTATAATAAATACGTTGTTCCCTCTAGCGCACCGAAACCATTAAGTTCCTAGATTATACTGCCTAATTACTGCTTCTTTTGTGTGACTCTTAAACTGTGCCTTTAAAACCTGCAGGCTGATTAGCTGATAGAAACAAGAGGGGCAATGAATTTTATTTCATGGTAGGGTAACACACAAGGGTGGCAAGGGGGAGTAAAATTTTATGTACACCATTATTATTTACTATTGCAAGCCTTGTTCACATGATAGAGCCAAAGCTTTGGAAACCATTTATTTTTGTGGAGGAGATAAAAGAAGCACTTTTCTTCTGCCTTTCCCTCATCTATTCTAGGGTTGAGCTCTGGCATTAAAAACTGATACCATGGCTGCTGGTTTTGGTATCAACAACTTATAATGCTTAGAACTTTCCTCAGGATAATAACGTTGTGGGAAACCAATTAGCTCCTGTTTCAAGATGAGTGGCAAAAGTTGGGAAGGAGGGATTCTGTGTTCTTTCCAAAAGGGAGATAGATCTGGGAGGGTTGCGGTTTTTTCCAGAGAACTCTAAATCAAGGAGAGAAAGGACTACTCCACAAGCTGAATGTATGGCGTTCTCACACACACCCTCATTCCACATCGACTCCTTGCACCTGAGGTAGGAGCAATCCAGACATGGAAACCTGATTTCTCATGCAGATTGCTCCTTGTATCATTAATTTGTGTGTGCGTCTTCAGTTTCCTCTGTGAGGAAGAGCAGAGATTGCTTCCACATGCAGACAGTTGGGACTGCTTAACTGAAACCTGGTATCTCCTTTTGTTGCCACAGCTTATGCAGAGTAAAGATGAGTGGATGAATTGTTAATGTGAATATTTCTGCATTTTTGCTGCGCTGATGACTTGTCAGGTTTTGAGTCTGTTCGGTGTATTTTAAATGCTATAAATAAAATACTACAAAAAAAAAAAAACCAAGACGAGAAGGGCAAATGTCACCATACCATGCCTGAGAAAACAATAAAAGGGAGCCCTCATCACACCCCAAAGACACAACCCAAATAGCCAATCCCTTTTGGTGTTTCCTCGCTGACAGCACACACCCACACCCATCCACGCCGTTTACCTTCCCGCCGGAGCGGTACCTATTTATCTATTTGCACTTTGATGTGCTTTCAAAGTGCTAGGTTGGCAGGAGCAGGGACTGAACAACGGGAGCTCACCCCGTCATGGGGATTCGAACCGCTGGCCTTCTGATCGGCAAGTCCTAGGCTCTGTGGTTTAACCCACAACGCCACCCGCGTCCCAAAGACACAATTCAAATAGCCAATCCCTTTTGGTGTTTCCTTGCTGACAGCGTGCGCGCGCACACACACACACACACACACACATCCCTGGCAGGCTGGTCTTAGATTGTCACTTTTCCAGCACCAGTGCAATGGGGGCTGGTTTGGGGAGTGCACTGAAGAGTTACAGCCAGCAGGCTCAGTGGGACCTAGTCCTGATGAAAATGCCTCTCAGAAACAACAGCCTCTTGGAGGCAGCTGTTTTTACATGGGGAGAAGGCAGGGCGTCTGAGGTCTCCCAGTACCAGTGCCTCTCTCCGCTCCCCTCTCTTCCAGCCACCTGCCTCACCCTACTTGCATCCTTATAATTATATACTTATTAACCCCGAAGCTCAGAATATTGTTTGAAAACTAACGTATTTTGGAGTATTTGGATGTAAAGCTCATTCAGCGGGTGCAGCGAGGAAACAAGATATTTCAGCCCTGCTATAAAAGCTTTTGAAGTCTACCAATTTCTCAAATGTTAAAGAGTCAAAAGGAGTCAGCTTCTGCAGGCTTAGAATTCCTACTGGTAAAAAAATAGGTCAGAGAAATGCAAGACTAATTATGGTTTCTCCCAAAAGCAGGCTGTATCTTTCCAAAGGTTTTGTTTTTCAAGGTTACAGATGTCTTTGAAGAGATTATGATGAAACGGAAAGATAATCTGTGCAGGAAGTAAAGTTCCTCAGAAAAGGAAATTCTGTTTTGTTTTGTGTTATTTACTGTTTACTAACTGCAGTATATCTGGCATTGCATGGGAATTCTAAGGCACCAAAAAATATCAGTGCAATTTTGAAAGGTTCAGTCTGCCATCTTAATTCAAAATGGCAGCCAACAATATCCAAATATAGGTGAAAACCTGCTCCCTGAGGAGCAAGATTTGGTTACACAATCTCAAGAGATGTCCCAGTGTACAGTGAACAATTTTCCAAAGCATTTAAAAATATTTCTACACTATCCACCCCCGCACCCCAATTCTTGCTTCCTAATGATACAGTTGATCATATACGGCATGTAACATGAAGTCTCCATTTCCCATGGTTCACTCCCCCACCTTCGGGGGGAACATTAGCCAAAACCAAAACATAAGTCACATTTGCCACAGTTTGTCTTAAGCATGATTTAATCATGAATGTCTCTCTCCTTCAGGGGTAGATACACGACTCCCCCTTCCTGCACAGTCCCTGCCCAATTCACAAAAAGTCCTCCTGTGATTTGTCATGTCTGAACCTGGAGAATAATTCCAACTCCAATTCACGAATTTTGTTTCCAACACTGACTTAGTATACCAGCCCTAAAATAAGGTAAAGGTACCCCTGCCCGTATGGGCCAGTCTTGACAGACTCTGGGGTTGTGCGCCCATCTCACTTAAGAGGCCGGGGGCCAGCACTGTCCGGAGACACTTTCCGGGTCACGTGGCCAGCGTGACAAGCTGCATCTGGCGAGCCAGAGCCGCACACGGAAACGCCGTTTACCTTCCCGCTAGTAAGCGGTCCCTATTTATCTACTTGCACCCGGGAGTGCTTTCGAACTGCTAGGTTGGCAGGCGCTGGGACCGAGCAACGGGAGTGCACCCCGCCGCGGGGATTCGAACCGCCGACCTTTCGATCGGCAAGCCCTAGGCGCTGAGGCTTTTACCCACAGCGCCACCCACGTCCCTAGCCCTAAAATAACCATTAACAAATATAAGTAGGAAACTTTTCATTAGTATAGCATGTCAGCAAGGTAGGCGGTCCTCTCCTTAGGAGTGTAATGTTTCTTGAAAGAATTCGTGCCCAACAAACTTAGATGAGAAAGTAGGGTGAATGGTTCGAATCCCTTTATGCTATCCACAGCTATAAATTCAGCTTCCAATGATGAACGCTTCTGCAGCTTCAGATGAATTAAATTTTATGCATTGTTGTGGCCATGCAGAGGAAAGGTGATGGAGAAATGCTTCAAAATTATTTTCCCCGATTTTAGGCTTTTGTAGCAATCTACTGCTTTAAGGAACTCTTGATCCCCTGGTACGCACCAATTTTTTTAGTTAGTGTATATATGTGTGGGTGGTGCATGTGCTCTGAAGGCAGGGCTGCTTGATCATCGGGTATTGTTCCAAAAGCTGAAATTGTTGGATTCTGCTTTGACTTAATGTTACCCTTGAGTCGAGGAAGATCTGAACGGTTATCTTTTATTTCCTTACACAAATTCTCCTAAAGTTTAAGAGAAGCCTGAACCAGGACTCAACAGACATGGAACTTCTTCTCAATTGCCACAAAAGTCCTTCCTTTTCCAGAGCAAGGACTTGGTTTTCACTTCGAGTCAGAACTTACTAACCAACAGTAAAGACAAAGTCTAGATTGAGGCAGGCTCAGTTTACCTTCCCCAGTGATAACACTGAACATTTTATAAAATGGAAGAAACCCACATAGCTAGGGCACCATGGAGGAGGGAGTGGTCATTCCTCAGAAACACCTATAACTCTGGCTGTTATGAATTATTTAAAAAAAGGAATAAGAATGTACTGCAAGTATATCTCCCCTTTTCCAATTCAATCTTGGGCAGGCCTTTGAATTTTGCTGTGAAATCTTTGCTCTCTCCAACTTTCTTGCCTGCCTATTAAAATGGCTCTCCTGTCACACTGAACATGCACATGACAATGTTTCTGGTAGGTTTCTGCCATTTTACTTTGCAGTGATGGATCGTTCCCTTTTTTTCATTAACAGTGGAGATCTCAGATTCTCTTCCACCGTCACCCTTGACTAAAGAAGTCACTAAGAGATTCTCCACGCCAGAAGCGAATCCGGTGTCGACAGAACCTGCCTGGCTGGCCTTAGCCAAGAGGAAAGCAAAAGCCTGGAGTGACTGTCCCCAAATCATTAAGTAAACGATACTGGTTTTGCTCTTTTTCTGTTGTTTATTAATTGCTCTCTCCTCTTTATTTATATTTTCACGTGACAGAACCAACTGGGACAAACATAAGTGCATATCCTGAAGGATGAAGAACATTTTTAACAGTTTTACCCATTTTTCCTAGCTCACTGCAGATTTCACCTACATTTTAGAATCTTTTGCATCGAAAATCTAGGGACTGTGGAATAGAGGTTTAGGCACAAAGCTCAAGTTTCATCTCTCTTGAAAGCATATGGATGTTATGTGTTAGGGGTTCATATCACTTTATGGATCAGTGCCGAAATGTTCCTGAATTTTGGCTCTGATGGTATGGATTTCCATTTGTGTTTTTTTTATATGTTCCTGCAAAGCAGATATTCCAGCCATTTAAGCTGCTAAAATGAATGTAATGCACATGTTGTTTCCACTTTTGAATGGAGAAAGTAATACCATTTACTGATAAATTTATAAATCTCTACAGGATTCTGGAAGACCTGCCTTAGTAGTAGTAAAGAGAGTATACTATGATTACCTTTTCTTAATGTTGCAAATAATTTATGGATGAATTTAAAATAATTAAGTTCAGCTTGTGACTGATGAAAGCACCGATACGCCCAGTCCTACCATAGAGTTTGCAATATAGTAGCGTCTCTCAGTTTGGAGCTATTAATGGAGTTAGCTCTCCTGTAATGAGAACCCATTAAGACGTTTTCACAAATTCAGTATTTTGTTTTAAAAAGCTTAATTGTGACAAAAATTGCCTTTATCAGCTGCTTCTAACTGGAAATATATATAAATAATTGACATGCTGAAACAGGGTGGCATCAAATATGCATTTTCCTACAATGATTTTACAAACCATGCAGAAGCTCTCATGCAAAATCCATGACAATATTTTCACTGCCGTTGTGTGCAGAAGTAAGCTATACTGGTAAAACATGGTAATAAGCTATACACCTCCATCTTTCAGTGATTGGTCGCAAGGCACAGATAAAAATAGGATTAAAAGCACATGTGAAGGCAGAACGACCACAAACACTAATCTTTCAAATTATACATAATTTAAATATTATACAAAAACCCACTTAGCCATGTACTGTAACTATCCCTATGCCTAAATGATTGCATATTAGGAACCCAAAATATTAACAAAAGGAGACACGATTCCAGCTTTGTGAAAATGGGGGATTTTTGAACTGCAGGAACTAGACTGTTTGGACTTCATTCTTACGGACCTTAGATTGCATATTCTCAGGAAAATAATTGTTTTCTGTACTTAATTAGCACTTTGATTTTCAACATCTGTGCCGGCATATCTGCATGTTACGCTGGCAGAACATGACTTCAGCACTTTTGTTAATGGCATGTTTTAAAAATATGTAGTTACTGTTAGATACGCAGTACAGGAAGTCGTAGAACAGACTTCAGATTGTAAATCTGGCTAAAGAACATTGCAGGGATAAGTGTAATTTATTTGCATGTAAGTCTTATTCCCCTTTAAATCTTTTTATCTCTAAAATGTGGAGGAAACAGTGATGTGTTTTTATGGTTACTTTTAAAATTGCTTCAAATTCAAGGATCACCAAATAGGTCTACAAGGTATGGAATTCAGATTGTTCCAGTAGATACGAACTGGTTTAAACAGAACTTCAGTTTGCCTGGTTTGTGGATTCTACAGCAAATGGGGTCTTCTAACTATTCCACCTAGAACTAGTTATATTTTTAAAGCCCTTTTTGTTTATAAGAGGCAAAGGTGCATTTTGATTAATTAATGGCTAATTCAACAGGATCCCTCATAGTACCACATTTGTTTTGCCAGAATAATGGAAGAACTCAATAATTAATCCAAGGAACATTTTGAGAACCAGCAGTTCTGCTCCAAAGTACATTTTTAAGGCAGCAGATGCTGTTAATGAATAGGCATCCTACAGAGGAAACAAAAGGTCAGTTGTGTTTCTGTAAAACTGCAAGCACAAAGGGGTTTTGGCAGTTATGTAGCTGCTATACGAATCGATGTCCATGTGGTTATTGGGCTATCAGTGTTGTTTTTGGTTTCATATTTAAATTCAAACCATAAGCGTTCCTAAATAACCCATCAATTTCAGGATTATTACAAGTGTTTAAGGCAAAAGCAGCCTTTAGGATTTCGTGGGAATCAAGTTCATAAAAGAGCCAGTTACTTGAAGAATTGAAAACAGCTCATATGCTTCCACTTAAGCGGCAAAGATTTCAACCAATATAACAGGTATGTTGAGGCTTTTTGTTTAACCCATGGCACAAATACCTACGTAATACAAGCACAGATTGGGCTCCTTCTGGCCAGCAGGGACATGATGGGGAAAGTCTGTTTGTGGATGTCCATCTCATGCAAAACTTACTGGTGACCCTCCTTTATTTTAGAGAGAGGTAACCTGCTGACACCAGGAAGAGCTCCTGCTGAATGTTGGTATAAGTAGCACATAGTACAGTCTGTATACAAAGAAAGTACAGGCCTGCCTTGATTGGTGCAGAAGCCTCTTGCTGGTGGCAAAAAATGGTTTTTTAAAGCACGCTTAATCTAATAGTGCTTAAACCTGGAATTGCATAAACTGCAATTACAACTTTGTTTCCTCAAATCCATTTCCAAGAATTTTTGGGAATAGGAGAGAAGGAAAGGGGAATGTGGGGGTTGAAAACTGGAGAGTTGGGTGGGATGAAAAATAATTTTAGGGGGAAAGGTGCTACTTGCATGATAAAAGGGGGGGAAAGACCTACCAAATAATTCTAGACACACTGTTAGCATAGAGCGTATAGTGAGTAAATAGTTCAAAAGCTTCAGAAGCAAAGTGTTTTCAAGCATGAGGGGGTCTAGTGTACGAAAATAGTATTCAGAGGCTCTGATCCAGAGAACCAAGGAAACCAGAAGGCTGTGTATCTCCTGCTGCTGTTAAAATGTTCAACAGGAATACCATCAGCATTGATAGCCCTGAGCATACTGTAGGCAGTAAGGGACACCTGGACTTAAGTTGGGAGGAACCCACTTTCCCTTCAGTCTACGTTACACATGATCAGGGTATCAGACGACGTATTGGTTACACTGCAAGGTGTGCTGCCCCTGCAGATATTTCCCCAGTCATTTGATGGGGGAGGGGGGTGTCCAAAGCAGCACTCTGTTGCATTTATAGGAAGGGGAAACCCATTTCCATTCATGAATCAGTATCTGGATCAGAGTTGGGGGTATGTACAATATTGGTTTGGAAACCTTTTTAGAAGCCTATATTTTCCACATTTTCATTTCATGTAAAAGTCAACTTGAAAATTTTGCACTAAATACCAATGAAGTGTTACTTTGCTTAAGCTCTGTCACAGCCTTTCTACTGAACAAACATGACATTTATTCAAAACACTTAAAAAACTGATCTGACCACTATGTAGAATATGGTCTCAACTTTTGGTGGCGGTGGAGTAACTTATATACAAAAGACTTAAGCTATAGGAAGTTAATCATATCCAAGTTCTGTTGAAATTAATAGGGCTTAAGCCAGTTATGAAAACTATGTTGTATTGATTTCAACAGGAGTTGGGCATCACTAACGTTTGGGAACAAAATATTATTTCTGAGGTTACAGATGCTTAACCTCTGTTGTTCATATAGTGGTGTATAAAATTATGAACAAATGTACAATTGTGGGGTTTTGTTTTGTGTACTTTTTTAATTTTTCAAATGTTTTAAAGTGCAATTGTTTCTTATACTAATGTCATTTTAATTCCTATTAAATTATAATCTGCTGAAAGTTATCAGAAGATGTACGTATTCATTGTCTTTTTGTTACAAATGTCAGGTTTATCTTCTAAGAAAAGCCTGAATTGCTATAGGTATCTAATTATGTGTTTTTACCAACAATAAAACCTAAGTAAAATTATCTATGACTACGGGATATATTAGTGCAATTTCTCTTTTTGGTTTTTGATCGTCAAATTTTAATGTAAATGGTTAATCACGGAAAATTTGTTCTATTTCAATAAAAAAAGACAAGTGTTTATGTAGCTTTGAAAGTACTTTTTATTTATGTTCTCATTTATGGGTTATTCATTGCTGCTTGTTTTTTTAAGGATACATGAAAAGGTTTAACAAGAAGTTCGTTCCTGCTGGTGATAATTCAGGGGAAAAACAGTGAGTTGTACTGCCATAAATGGAACTTTCCCTACCCACCCCATCCCCCCACCCCGGTGTGTCCCTAAAATCTGCTTTATGGGCTTGGAGAACTTAGAAGCAGATTAGGATGGCATGGAGAGTTACAGTGAGGAAGACAGGAAAGGGAAAGTCATGCCTTGTCTGCTCCCATGACATTAGATACCTCCCTGTGATTTTCACTCAAAAAATCATCCATAACTGTTAAGAGCACCTATATGGAGGTAGATATTACCTTTAAAAAATGTCCTGTATGCTATGCATGATCCTTATAGCATGTAATAGAAAGAGCACTTTGTTTCACAACATTAGCACTTTGATTTTCAACATCTACTGTATTTTTCGCTCTATAGGACGCACTTTTCCCCCTCCAAAAATGAAGGGGAAATGTGTGTGCGTCCTATGGAGTGAATGCAGGGGGGGAGGCAGCCAGGAGAAGCCCCCAAAAGCTCCGTACGGCTCTTGCGGGCTTTTCCTCAGGAGGGACAAGGGACTGACGCGGCCGCGCAGCTCCTGTGGGCTTTTGCACAAGGTGGGGGTATTGCCATAGCCGCGCGCCACCTCACCAGCCAGGAGAGCGTGTGCGGGGCTAAAGAAGCCATAGCCCTGGTCCCCGGCACCCCCGAGAAGCTTGCGGAGCAACGGGAAGGCTGTGCGCCTTTCTGCTACTCCCCGACCTGCTCTTTGGGGCTGGCGGTGGGCTTCCCCTTGCCAGCCCCAAAGAGCAGGTCAAAAGGAACCTGAAGCCTGGAGAGCGAGAGGGGTCGGTGCGCACCAAGGTAGCCTCCTGAAGGCGGCTGAACGCACCTTGAACGGCACCTTGTTTTAGAGGGGGGAAATTCTCCCCCTCTCTGCGCAGCGCCTCCTGCCGCTTCGCTGAAGGGGCGCTGGGCAGAGAGGGGGAGATATTTTTTTTCTTGTTCTCCCCCCTCTAAAACAAGGTGCGTCCTATGGTCGGGTGCGCCCTATAGAGCGAAAAATACAGTACCTGTTTTCTGGAACAAATGTAAACTTCTGTTTTGTCATTTGCACATTACAGAAATGAGCCAAAGCAGCACTAAGTGTCCTGCCAGCACAAGGATTCCTGCTTGGCAACAGGGCCCTCTCTTCCCCCTAAATCTCCTCTGGTGCTTCCCTCAACCCTCAAGCAGATTTACAGAGGGTGCAGGTGTCTGTGCAGAGGAAGAAGAGGCAAGAAGTCCTGTTGTGCAAGCAGCAATTCTTGTGCTGGTGGGACACTTATCCCCGCACATATATCAGTATTGCAATATATGATAAAAAGTTAAACAGTGAACCCTATCAGCTCATCCATTCCTGCAATATTCAGTACTTTTCTATCACTGTTGGGGGTTGATGCTGCTCTCAAATAAAAAGCTCAAGCCATGTTTTCGAAATGCTTTGTAATAGCAAATCCATAATTTCAAATGACTTTTTCTTAAATATCATATGCTGCCTTTTGGGGGGATCAAAATTATTCCACATTCTAAAGTGCCCTGGTAAAATATAGTATGGCATCTAACACAGCCATGGTCAGTACATTTTAATATATTAGCCAGTGATGACCATGGCTATTAGAATATATTTTATTGAAAGTACCCAAGTAACTTGATGTCAAGAGAACTCTGTTATGTCAGGAAGCTGGGGTTTAAATTAACAGATGATTTTGCACTAGGCCTGGGCAATGTATTGGTACATCGCCCGGGGCCAGACCACGATGGCCGCTTCACCTGGCAGTATATTGTGGGTGAAACTGCTGCTGCTGAGTCCCTCTGCTACCAGCGGGCAAGGGAGAAACGAGCTGCAGCAGACGATTCACCACTAGGGTGAAGCAGCTATTGCGCTCTGGCCCTCATCCTGCTGACAGAGGAGCAAGCTACATTTGTTCCTCCCTCAGCTCCCTGCACAGGCAGATGGCTCCTTTGAACTTGTGGGGTGCGTGGCTGCCTACCCCTCAGCAGGGAAGTGTAGCAAGCCAATGGTGGGGTTGTGGCTCCATTACACTTGAGGGTGTGTGTGAGCGGGTTGCCTCAACCTCCTGGGAGAAAGAGGTAGCTCGCCGGGCTTCCTCAAGTGTAACAGAGCTCCCACCTCACCTAAGCCAGAGGTGGGGTGCCTCCCTTAAACTTCTCTGTTCAAGGGCACAGACATTGGGCTTGCTGAACAGTGCAAAAAAGCTGCATTGTCCCTGCCCGTGAGGCACTGGGGTGAAAGCTCCTCAGCTCCTGTGGTGAGAGCTGCAGTAGTTTTATCCCATACCTCACAGGCTGGGGCCAACGGAGCTTGTTTCAACATCGCGTCAGATTACAGTGCTTGGCTGGCGGTACATTGTGATGTTGAAAACCTAACACCACCCAGCCCTATTTTGTACAAGCAAAATTAAAAATACCCAAAAAGGGAAATTTTAGGCACCTTATTTGGTTTTAGAACCACATAAATCAAAGCAATAAATATAGTTATTTCTACAGCCCACAATGATCGTTGTTCCCCATACAACAGGAGATGAGAACACTTCCCCTGGAAGCTTCTCTTCACCTTCTACCAAGCCAGTCTTGGCATTCAAGATCCATATTCTGCCATCTGTGGATGCCACTGCCAGAAGTGTTTCACCTTGTAAGGCATGATGACGGAAAACAAATGGAATTGCATATACAGTTGATGTTGTTTCAAATTTCCACAATAAATTACCTTCCGTACTACAGCAGTAAGTAAAGTTGTCATGGGATCCAAAAAATATATCGCTGGAAAAATCTGAAATACATGGCGATGAAAAAATTGGTCCATTGCTGGAAAACTTCCATATCTGCGTGACAATATCGAGAAATTAAACAAGTTATTGAAATTTCTATTAGTGTCAGCCAGATGTTTTACTGCTGCCGCAAATGAGTGCCAGCCTTTGTACCTCCTCACAAATACCGTATTTTTCACTCTATAGGACACACTTTTTCCCCTCCAAAAATTAAGGGGAAATGTTTGTGTGTCCTATGGAGCGAATGCAGGCTCCTTGGCTTCAGCGAAAGCAACGCGAAGCCTCCAAAGCGCAGAGGGAGCGCTCGCTCCGGAGGCTATGCGTTGCTTTCGCTGAAGCCTGGAGAGCGAGAGGGGTCGGTGCGCACCGACCCCTCTCGCTCTCCAGGCCTCAGGGATAGCCGCCTGAAGCCTTTGGAGCGCAGCGGGAACTCTCGCTGCACTCCAAAGGCTTCGGGGTTAGCTGCGAAAAGCCTCCCCAGGGCAGCGGGGTGCCTTTATCCCGCTGCCCTCCGGAGGCCTCATGGGCTGTCCCCGAAGCCAGAACTGCAAGATGGAGCGCTGCGCAGCGCTCCGTCTCGCTGTTCTAGCTTCGGGGTTAGCGGCGCAAAGCCTCCGCAGGGCAGCAGGGTGCCTTCTTCCCGCTGCCCTCTGGAGGTTTCGCGGGCTGTCCCAGAAGCCTCCACAGGGCATGGGGATGAAGGCTCCCCGTGCCCTGTTGAGGCTTCACGCAAAGCTAGACCAGCTAGAGGCAGCGCTGCCCAGCTATCCCAGTGGCTATCCCAGAAGCCAGATCCCTTTTGCTGTTCTGGCTTCTGGGATTCAGAATTTTTTTTTCTTGTTTCCTCCTCCCCAAACTAGGTGCGTCCTACTGAGCGAAAAATACGGTAACTTTACAAATTATACAATTTGAGGCCTAATCCAGCAGACTCACCTTTTTCCTTTCACCCACATGCATTCATTAAGATACTCAGTAGCTGCTTCAAGTGAAGCAGCTATCACAGCTCAAGCAGTACACAGAGCTTTCATATCACCTCATACATATTTGCATATATTCCATATATTCTGCTGCCAAGTCCTCAACTGAAACCTAAAGTGAAGCACCTCCAAGTACATGCATGTGTGAATTAGGGCTTGAAGATGAAGTCACAAGAGTCCAACTAGAAAACTCAAAAGTGCTATCACTCCCAAGAACTGCAGTTGATAGCAAAAGCAGTTCTCCCCCTACAAAAATAAAATCAAATCGTAGTAGAGTCATCCTCTCACCCCCACTAAGCACAAGGCCCAGAGTGATCTTGAGAGCAAAATCAAGGAAGAAATGCTGTAGCTATGGATAACTCACACAAACTGGGTAGATGCATGTTCGAGATATGACTAAGGCAAAATTTCTAGATGTCCTAGAACAAGTTGGTCTTGGAACCAAGAACTAGGGTCTTGACCTTATAGTAAATCCTAGGTGGACCCAAGGACTTTGGGTGAGATGGAAGTGTTGAACTGACTAGAAACAGTGAAGACGGCGCTTACGAACTCAACATGTATGTAAAGAGACTTCTCAAAGTTATAACAGTCCTTGGCTCAAAGAAGTATCAAAATGCACATGTTGAGATAAATTATGCTTATAAATACATATTTAGGTATTAAAATCAAAGCTTAAAGCAGAACAGTCTTATGGACTAGAAAGATACTGAAATGATAATCCAGTTAGGTTACCACTATCAGCTCTAGTAAACTGGTAGAAAGCATTATCAAGTGTGCAATCCTATACAGATTTACCTGGAAAAGGCCCCACTGAACTCAATGGGACTTGCCTCTGGGTAGACATGTATATGACTGCACTGTGGGTTTTGAATAATCACGTGGCTTCTGCAAAGGTAAGTCCTGTCTCGCTAACCTCCTGGAATTTTCCAGCTCTAGTCTGGAAGATACTGCATACATCAACTTTCAAGAAAAAGTATGGAGCAGCTTCCAGCAAGGTCCCCCAGCTGATCTCATCTTTCCAAGGCTTCCATCCTCAGACAGGAGCCCACTTGAGAAGACCTTTGGAGATGCATATCAGGCAGGCTATAAGCTAGCCTGCATTGTGCTTTCAAGGGCATTCCAATGATCCCCACTCTATCAAGTTCTTTCTGCTAGAAATGCTACTGGGCTCCACTGCCAGAAGGAGGAATTTGTCTGAACCTGCTCCAACGGTGGTGATAACCTGCACCAGCTGTGGGCTCTATGGAAGTAACTGGTGGACCACATTTGGCTTGTGGGCCAAAACTTCCCAATCCTTAGTAATGTGGTGCACTTTGGTGCAAAAATGACATGAAGGCAATAGCAGACATGCCTGGCCCCTGTGTTAAACAGGATGCTGGACTAGACAGACCTTTTCTCTGCTCCACTGTGACTCTTCTTCCTTCTTAACTTGTGAAAAACAGATTTACATAACACAAGCTCCTTTGGGCCAGTTATGGATGCTATAAGGAGTGAATTGAGTTAATAAAGACAGGTGCTTACCTTTTCTCCAAAGTGGCTAAAGCAATATAAATTTCCATCCACACATCCTACACATACAAAGTCCTTGTTGCAATGTGGTGATGAGAAGATAGGTTTTCCGCAAAAGCTCTTCCAGATTGCGTTCCCCGTAATCTGAAAATGCATGCGTGAAATGCATTGTTTTAGTGCATCCCAGAGCTTCAGCTAATGGGAAAATGAAGCAGCTGGCCAAAGACATAGAAGTATCTGATACAGTGGTGCCTCGCAAGACGAAATTAATTCGTTCCGAAAGTCTCTTCGTCTTGCGAGTTTTTCGTCTTGCGATGCACAGTTTCCCATAGGAATGCATTGAAAATCAATTAATGTGTTCCTATGGAAACTGCCTTCAGACCAGGTCCGGGGACAGTCTGTCCCCCGACCTCTTCTGAAGGCTGGGGGGGGGCAAGGGCTTTTCTTCCCACCCCCAGCATTTTAAAAAACCCCGGGACAGCGGAGGACTTCTCCGCTGTCCGGGGCGATCTTAAAATGCTGGCGGGCGGCATTTTAAAATCGCCCCGGGACAGCGGAGGACTTCTCCGCTGTCCGGGGCGATTTAAAAGCCCCTGGGAAGGCAGGCAGGGGGGACAAAGATTTTCGCCCCCCGCCCGCCTTCAGAAGAGGTCCTGGACCTCTTCTGAAGGTGGGCGGGGGCGAAAGTCTTTGCTCCCCCCTGCCTGCCTTCCCGGGAGAGCGGAGAAAGGCAGCGCGTTTCTCCGCTGTCCCGGACGGCTTTTGAAGCCTGCTCCTCCCCATCACCAGCCCCGCAAACTCAGGGGACAGCGGGAGAGGCGCAGCGTGCCCTTGCCGCTGCCCCCCGACTTGGCTGGAAGGCTGGCGGGGGGAGAAGCCTGCTCCTCCCCATCGCCAGCCCCGCAGCCAAGTCGGGGGACAGCGGGAGAGGCGCAGCGCGCCCTTGCTGCTGCCCCCCGACTTGGCTGGAAGGCTGGCGGGGGGAGAAGCCTGCTCCTCCCCATTGCCAGCCCCGCAAACTCGGGAGACAGCGGGAGAGGCGCAGCGCGCCCTTGCCGCTGCCCCCCGACTTGGCTGGAAGGCTGGCGGGGGGAGAAGCCTGCTCCTCCCCATCGCCAGCCCTGCAAACTCGGGGGACAGCGGGAGAGGCACAGCGCGCCATCCCGCTGTCTCCCGACATGGTTTGGAGGCTGGCGGAGGGCTTCCTCCTCCCCCAGCCCCGCAAGCTCCCAGAGCGATGCCAAAGCTGCGCGCAGCTTCGGCATGGCTCTGGGTCCCGTTCTGGGGGAGGGGGAAGCTCGGGCTTCCCCCGCCCCAGCCCCACGCCTGGCGGTGGGGGAATAAATTTTTCCCCCTTTATTCCCCCCCCCCGCCAGGCTTCGGAGGAGGTCCGAGGACAGTGGGGAAGACGCGCTGCGCTTCCCCGCTGTCCCGGAGATTTCCCTATGGGCTTTCGTCTTGCGAAGCAAGCCCATAGGGAAATTCGTTTTGCGAAGCGCCTCCAAAACGGAAAACCCTTTCGTCTAGCAGGTTTTCCGTCTTGCGAGGCGTTCGTCTTGCGGGGTACCACTGTACTAGGAAAATGAGAGAACATTCTTCCTTTAGCATCTGAGTAACTGCTCCTATAATGAAGACACTTCATTACTTAAATTCCAAATGGATTGGAATTAGAAGTAATGTCACTAACAGTATGAGGTATAAGTGACAAATGCAGTAACAAGTGAACTAGCACAGCTCTCCGTGTTTCCCGACTTCACAGGCCCCAAGGTACATATTCTGCCATAAAATGGGAAGAACATACAACTGAAACAAGGCAATGCAATCAATCAAGTTAAGCAATTAGGGATGGTTCTCCTGTACTAGAAATATATGTTGCTGAAGAAACTGGCCACAGTTAAACTTGTCACCACCTTATAAATCACATAACTATACAAGAAGGGAAATGGTTCTGAACTAAGCCAATGGAATTAAGCAAAAAAGTAGCTTTTTGATTCCCAAATAAGTTCTGTTTGTGATGGTGTTTCTTGTGGTGAGTGTATGCTAACACAACATGCGTTATCAAAACAGTATGGAGGCTCCCTCTGGGTTATTTCTCTCATCTCACTGTCTCCCAAGCTACTCCCAAGCTACTACTATTACCTCTCCCCACCCTGAGTTCTTAATTCTCCATTTGTATTATTTCTGGACCATAAACAGCAATAAAGTTACATACTGGATTTACAGCTAGCAGCAGCCCTCCAAGTGTAGCAATATACAGGTGATGTGGTAACAGATTTAGGTGAGGAGAGGAGAATACAGCTCCAGCTTCACAGTGTAATTTCCAGACACACTCTTTCCTCTGTCAGCATAACAGAAAGACAAATGCAAGTTAATGATTCCATTGCTCAACTAAATGTTAAAGTGCAATACACGGTTTCAAAATTCTGCAAACTGGTACAGTGTTATCATGTGTTCCACTGTGGAAGAATCTTTGTGCTTAATTGGGATGATACTTATACCCAAAGTTGCAACCAGTTCATTATTACTATTCAGAACAAAAATATGGGGTTCACAGTTCTACCTCATAAACAGCATTACACACATTCAGCAGCAGTAGGCAGATAACTGCTAACTGTTCAGCTAAAAAGGGGGTGGTGTTGCATGCCATACCGATTCTGTTGAGTGGTAACAATTATGGAAATAGTGGTGTGGTAAGAACTTTAAATGGCTACAGTGTGAGGGTTGTAAGCAGCAAATAAGCCGACCACATTTAAAGCAGGTCTAACTAACTGGGATTTTTAAAAGCCCATAACAGCTGACGGGTTGTAGCTTTCGGTTTCTTACAGAGCTTGAGCTACATTTTACTAACTTGCATTAAGACTGCAATTCTAAATTACCTAGAAGCTCCACTAAAATCAAAGGGACTTGCTTTGCGCTATATCGATACAGGAGGCATTTTCATTATTTCTTATTGGCCAAACATTCATGACTACTTACATAAATATCTAAAGCGTATACATGACGGTCATGAGATCCAATGAAGACTATTCCTGTGGAAGGATCCACAGCTGGAGAACTTTTCACAGCATCCTCAGTCGCAAATGTCCAGTGTGTTTCCCCATCACTCCTTCTGAGGACATATACCAACCCATTATAACATCCTGCAAATAATCACAGCCACAGAAAGCAGATATATTTGGATAGGCACTGAATTATTTAACTGTCCACAAAAATACTGAATTTTTGAAGTCCTTACATGCTTATCATTCATTCAAATACAGGAAGTCCATTCAAAACTTCCGTGGGATTCTTTATAAACTGGTCTCCATTGATGGGCACTGCTTTTCATATGCTGAGAAAACTACTAGCCCATGGTACATCCCACATTTATTTATTAGAATAAAAAAAGAACTAAATCAACTACTGAACTATGAAGCGGTCTTAAAAAATCACTAGTTGTTCAGTTGCTGTAAGTTTTGATTAGAAGAGCAGTGGCTAAACTCTTTTGGCCCATGGACCTTATTCACTCTTGGCCAATGATGGGTGTAACTAAAAGTAGGTATAGCCACACCACCGCCTTGATCTGTTTGTAATTGCCCCCTCCCTGCTGATCAAATGATCAACCAGCACCATGTCTTTCCTTGTTTTGTTTCTGCCACTGCCAAATTGGCTAAGGCCTTGAGGGAGAAAAGGAACAAAATTGCTTGGGGGAGAAGGTAAGACCTGCAGGCTGAGGGTTAGCCACCCCTCGCTTAGAATGCCAAAGAAAAGAGAAAAGTGATAAATACGTACCAAAAACAAGGAAGTTTCCGCACCTAGATACGCAGGCAGACGACTCAATGCGATCTGCAAGGTTTCTCTCCCACTTGACTTTTCCTGAATATTGGTCAATTGCTTGAATCACGTGAGAATGCGATCCAATATACACAAAGGCAGATAATTTTTCGGTGACAACTAGTGGAGATGCATCCACACATTTGCCCAGGTCTGACTTCCATCTGAGATGCAACATTAACTTTTCAGCCGTTTGCCCAAGATTCTCATGTACAGGAGTGTTTAGTATAGAATCATCTTCTGCCATATTTGCACTGCTGACAATTGTTTTATCCCGCACACTTGGCAAAACTTCTCTCTCTCCTGCTTGCTCTGTATTACTGTGGTTCTTCAAGGGGTCACCCATAGACAACAACCGGTTTCCTCGGGTCACTGCAGTAAATCCAACAATATTTGATTCAGCTACTGGGGATCTTTCAGGTTTTAGCTGCACATACTTTTTACTGGGCTCCTCTCTGCTGCTCTCACTCAGCTTTCTTTTTACAGCATGGTTACAGCTTAATTTCAGGTTTTCGCTTGGGAAAACTGTTTTTAAGATATGTCTGTAGACCTCTTCGATGGATCTACTGAGAATAATTTCCAGGAGGCCAGGGACAGGCTTGCCTACCATATGTTCAATTTCATCAAGGAACTGTAATGATTTTAAGGAATCCCCGCCACTGTGCAAAAACCGTGACTCTCTTAAAATGCTTGCGGATTCATCTGGGAAATTCAGAACAGCCTAGGGGGTGAAAGGAAGAAGCAAAACATGTAATGCACACACTTTTGACTTTGATCATGCCTCTTTGCTTGCCCTGATGGAGCGGTGTGGGTATGTGCATAGAAACCTTTGGCTTTTGCACAGCTGGAAGGCAGCATTTTGTACCAATGGTTCTGCCCACTTCTACTTCTGTTTTGTTTTGCTCAGTACTGGCACGTTGCTCCTGAAAGGTTGCCCATGTAGGAATGAAGTCCTTTTTATTTTATTTTAATAAAAGTGTTTACATTGCCTTTTATATACTGCAATATGAAGGTGGTCTACAATAAAGCATAAAACTATATAAAAAGAATACAAAACGATGATCAAAGTAGCTGGCCAGTCAAACTAAAATTGATTATCCAATTAAGTTCTGCCCATTAATTTCAGTATGAATAACATTGGATACAACCCGAAATCTTGGCTCACTCCAGTTTTTTTCTATAAAACAGGGCAAAACTTGTTGGGACGAAAGGAAAAGGAAGCAATTATTATTGCCCCTTTTCTCTTACACTGAAATAAGGAGACCCTTTCTCTGTGCTCATTTTATGCCAACAACCTGGGCCTGGGGTGTTTACCAACATTTAAGCCTTCCAGGAGGGTGAGTAGGAGAGAGGGATAATTGTTTCCATATACAATAATTATTGCAAAGCTGTAGTAAAACACCAAATTAATGTAGGGATTTGTAGTATATGCTGCACATGCCAAAAAATATTTAGACTATATTCCTCTCCTGCATTCCTAAGATGTATGGAAACTCAATTGCTATGATACAGATGTAGCTTAAAACACTACCTTCCATAAATGCTGCAATCTCTCCCACAATTCATTCTCATTCAGCTTACTATCACTCCTTCTAGAGTTCAAATGGCTGCTGTAAATCCTGCTCAGCTCAGACACATCCATTTTGCCTTTATACAAAAGAAAAGGTTTTTTAAAAAAATTATATGAAAGGTAAGGATTTCAACATATTTGGTAAGGCTCGAAGTTTCATTAGGTACAAATAGGCATGCACATCTATTTTACTACAATGCAGACCTCAAGGACGAAGTACACATTACGTTACCTACATTAGCAATCATGCTGTGTGTATTTTTAAAATAAAATTTCAGAAGCAATGCAAGGGGAATGAAAGTCACTGGAAGGACAGCATTGCTGGAGGTTTAAGTCTTCCAACCTCAGTTATGATCTTGGTAAGCAAATCCTCAATTCTCACCACCCAACATGACAATAAGCATTAGGAAAAAACCTCACATTAATGCCCATAGGAGTTTCTTTCCTAATGCAATCCATGCTTGATGGAGGAGGAGTGGGGTGGTGGTGGTGATGGGGAGGCTGCAGGAGATGTGTATGGTCTATGTGTTTAGTGAAGCTTTACATATAGCTTGTCCTTCAATCTGTGTGGCAAACCAGTTCTGAGAGTGTCAAAACTGTTTCTTGTGTGTCTGTTGCTCCAAGAAAAAGGAAAATTAAAGCTCTGAGAATGGTTCTGCTTTTGCTGAGATTCACTAAAGAATTTGACACATTTGGCTTCTCCACAACACTTAAATACAACATATACGTATACTGCTTGCAAAGTTACACTGCAATTATAGGACAGACTCCCCAAGGAGACCTGACAAGTGAGATTTCTATGTAATCGTTGCTGTCATGTTTAGACCTTTTTGTGTGTGTGTTTTTCAGACTTTCAGAACTTGGTATGTGTGGATGTTTGCACTGCATCGGTCCTGCATACGTTTTTAAATAATATACTTTCAATTTGAGCTGATTTTTAAAATGGAAGAGTGCTTAATATAAATTATTAAGGACATTTATTTAAACATAATTTATCTTACCATGTGATGTGAATGGTAAAGTGTCAATCAGCAAAACCTCATCTGGGACTGCATGGCTAGGAAGACATTCCTGGAGTTTCTTTAAAATGTCTCTTTTTTTAAAATTGCCTTTGGGCACAACGAACAGAAGTAATTTTTCCTGTTGATACCATATCGCAGCACATGTTTCCACTGGACAGTAGCCTTCCGCAATCTGAAAAATAAATTGATTACTCTGGCTTAATCTAGCAACAATTATAGAAAACGACAACTACAAGCAACAATATAACGGAGGTAAATCAGATGCCTCTATTTTCCTCAACTCTTTCTTCATTTTATAATTCAAATCTAATTTAGTGACCATAAAAATTATTGCACTGAAGAACGAGCAGAATAAGTAATTTGAAAAGCTTGGTGGATGTTATTGCACTGCTGGACCTAGACAATGAGAGATGCATAAGCACTTTTTATTGAACCTCTATTCGTGTAGGAGTCTATAAATATTCCACTTACACAGAATGCTTGAAAGGTAGCTATTTGTCAGCTACAGAGAAAGGCAGGGGAGGTGGGGAGAGAACAATGCTGGCAATGAATACAAATATTTTAATCATGAGATAGTCATATCACAAATTCCTATCACATGATGTGAATGGAAAGTAAATAAATACTGTTGGCTTTGAGTATTGTTTGATTTTTCCAGTATGGCTGAAATAACTATCTTTCGGGGGGGGGGGGGGAGTCTAGGCTACTATTAACCAGAGAGAATAATTTTAGAGCTTCCAAATGCATCTTCTATTGGGCATCTTCTGTAGAACAATATTCTACATCGTGAAAAGAAGGTATTGAATCGATAGCAATCAAATAAGAGTTACTGAATACTCAATGCTATTTCAGAAAAGTACAAATACGGATGTACAAAAAAATAGAGAGGGATGAGTAGAGAAGACAAAGACAACAGCCTTCCCACTAGCAACACAAGAAGCACAGGGCTCAAGCAGAAAGTCTTCAGTGGGGTATCTATGAAGCCAGCTACAAGGCCATGTGCCACCTTCTGAAAGCAGACTGCTTGCTCCTCTTCAATGCCATGGCTATCAGAGGGTTTGTGCCTGTATGTTACTCTCTGTTATCAACATTCAAAGGCAGAATAAAGGTAGTATGCATGTGCAGCCCTCATTCCCCGCCAGAGTTGGTATGGAAATGGGGTCTAGATTTTTAAAGGCAGGATTTTCTTGCATATCTTGGGGAACCCTATTGTCTAGAGGGAACCCTTTCAATCAAGTCTCTTGCCCCGTTTTGCTGTCCAGTGTGTCCACATGAATTACGAACTGGGGAAAGACCATCAAAAGGAACTAATCCCCAGGAAATATGTCACGATTCCATCTTGTACAACAATCTTGCTGCTCCAGTTGCCTATTTCGGACAGTCTTCAAGGGTAGCCCTATGTAGAGTTCATTGCAGTACTCCAGAAATGAGATTAACAGGACAAAGATCATGACCAGGCTCTCTAGTCTACCTAAGAACTTTGATAGTTATTTATTACATTACCTGCTGTACATATTCAATACTGAGGCGCTTGCCATGACGTTTAATTTGATTGTCCTTCCGCCCCAAGAATAACATTTCGGTATCCTTAACTCTTACAAAGTCTCCAGTTGCTCTCATTGTGCCCTTAGGTAGTGTTACTTCATCATCAAGAAAGCAGACACGTTCCTCACCTCCTGTTCAAAAAAAGATCATGCAGACCAAAGTGGTCCACAAGCAGACATCAAGAGCCAGAAAGATGGCTAAAGAGCAGGTAACAAAAGAAAAAAGAAAAAGAAAGCAACAGATATGCCATCCAGCTGGGGGAAGGTGCAGTTTTTCAAAAAATCAAATACTGAAAATCTGAAACATTTACACTAGGTGACTAGAATGGATACGAAAAGCAACATCCTGCTTGATTATTTAAAATCTGTCTGATGCTGTCTTTAAAAAGTTGTCTTAGGATAAAGACAACCAAAAATACCACCTTTTAATTTGGATGTGCCAGTATGTTATGCCCAGCTAACAAGAACAGGAGATAACATGCTAGTTCAGACAAAAAACTATTTTTTAAAACGAATGCCAATCTGCTTCAAAGCACCACTATCTAGGTTATTCAAAGGCTCCAAGTCACCAGTAAATAAAATCACAGGGTTGTTCCCAGAAGTTCTAAACGCAGTTAATAATAAAATAAAAGCCCCGCTGGATCAGAGGAAAAGTCCAGCATCTTGTTTATAGTGCTGGTCAACTGAATGCCTCCAGGAAGTCAGAAACTTTTTTACTGGAGAGTGCTGTTTATGGCTTCCCCTAGGCAACTGGTCATATTTGCCATGGTGAGAACAGAATGCTGGTCTAGATGTACCGCTGGTTTGATCCAGCAGGGTACAGCGCATGATGGGAACAGCCTGCTTGCTCACTCTTCTCCAGCATACTGTCTTTGAACATGGGGGTTCAAAGTAGCTATCATGACCAGCAACTGTTGATAGATTTGTCTAATCCTTTTAAAGGACCATTTAAGCTCATGGCTTTCACCACACCTTCAGGTAGTAAACTCTATAATTAAAAATATTAGATAGAAAATCACCTATGAACACTTGACCTTCACCTTCTAGAACGGCAGAACCATTAGCATCCTTGACTTCAACTGTTGTTCCAGACAGTGGGGTTCCCAGTGGTACAAGGGAATCAAATCTAAAACCAAGGAGAAAAAATGGAAAAGTAATGTAGGAGTAGGAGACAGGGAGAGAAGTTCTTAAATATAACATCGAAAGTGAAGAATCCAGGAGTACTCCCAAACTAAATACTTGGAGGAATGCAACTCTGTCCTGGACTACCAGTCAGAGTTGCATATTTCCCAACCTGAGGCACTTGTCTGGTTCAATTTTCAGTTTATTCATTGTCATGTACCCCAATCTAGCCCCCAGACATCTGTTTAGATTTTCCACTGCCTCCCTGGGATTAGGTGGAAAAGTGTTGCAAAACTATGTCTCATCTCCATGTTGATGACATCCCAGCACAAACATCATGTAGATGTTAGAAAGCATCTCTGGAAAAAGAAATACGCCAACAACCATTTCTGACAGATGCCTGAGCTCATGTGAATTATTTCTTAAGATTAAAAATGCAACACAAGTACTATTCAAAACGTGACTACTTCTTTAAGGTCATTTTATCCAAATGTTAAAGGCCTGCCTTTGAAACTCTCTCTCATATCAAACACCCACAGAAATCTACTAAGATCATTCCATCTACAGAGGATTTGTACTACTAAGCTTTTTATCATTTATTCATCAACCAAAGTGTGCATGCAGGCAGCAAAACAGAATGACATTTCCTACCGGTGATCAGAACTAAAAACCTCCTCGGGAACCTTGTAGCATGTGGCCCAGCAGGAAACTTCTGTAATACCATAGATATTAAACACGTGTGTTTTGTTTCCCTTTCCTCTCCAGCTTCTTAGCACGTTCAGTCCAGGAAACGCTTCTCCACCGAGAGCTAAGATTCGCAAGGACGTATCAGCAGACAACACTGTTGATTTGATGCGCTGAACTCCAAATCTGCGCAGAAGTGTGGGTGTAGCCTATGCGTTATAGAAAATAAGTTTCCAGATAAGCATCTGCCATCCACCAAAATCTATTTCTGTTACTTGTACTACCATATACAGCAGAAACAGGCAACTAGAAGCCCTGTGGACAGAATTTAGACTGCAGCAGACTTAGGGCCCCTCTAAGTGAGAATGTCAGCACTGTAACTTTCTATGTACTTTGTGCTGCTTGGAAACTATTAATGTTGGATGAAAAGAGAAATCAACAGGATCAGTTGTGTGGCTACTGAGAACCCATTACTGGTTCTGCTAGTTAAAGACTATGGTCATACAGACTAGGTTCTCAAGATCTGGACACCTGGACACTGTCTCATGATGCTCACAATGAGTGATAGGGCTTTAATTCACTGCTGGAAGACAAGCCATGGCTAAGTGGCCTCTTTTCTCTCTGAGACAACCCTAAGCAGAAACTCTGCAAACAGAAATTACTCAGTGACTATTCTATGAGTCAATGTCCAAATTTTAAGAAGCTGTAAACAAAGGTTGCACATATCCTAAGTACACATATAGCTCAAATCCAAAATATTTACTTGGAAGCAACATGCTGATTATTTTTAATTTTTTTTTACTCATTTAATAAAAGCAGGTCAACTGAGTCTAAAGCTCAAGTGGAACACTGACAGAAGCTACACTTGGAAAAACAAACACATTCCCCCCACCCCACCCCATCCTTTTCCTAATGATCCTTAAAATGTCAGTCTCATTTTTCACAGTTACTGCACATTTTCATTGAGAGATTTAAAAATGCACAGAAGACAAAATGACTGTACTGACTGATCATCATTGTATTCCAGTGTTGTGCAGAAGCAGCATTCAGAGCAAACGGTCAGCACTTCTCATATCTTACCTGTAATACAGACACTCTGTGGTGCTGAAAAAGAGCCTCAGACAACTCCTGTGGCATCATTTTAATCAGGTTAGGAACTATAAGCAGGGAAGCCCCACTTGCCAGAGCAATGAACAGCTCAATTACAGATGGATCAAATGTCAGGGGAGAGGCCATAAACACTGTATCATCTGGTGTAACCTTAAATACATCTCTAAAGAAAAAAAGACACACAAATACCTCTTCAACCATCGCATGCATTTTGGAATCCAAAACTAGCACTTTCACAGATAGAACCCCCGCCACATTTAACAATGGAGATGTACAGAATCATGCAGGCATCAAACAGGCCAATGAAACCCCCTCCCACCAGTATAAGAGGGCATGACAAGTTGACAATGCTCGACTGCCCCCTACCCACTTTCATTTCCTCCACCTGGAATATTCAATTATTCTGTGGGTCTAGGTTTCTCTCTCCCTTAGGTCTTCTTGTTCTCAAGCTCTAACAGGATATATCTTTGTTTAAAATCTGTCAAGCTTGAATAATTATTTTCTATAACCTAGAATGTTTCCTAGGCTTCTTTTAAAAAAAACTCAACATGAAACTGGAAGGTTTGCAATTGATTTTACTTTAATTGCAGGAAAATTCCCAAAGCACAATAAAACGTTGTAAAATTAAACAAACCCAGCACAGAATGAGGTTAATTTAAAAGGGACATGGTGGGTGACTGTAGTCAAATTCTTCCTGTTCCACCAATAGCTTGTCTCCTTGTAGTTACTCCCCACCCCCAAAGCTTTTTTCCCCCTTAGTCATAGTTGCATCTGGTATCAGAGAACTCATTTGGGGAAAAGTGTCTGGGGAGAGGGGCTGTGGGCAGGTAAAGCAAATCTGTGGCCTCACCCAGCAAACCCTCAGCTCAGCCAACTTTCTATGTGATTGTGGCAGATCCTGAAATGCTGCTATCACAAAAGGCAGGGCACAATCGACTGCTGTAGGGTACAGTCCAGCCACAGCCGAGCACTTTCAAATTCCATGTATTTGAAGGGGAGAAAAATAAATGAAACCTAAAAGCACCTAATATTGCTGGATTACATCTAAAATATTCTTAATGGTCCAAAATAAAAACTAGGTCAAGCAGATAAGGAAGAAAAATAATGAGTACCATGTTAGGAAATAAACTGAAATGAAGAAAAGAATACAAAAACTAAAGTGTTTCTTCAAGGCTGCCTGTGCTTTTTCATTTTTTTAAAGAACTCAAAATGGCTTAATGGCTTAATTCACCCATAAGAAACATATGGTTTATTATTTCTGTTATGAAAGCAGTGCATCCAAACAATCAACTGGAATTACAACAAAGCTCTTGAAAAACAAAAATTCTGTTGATGAGGGGAAAGATAAAAGTTTTAAAGACAATTAGAAACATCTTTAAAAGATAGGTTGTGATTTATATGAAAGCAACATGCCAAGATTATCTACCTTCAAAAACAACAATAGATATTTACTTCTTACTCTGCAAATTGCAGATGCAGTTAAATAACTAGCTGAAATACTGTACCAAAAAAATTCCCAGTTTTCCAGGGGATGTTTCACCCATCCATCACTTGGTTTGGTTTTGTTTTTTTACACTTGATTACTGCCAACTAACGTCTTTCAAAAGCACAGCATTAGAGGTGATGGAATTCTGCTTGTAGTATTAAATCTTGGTGGGATAAAGTGATGAATATTGTGTGAACCAGCCCCAAGAGACACCAGTCTAGGATGTATGTGCATTGCTTGGGTGATACACCAGTATTATTTGGGATCTTCAGTTGTCTCTTCCCCCCAACACATCTGCTGATCAAGGAAGTAAAAAACACAAGCCCACAAAAAGAAGAACAAGGAATCTTCCTAATAATTTCTGACAATTCATTTTTTAAAAAGAGGTTCATATTCCTGTCGGAGCTCATATTTCATTTATTATCAATTTCTCTAACAGCCTTGTCAAACTGAAGGGGACTTGGAAATCAACCAACAGCAGACACAGGGTTCTCCTGGGAAAATCTGTACTCAAATGAGACATCAGATCTGAAACTCAACATTTGTTGCAAGGCGTATGAAGTTGCAATAGTTTTACTCTTGCAATGTTCAAGCATACCATACCATCACAAATAAATCAACGGCTGAGGCTTGCACATAACACTTAACTATGGTTTGGTGCTATGTAGATGAGTTTGCATGAGCCTGATCAAATCATCACTCCCACCTCCCCCTGTGCAATGAGGTCTTCTACAGTATTTTGTTTCACTTTTAAAGAATTTGGCGTAACATTACATATGAACCAATGATTTTTACTTAAACTATAATGGTTACTGAAAAAAGTCCATTTCATTATCCATGGTTTGAAGTTTACTTGCTTAACACTTAACTACTGCTTGTTTTAAACCAAATCCCTGGTTAATACTTGCTAAGCAGAGATTCTTTGATAGCAAAATTAAGTTCTCTCCTTCTTGCTGTGTGGTGGAGTGAGTCCAACAGGTCATTAGAATTCATGGAGGGTCTTCCACATAAACTGTGGTTTAGTCTAAGTGTGAACTGGGCCATTATGTTTGTACAGATGTACATTTTGATACCTGTCACTTATACTGCAATCCCATAGCCAATTCCCTGACAGTAAGACCCACTGAACTCAATGGCACTTTCTATTCAGTATGCATATATATATATTATGTCCAAAATATGCCAAACTTTCATCACCCTGACAATGTTAAATATTAATTACAAGCATGCTATCAGAGCACACACAAACTACCACCAAACTCATTTAAAAAACAAACCTAGAGTTAAATGAAGTCAGGCAAAAAACATGGTGTTATTCTGATACAAGTTCTGAATTCTGAATATTTACTACAAGCAAATTTTGGTGACAGCTATGGCAGAAAGTCATCAGGTATGCTGACTTTGATCCCGTGAAAAGGAAGACAGGCTATACAGTGGTACCTCTGGTTACATACTTAATTTGTTCCGGAGGTCTGTTCTTAACCTGGAAATTGTTCTTAACCTGAAGCACCACTTTAGCTAATGGGACCTCCCGCTGCCGCCGCATGATTTCTGTTCTCATCCTGAAGCGAAGTTCTTAACCCAAGATACTATTTCTGGGTTAGTGGAGTCTGTAACCTGAAGCGTATGTAACCCAAGGTACCACTGTAAATGAAAGCAAATAAATAAATAACCTGGCCTCTAGCTAGTCACCTTTATTTTTAAAAGTCTATGAAAGGTTTTTTAGGAAACAGCACTTACCGAAGATGAAGAATATTTGGCAGTATACATTTATGAGGTACCCTGACAATTTTAGGGATCCCTGTTGTTCCAGATGTATGTAAAATATATGCTATGGAGTGCTGCTGTCTGACATCCAGCAGGTCTTTGAATGGTTTTGTCTCAAGCTGGTCCAAGGCTCGTGCCTCTAAGCCACTTGGCACTACATAACTTGCATTGTTATTGTTTAAATGTTCAATATTACTGCCTTTCCTCTGGAAAAGAATCAAACCAACTTTTGGTATTTCAAAGGAATTATGGCAGAACAGATGCCCATGTGCTTCTGTGAATTTCTGAAAGAGAGAAAAAATGGTTTTAACTGAATAATACTCGTGTGCAAATACTGTTGTTATTTTCTCTATAGTGTACTCCTATGACAAATAAAAACCTTTCTAAAGTAAAAAGAAATTTGGGGTACCTAATCTGACTTGAAAGGCATGAGACATTTTAACCCTAAGGGCGCACCCTAAGAACTACTCTACAACAAGTAGACAAACCACGAGTTTGTTACAGCCCAGTGAGTTCAATGGAATTTACTTCCAGGTATACTAGTTTAATAAGGTTTTGAATTTTGTTGACTCTTTCCATCCTGAACAGGCAAATTTTCATTTTCTAAACAGATGTACAAATCTGTGTATATATTATGCAAAGTTTACATATAAAAATGAAGGTGACTGGGTTTTAAAACTAAGCAAATAAGCATTCAACTGCAATAAGAACCTAAACGCCTTGTGGGATCAGACCAAAGACCCAATTAGGCCAGAATTCTGTTCTCACAGTGCCCAACCAGGTGCCTATGGGAAGCCCATGAGAAGGAACTGAGCATAACTGTAGTCTTCCTACTTGTACAAAGAGTTCTCCCAGAAACTGGTGTAAAGAGGCATGCAACCGACAACACAAGGTATACTAAGACTAGTAGTTACTGATAGTCTTATTCTCTTTACAGGTCATCCAAGTTGATGCCATCACTATCCCAAAGATTTTTACTTAGGAGTACATCCCACTGAACTCAGCAGAATTATTTCTAATAAAACATGCAATATTAAGCTGTATGTTTGATAAATGAAAGGTGAGGTGTAATTCAAAATCTCATTTTAATATCCCAATTAAAACATGTTGAAAGCTTTTGCACTTACATCAACTCTGTCTTTCTCCACAAGGACATATTGGAAGTTACACTTTTTCATAAAATATGCCGACAAGTTTGGAGGGGCATCTGGATCAATAGGGGAATAGGCAGCTGGCACTTGGAGAATTCTAGCAAAACAAAATACTTAATTTAGCAAGCGTTCTAAATTCTAGCAAACACTCTAGCAAAAATTCTCAACAACCCAAACAGAAAAATCTACATATTCACAGGTTTACATTAAAAATAGTCTTTTTGCTAGATGTTATGGCATTTGGAGTTTACTAACGTAATGAAACAATTACTTTTAGGGCCAACTACATGTGATGCCAAATGCATTACTGCTAATTACATCAGATGTATTTCTTTAAAAATACAGATGTATTTGTTTAAAAAATTGCACACACTCATCATTTTTATCTGGACAGCACGGCGAGCCGAAGTTTTCCCCTTACTTCCATAACTGATCTCTCCCCCATGCTGCAATTAGCAAAGGGGGGGGGGAGAGAATCTCCCAATGACAACAAACCAAAACTTCCCCTCAGCATGTATCATGGGCCAAATAAAAACCCCCTCCTACACTATTAAATAACCAAGAAATTCTGACATAATTAGTAGCTCCTCCATGCATTTATTCATGTCTAGTTTGACCTTCAGGAACTGCTCCATGTGTTAGACTTCCCCCTGAACACACATAACCTTTGTGACTAAGGTGTGCAAATCTTTGCATAGGAAGTATGTAATATGACACAGGCTTTAGTTTATTGTACAGGCAACGACCGACTGACGTGTGCTCAATTGGCGTGCAATTGCACACAGCGCTGAACACAGAAGTTACCCTAAAATATCACTAAAAGGGCGGAACAGGAGTGGGGTAGAATGCTTTGCGTGGGTTCTGCCATGTGTGGGGCCCAGAACAGAACCCCTGCCCCAAAGGAGTAAGGGAATCTACTTGGAAATTTCCACAGATCTTTTCTGTCAGGCAAAGTGAAAATGAATGACATACATCATAAATGACAAATGTCAGATTTTTCTAAGATTGTTGCAATTGACCTAAAGGCAGAAAGAAAGCCGTTATCAATAAATAACTCAATGGGTGCATGCATTTGGAGGAGGAAATGTGGAGGAGACTCATAAATGCCAAACACATTATAATTCTATTTTCATTTTTTGTGAGATTAGCATGCGAACAGCATGAATCGCTTACCTAGTAACAAGACATCAACTAGGTATATAAATATAACCTATCATTATTTCAGCCATCTCATATACCCGTGTTTCAAAATAAAATTTCCCAAAAACCCTACTCAATGATTAATTTTTTAAAAAGCTAGCGTCAACTGCTGGCAATGCAAAACGAACTAGCTAGACTACTCCAATTATGTTACATCATCCTAGCATCTTAGTTTAACATTCCATGCTTCAAATCCAGAAGTGAGCATTACTACCTGCCAATCAATATTGATATCAATGTCAACCTGATATCTGGTGGGAAGAGGAGAGTGTGGGCTGGATTCAATTTATTTTTCCTCCATCTCTAAGCAAGTCTTATGAGCTGTACTTTTGGTTTCAAAGACAGTGAGGGGAACTGTGCATTCAACCCCAAAAGCTGGATTCAGCCTGGAACTGTACATGCAAAACCAGTGTACGTGCAATAAACTGTGTAGCACACACACCAACCTGACAAGGGATGTGCATGTCACTGTCTGCTTACACACCTATCTACCCCACCCTAGATGCATTGGAGCAAACTGCAACTTTTTCTTTCACTAAAAAAAACTGAGAACATGTTACTTAAGACAATTCTCCAAAGCAATTCATACCTAAAGGTACTACTGTCCTGATTTACATAAAAAGTTGGTTGCACCCAACTAAGTCATACTCTGAGCTAACCCACTAAACCAACCTATTTAAGTTAGTCATGACTTAAATCCATTGGTCTAAATGGATCTACTCTGAGCATCACTTAATCCAATACAACTCATTATCTACAATTGCTTCAATTTCACACTTTTATAAATGATTGCACATGGATACCAATAATACTTAAACTCTAATCTTGTGTTTTGTGGGCAGCTTCACCCATATGATCCAGCAAGCTAATATCGAAACTGAAAAATTTCAAATGCAGTAGGGGAGGTAACTGTTCATAACGGGATGGGGTACAGAATTCTACTGTATGCCCAAGGCCTTGGGTGCATCCTTTTGGATCCTGTCCCACCAAATTAATAGCAGTTTTAGGTGAGCAAAGTTACCTGAAGTAACAAAAGCCCAGTATTTTTAAAGACAAATGGGTTTGGTTCATCAGTGTGCTCATCACTCCATCTAGTGGCTTAAGTTACTGAACAAAACAAATCTTAAACTGGTGTGGAGATTTGGTTCAGGTGAAATCCTGTAAGCACTTTTCTAAGAGTAAGTCCCACTGAATTCAATGGGACATTCTTCTGAGTAAGCATTTATAGGATTTCTAGAGGGGCAACTGTGTTAATCTCTTGATGAAAGAACAAGGAAGTGTCATATCGCACCTTAAAGACTAACAAATTAGAAGTGAAGCGTACAAGATTTTATCCTGGGCACCAGCCCACTGCACGTTCACCTTTAAACCATAGTTTATCCTGTGCACCAGCCCACTGTAATGCAAACAGACAATCGTTTTAAAAACTAAGCTGGCTTAATGCGGTGACTGTAACATATTCTATATACAGTATAGCATATATAACATTTTGTACTCATGCTATACTTATATATTAACAAAGTATAGAAATAATACCCTATAATCCAAGAAGGCAGATTTATTCCTGGGTAGCAGTAGAGGCCTATTTCAAATCGTTCGGTGAAATTACAATGTTTCTTCAGGAAATCGGTAAGTTTTGTGGCTAGGTTAATAACTGTTTTGTAAGTGTAGATAACTGGAACCTTATTAATGCATTCATCAAAGCATACTGCTGTTCTCTCAGGATATAAACTGGCTGCAGTCTGAACAATCTCGTGAAGAGTCATTGCCAATATTTATACTGCATACCTGTAAAAGAGGAAATAATAATTAAATATTTTTTATTTTTTAAAAAAACCCTTGTAAAACACAGCACACTCTCATAAACTTGAAAGAATGTGGAGGCATGTTTGTTTCACAAAATACACATAATACCCGTTTATCAATTCTGATGATTATCCCAATTCCACTTCCAACATTTTTGCCGTTCTGAATGAACAGTTGAGATGTTTTAAATATGATCTATTCTTCCAAGTAAGGAGAAAACATGAAAGGTATATTGTAATTTTAAGAGAGAGAAATAAGCATTTTCACAAATGCATATACAAACATTTCTCTCTACATATCTAGGGTATTTTAAATGAAACCCTAAACTAATAGTCCTCAACCTATTCCAACCTGGGACACATTTTTAATCCAAGGAAGGGATACCCATGTAAATTAACAATTAATTCAGTCAAGGAGGTGCTGTGGGTAAAAGGCCCAAAACTCCATGTGTGGCTGCCAGAAGTTTCACCTGCTGCAAAATGCTTTCACCTGGATACTTGTTTGGAGGCAGCTGGTCCAGTCCTATTATGTCAGTGGTAGGGAAAGTTTTTCAGGCCAACGATGCATTTCCTCCTGGTAAATTCTTCAAAGGGGTGTGTGTACACAGCAGCAGTGGGCATTGCCATCTCACAGGTTTTACAATACTGCACTGTAGTGTCTTCCTAAGAAACTGCAGCTGTCGAAAAGAACAGGAAAACATGTAACCACCAGACGTTTTAGCAGCCGTACATCAAATAATAGTCACAAGTTTGTTTGGTCGTTTAAAAAAGAGAAACAAAACATGGAAGATAGCTCAGTAATAGCATGAGACTCTTACTCCTAAGGGTTATGGGTTCGAGTCCCGCGTTGCAGAGAGTTGGTCCCTTTCCAACTCCGCAATTGTATGATTATAAAGCACATCCACTCTCTTGCCAAGAAGGGAGAGAGGGGAGCTGCACAACTTCGACCTACAGGAGGCTCCCTCTCCCTATTACTCACGGCGAAACGGCAGCATTCAGAAAACGATAGAGCCGCCTTCACTACCACCAGCTTAATACAAGATGGCAGCCGCAGAGTGAACGCTAAGCCGTCGGGGAACCGTTTATTATGCGGCCTGTAACACGGATTGGCCGGCCCTCGATTTGCTCTTTCGTTCCTATGGCAACTGCGCGGGCACCCACCTGCTCCTTCCTCTTTCCCGCCCCGCCCCAGCAAGCCATTGCAATCGCTCCGTCGTCGAACTACAAGAACTCTGCCCCGCCCCGTACTTAATAGGCCCTGCCGCGATTGGTCGGTTTTTCCCCTGATGGGGTGGTTTCTGTCCTCGAGGCCGGAACTGGAATTCTTCCGCAGCGGCAGCGTCTCGCGATTGATTGAGGGGGAAGGCCGCAGTTTGATTGGGTGAAGGCGCGCCCCTTCCTGGCGGCTGGGAGGGCGTGACGCCATACCGTTCTGAGGAAGAGCGTGGGTTGTAGCGGCGGATGCTGCTACCGATCTTACCGAGACGCCGTCACTCATCGCCCGTTTCCCCGCCCCCTCCCCGCCCTAGGATACCCGGATGCCTTGTGCGCCGGCCGATGCTTCGGAATGCGGGGTTCCCGCGTGTCTTCGAGTCTGATTACGATCAAGCGGGCGCCTGCGCTGCACTTTTTTCGGCGCCCGGAAAAAATGAATAAATCTTTGTTTAGACAAGCCTACCCAAATAGCAAAGGAAATTTTGATCTGTTGCATTTTAATTTCGTACATTGTTCTAAAGTACGACTGTGAATTTTTCTCATATTTTATTGCTTTATATTTTTGTACACCAGTTCGGGTTCTTTTGGTGTGTGTTTTTTAACCAAGCGGTGTAATAAATAAACGATTAAATAAGTGGTGTCTGGAGTAATTCTTTGCGAGCGTGCGAACCGCTCTGGGCGGAAGAGTTGGCGTTGCTGCCTTTCCTATGCAACTGTTTGTCCTGCTGTTTCCCCCTGTTGCATCAGAAGCAGCAAGGAGCATAAATTTAGCAGCCTGCCTTTTACCGAGAGAGGGAGCGCCCCGATAGTCAGTCTCGTTGAAGAATTTACGAATTTTAGCTCTCCTGCTTGGGTCAAAGCAAACACACCCTTTCGCTTCTGCTGTGGAATTATGCATCTTGGACAGCCCTCTTCTCCTGCCTCCCCACCCACAAATCAAGAACGGATTCTGACTTCTGCTGGGACCCCAGACCTTTGCTTTTTTGCTGTCTCCATCCGCACCCCCTATCACTGATCTTGTGCTTGATCCTTGGGAGGTTTTTAAGCAGAGGTTGGATGGTTGTCATTCATATTCCACCTTTCCTCCAAGGACCAGAAGGTGGCATTCATGGTTGTCCGCTTCCGCATTTGAGCCTCACAAAATGACGCAAGGAGCTTTATGACTTGAGTGGGGATTTGAATCCTTGTTTCCCCATTTCCTAGTCCGCTTAATATATTTCCACCTTACTCCACATTCTTGAAAAGATATAGAAAGTGAAGTGGTGGTGCTGTTTTCCACGTGGCTAGAAGCTTAATAGGTCTCTTGTTAACCGTCTTCAATAGTACCTTTAAGATTAACCAGTATAGACTGCGATCCTATAAACTTAACAGGGTCAGGGAGTAAACCCCATGGAATTCAGTAGAGCTTATTTCTCAGTAGGCATATTTAGGAGTGTAGTTACGTTTCTTGTGAAGTGCAATCCCATACATGTTTGCTCAGTTAAGCCTCACTGAAATTAAGTAAGTGTATTGCAAAGTGAATTCTACGTCCGACAGGAATATTTGCCAGACATAAAATTTGGAGGTGTATAATTTTCTGGACATAATTAATCAATGGTGAGGGAAGTATGTGTTAATGTTCCACAAGTTACTATTTGTCCTTGTTACAACACAGAAATGATACAATTTGAAATACTTTTCAACCAAACAGAAGAAATCTTGGCAGAGGCAGGGAAGAGGAAGAAATGATCCCTGAAACTATCAGGGATTATTTAGGTTTAAAGCTAATATGTCATAACTTCAGGAGTACTGTTAACATTTAAATCACAGCCCAGCTGTAGGTTTATTAGGGGAAATCATGGCAGCCTTGAGTAAACCTCAACTTCTCATCTGTAAAATGGGAAAAACTGACCTTTATTTTCGCAAGGGCAGTAAGTGAGCAAGCAAGACCCTTAACCTTTAAGAATAGGCCTTTAATACAGTAGAGATATAACTTTACAAAGAAGGGGGCATACTTCTGTGACAGAACACGTGTTTCTGCAGGCAGAAGGTGCTTGACTCAATCCCTGGCATTATCCCTTTTAAAAAGGGTTCAGTAGGAGGTAGTGTGAAAAATCTCTTGGCTGATATGCTTGAATTCTGCAAGATAGACAAATAAAGCCACCTGGTATAAGTCATCTTCCTAACATAAGTACCTCAATCCTTTATATCTTCGCTCCCTTTGTTTGAAACAATATTTGTAAAATATGCTGTTGCCCATTGGTTCTCTATTAACATGTTTGTGTGTTTGTTCTAGAGAAATAAATAGAGATTGCTTTCATGACAAAGTAGTACTAAACACCCTAAGTAACTTAGCCCTCGAACCAAGTTGTCTTGAAACCGACCAGAGGGGAAGCAACCCTTGGTTGCATCGTAAGTGGAGGCCTGGACCTGGTGTGAGATGTGTTGTTACAGGAGTCAGTGGCCACAGTGCTGTCAAATTCAACATATATGTAAGTGGACATTTGCCAAGCAGGTCTGGTACAGCCACATTTGACTTCAAAAGAGGAAATGCAGGCATTGATTTAAAAAAGGAAGTTGACAAGGAAAATAAAGAGGGTCACATCTGGTGGTGCAGTGCCAAAAAGTGACCTCTTTTTACTGTTCTCCTATTGAGTAATGAGTCAAGAAACTGCATTCAAAAACTGGCAAGGAGGGGAGCTAATTTTTGCAAAATTCTGAAAGGTGAGGTGCAGGGTTTTTGCCATAAGGTAAGCCTCAGGGCTTTTTCACATCAGGAAGGTCAGGCAACCAGGAAAAGCAAAGTGCTGAAGAAAGGTTACTGGGTCACCTGCCCTTCCTGATGTGAAAAAGCTCCCCTCTTTGCCAGTTTTTGAATGCCGTTTCTTTCCTAATTACTCGATGGGAGAATGATAAAAAGAGGTCACTTTCAGCAGTCCCATGGAAGTCCTGGTTGCCATGGGCATGGTGTCAAAGTGAGACATATGAGACCCAAATGACTTGGGCACTCTGGGACACCCCAAGGTAATTTCAGAGGAGTCGATATCCGCATTAAGCCAGGCGTCCCATGACCTGTGACCTTTCTTGATTCAAGTGGAAGAGTGTTGTGGCATTTTATGAGTCTTTGTGTGCTGTGTATATAAACTTTCTTCTAATGTGCCTCCTGGCAGCCATTTCGAACTATCCGTTCTGCTGAACAACTGGTTAGGAAGGCTGTTGTATTTGAATAAACCAGGTCCCTGCAGGACGTTGAGATTGCTCTCAAAAAAAGGGGGGGGAGAGGTCACTTTTTGGCATAGCACAGGCCACATTGCAACAGTATGCTAAGCTCAAAGCTCTGCATTTATGGAAATTCTTAAGCGTCTTGAAAAGTCAAGGCTTCATGTGTTAAGGCAAGGCTGCATCCACAGACTTCTGTGCGAATGTACAAAGGCTTCATGCTATACGAAGATTTCCAAACAGACATGCATGTTCACTCTGAGGAGCCATGGGCTAGGTGACACCAGGAGAAGGCTCTGCTCATATGTCAATTCAATGCATGAACAGTGATTTTTGAATTGGGTTAGAATTAGCTCCAATTCTAATTCAACTCAGATATTTAGGTCACCATTTTACAACCACCAAATAATTATTTAGATTTCATTCATTAAAAAAAAACCCCTGAACAAAGCAGTAATATATATACATTAAAGAGTTATATATATATATAACACTACCATACATTAAAATACTCTACCAAAATAAGTCCACATGATAATTTTTCAATGTTTTGAGTCTTCTTTGAAGGCTTACATTCAGTAAAAACATTCACTCAGATTACAGTTAAGATTTCACAACGAAAACATAGTGAGGAAAATTAGCAAAATAAATCATAACACTCAGGATGGTTATCAGCCTAATTTTCCCTGTCAAATCCCTTTGACGCACAATGAAAGCACAATAAGACAGTATATATATATTCTGGTTTGAATTCGTTAAGGCTCAAGGTATTAGAGAATTTTGGTTTAGTACTTCCCTGAGTCTCCCAGTCTCAGCAACATATTGTATAAAAATAATATTCAGTCTCTTTGGAAGCAAGTTATTACGCATGAATTTAGTTACATAAGCAAAAATACAGGCACTTACTTCATTCTTAAACAGAACTCAAACAGCTAGATAAAAATTTCTAGGGAAGCATGGAATTCAGAATTCTATGAATTCAGAATTTGTCATGTACAGTCATACCTCATGTTACGTTTGCTTTAGGTTGCATGTTTTCAGGTTGCGTCCCGCAGTGACCCAGAAAGGGTTACTTCCGGGTTTCGCTGCTCGCGCATGTGCAGACGCGCTCATGCTGTGAACGGGCCTCCGGAGCGGATCCCATTCACAACCAGAGGTACCACTGTGTATAAAACCAAATTTCACATTTCCCCCCTGCCCGCCCTGGTTGAACCCTGTTCAAAAAATTGAAATGACTTAATGGCTCACAGTTTCTTTCAGAATATCATTTGTAATAAACCAAGGCTGTGAATAAAAGCCTGAGAAGTGATCAAGTTTCTTGGCAGGATTAGGCCAGCTAAGGAATCAAGAAACTTTGCCACCCCAAGTTACAGCACTAATGTTTATCATACTGCATAATTTTTGCATTTTATTTCAAGTTCTTGAACAGTCCTCAGTATCCCAAATAAAGATTTAACTAAAATGAGTGGTTTGATAACTTCCTTGGTAGCAATTTACGCACACCTTTGGGTGTGATACATCTTGTCAGTTCCAACTTTAATTCAGTGGTAACTGTATTCTGGAAATTCACCATTCTAGCTCTACAGGGTATTTTCCAACAAGGCATGCTATGCAATGGCCAATTTTCCCCGCCCGAAACTTGTTGGACTTAAGGTTGTTTTCATTATCTTGTTTCGCCTTGATGCTTTCTTGCACAGATGATACCAATCCTTCTACCGAAAGATAAACAACACTGTCAGCTCCTAGGAGGAGAAAGAAGACGAAAAAAAATATTATTATTTAATGCTGCGCCATTGTACACACCCTAAAGATGAAGAAGGTGGTACCCAATGGTGAGGTCCTCTAGCGGATGGAAATCTGTCAGCAGAATAGGAAAGGAGGCAATTTTCAGTGATCTTTCTGAAGCACCCTATACCCTCCCCAAATCTGCTCCAGAGGATCTTCCAATCTCTACTGCAGCTTTAAAAAGGGTGAGGCATAGCTGACAATTGTCTCTCTCCCTGTTTCACTGGTAGATTCGCTTCTGCCAGAGGGTAATCACCACCCAAGCTGTTTAACACAAAGAGTGTCCATGTTTCTATGTATACCTTTATTGACAATGATTGAAAATATAATGTTTTACCTATGTAGTTGGCTAGGTCATGAAATTCGGGCTTATTGGCGATGAGTTCTTCTTTCGTTGGAATGTTTATTCCCATGTAACAAGGAAATCTTATTGGAGGTGAAGCTACACGAACGTGCACCTAGGGAGGAAGGGGGGGGGAATGCTATTATGATATTGGCACTGTTTCAATTATGCCATTCATTCGTATTATTACCATTATTTATGTAATTTCTATACTGCCCTTCATCCGAAGATCACATGGTGATTTACAATATAAAAACACAAAATGCATATCTTAATAACCAACAAAAACAATACCCACTTCACCACCCACAATTCCAACAGGCAGCACCAGCAAAATTCAAAGTCACTACAAGGGACGAGTGAGGTCTGATTGGTTGGCAACAGAGCCAATAAATTTGGCTTTGCTCTTAGGAGAGGAGCAGAGTACTACCTTCACCTCAATCAAGACTCTCGAGAGACTATTATAAAGCTGAAACTGCACCAGTCTTGTCCCTCAGTCAGGCCTTCCTCAAAAACCGACAGCAATACTTTCTTACCTCTTTAGCTCCAGATTCCCTCAGTAGTTTAATTATGGGTGAAATGGTGTTGCCTCGTACAATAGAATCGTCAATAAGGACAACACGCTTCCCTCTGAAGTTGTCTGACAGGACTCCAAATTTTTTGGCCACTCCGAGCTGCCTTAGCCTCATGTTTGGCTGAATAAAAGTTCTTCCTACATATCTGTTTTTGCACAGTACTTCAATGTATGGTAGTCCACACTAGACAAAAAGAGAGAGTGTAAAAGTCAAAGTACCATATTAAGTGAAGTGGCTAAGATCAATTCTCCATCAACGTTCCTTTTCTTTTCTATACACAAAAGAGTTGACTAAGTGGGAACATTTCAACTACAACAGCCAAAGAAACTTATGCAATCTCTTGGAGAAAACGTGAACTTCACTGGTGTCTGGGGAATTCCTTTGGAAAATGGTAAAAAGCTAGTAATTCACACAGGGTTGGCGGTGAGGGGGTGTGGTAATATTTTTCTCTGACTGTTGAATTTTATTTGCATGTGTATTTATAGTCTATGTTAATGCTGTGTTGTTGTTTTTAAAAGTAATTAATTAGTTTGATGTATTTATCTTTTTCTTGTAAACTGGCTTGAACTGCTCTCAGGAAGGCAAGATTGAAACTTTTAGTGCTACAAGATAAACATCTGCATTAAAATGTTTGGTGTGCAAGTTGGTATTATGTCAATTAAAATTTTAAATAAAAAAACCACGTATTCCTACAACAAAAATATGAGATTTCAGATTAAAGGGAAGAATCGGGCACATTACCTTTTGAGCATAGCCAAGGGCTGCTGGTGTTGCAGATTCTGGGACTGTGCTAACCAAATCAGCTTCCACTGGGGCTTCAATTGCAAGCTGTTGACCGCATCTCCTCCGTACAGAATAGACCATTTGACCTGTGGAGAATGAGGAAAAAATTGAATTAGTTCTGTACAGTTTTGATTCCAGCATCTTCAACTGATTTTTTCCCCTACTGCCTTTTATAATCCAAGGCAAGAGTAAAGGTTTAAACCCAGTGTCACGGACTGGTTGGATGGAGAGGAATGATAGGAGGAGCCAGCAGGGAAGAAGGCTCAGAGCCCAGGAAGTGGCAGTGGGGTGATAATGAGTGGTCAGAGGGAGAAGACTGGGAGGAAGTATCAGAAGCTGGAGAAGTAACAGGGCTTGGCGGAGGGGGAGTCTGTGGCAGAGAGAAACCCAGAATCAGAGGCAGAAGCTGAGGCAGAAGAGGAGGGAGGCCAAAAGGCAGAGATGAGTCTGGCTAGTGAAGAGGCATGGGTGTCTCCCCCTCCTGCTGTGACAGGCTCCCCTCCTCCCTGGTCTCCCAGAACCAGGAGAGGCACAAAGAGGGCAGAGGAGAAGCTAGCTTAATGCAGGCGCAGTCTCAGATTGCTTGGGGAAAACTTTAAGACTTTGGCAGCTGTGGGGAGGCAGGGACTTTCTGTCTCAACAACTGCTTCATGGAGGCAAGACCCGTTGCTGTGCTCAATAGGCCTGACACTCCTGTGCAGATCCTGTTTTTGCTAATAGTTAACTCCGACTTGCTCGGTGTGATTTACTGCTGGCTCACTCCTGTTACCCAATCTCTTCAGCATTTGCTCTGTGAACAAGGACTATTTCTTTCCTTTTACTGAAATGATTTTTTTAACAATACAAATAAAGCAAGAGTCAGCAAACTTTTTCAGCAGGGGGCCGGTCCACTGTCCCTCAGACCTTGTGAGAGGCTGGACTGTATTTTGAAGGAAAAGAAGAAGAACGAATTCCTATGCCCCACAAATAACCCAGAGATGCATTTTAAATAAAAGCACACATTCTACTCATGTAAAAATACCAGGCAGGCCCCATAAATAACCCAGAGATGCATTTTAAATAAAAGGGCACATTCTACTCATGTAAAAATATGCTGATTCCCGGACCATTCACGGGCCGGATTTAGAATTAGATTGGGCTGGATCCAGCCCCCGGGCCTTAGTTTGCCTACCCATGAAATAAAGCAACATTCAAAGAAAAAGTAGGAAGCATGGGGGAGATGCGTGTGACCATAGATATTGTAAAGGGAAATACACTGCACTCATTATGATGCTCCACAAACTAACCAAATAGTCTCCTCTATTTTATCTTTTTAAAAAATGTATTGTGCAAATAGGCAACCAGGCCATTGGTCCAAAAATCCTTTTCAACCCAGCTACCCACCCACAAAGTACCACAATACAGCTTCTGGTACTGCACTGAAAAAAACACCATGTTATTTATTTATTACTACGATTTAAACTAGCAGAAAATCATGAAGATTATTTTGCTGTCCCTGTACAGAATCTGTAAGGAAAGCTCACAGCTCTCCAAGTAGCCCTACTCTGCTCCCTATAGATGCTGAAGACCGAACTGGATTTCACAATACATTAAACATAGCCATAAAATCAATCTTGTGAGACTTTCCTAATGTACCCTCAATTGCTGAAAAAAATTTGTCCAATGCTTTTGTGGATCTGGATTCAAATACGTGGGTATAATTTTCATCAATCTAAAAGAATGACTGATTAACCAAATTTCATAGCTTGCCTTCAAAGATGCTGTCAGGCCTTGCAAAATACACATATTCAAAAATGCAGAATGCTGATGGATCTCCCGCAGGTCTTGGCACAACATCCAATGTCTGGACATCATATCTGGATATCTTCACAATCTCTCCAGGCATGACCTCACGGTAATATCTGGAAAATAAAGTTAGATATTATAAATCTTCATAAAACTGATCTTTAGAAACATTGCAATTGTAAGAGCATTAGTTATTATAGACACTGTGCCTTTGGGTTGGAAAAACCTGGGGGCATGTGCATTCCTTGGTGGCTGATAAAATCACAATAATATTGTGTGTGCAACAATTTCTCAGACATATTAAATAAGTTCAGAATGTGATCTAGAACTAAGATTTTGGAAAATCTCATTTGAAAAATTCAGTTTTCAGTCCTTTTGTAGCTGTGAAGATAATGTTTTCAAGCAGTACTACCTGAAATCCCAGTTGCAAAAAAATGACTGACACTGTCCATTTGAGCTTAATTGAGCTTACTCTGGAGTATATGTGAAGAAGAGAAGAAGAAGAGTTTGGACTTGATATCCCGCCTTTCACTCCCTTTAAGGAGTCTCAAAGCGGCTAACATTCTCCTTTCCCTTCCTCCCCACAACAAACACTCTGTGAGGTGAGTGGGGCTGAGAGACTTCAAAGAAGTGTGACTGGCCCAAGGTCACCCAGCAGCTGCATGTGGAGGAGCAGAGACGCGAACCCGGTTCCCCAGATTACGAGACTACCACTCTTAACCACTACACCACACTGGCTCCCAATCTTATGTGCATAAGATTACACTTGATGAGATTTCTAGAGGTTAGAGGCAGGCCTTTAGTATCCTTCAGTATCTAATTATGTAGGAGAAAGTGACTAGGAAAACTATAAAAAATGTGATCAATCGGGAAAATGTATACAGAACACCAAAGTCAGCTTTGTTGGTGAAGAATTTTAATTTTAATTAGCCCAGATCGTACAGATATGTAACTATAACTAACATTTACTGTGATTTAGAGAAATAAACAAATGTTGATCTCACAGAGCAAAAAAAATCCCTGAGTTTCACAAAATAGTTTTGTTAACCAAGCAAAAGTCGAATATTAAAAGTTCACTAATACACGTGCGAACTGAAAGACATTGGTTTGGCTCACATGCAGTGCCAAACCATTGTTTCATGTTGTTGGAAGCACACAGTTTGATCCCTCCTCTTCCTTACTTTGTGTTGCAGCCAACCACTATCCTATGAGGGTTTTCTTGCTGCCGTCCAACCAGGTTTGCAGATCACAATGTGAAACTGATTTGGAAGATAAATGCAACCCACAGTTGGGTGTCTGGATGTAAAACTTGTTAAAAACCGGGAAATAACTAATTCAGCTGACATGAGAGAGAAGGAGGGAGCTGGCGACAGTAAGGCTCAGTTACGGAACACTACTTATGTTTAGTGTCATATGTGAACTGACTGAAGGTGTCAAAATGTCTTTGGAAAATAGTGGCATTATTAAATCAGTTTTTATCTTCTTTGATAATCTATTTATAGCTGCCACCTTCATGCTTGCCTGATGGCAGACTTGTCAAATATATTGTCAGTTCTTATTAGACTAATAGTTCATAATGGAATTACACACGTCTGCCATTTTCTAAAATCTGGCAACAAACAGGTGCCTTAACAGGGAAATTCCAGGTATCCACAGGCTTCTTTTTGTGAAATATTGGTTTCCCCCTTTTTCCTCTTTGTGGGCAGAAGTTACCTACTATATGAGGGTGACACAGAAGATAGGATTCCCATATCAAGTTTTCTTCCCACTGTTGTAATGTGTCACTTATTGTGTGTTATGTCATGGTGTCATGCATTTTTCTGCATCCATTCCACCTGTAGACTAGTGGAGGCAGAGAAACATGCAATTTGAGAAGTCATTTTTGAAGTGTTGTTACTTATTATAAAGGATCAAGGGAAGAATTCAAGTCAGGAATGCAGTGTTTACCAGCAATCCCATGTTTCCTGTAATGTGCAGTTTCTCCTCAAATGGAAAAGATACTGAGTGAAATCTAAATGGCCTTTGCCTTTTCTCACAAACTGCTGGTCATTATTCTGCACATCATTAACAAAAGATTTTTTGTCATTTTCTCTCCCCAAATTCTAGAGACACATTTTGTTGCTATCCTTAGAAGTCTGGGGAGCAAGAGAGATTCCATGGCTCTCTGAACACAAAAATATGATGAGTGCTTTTTTTAAAATGTAACTTACTTATACAAAAGCATGAAAACGAAAAGTAAATAATTAACTGGCTAATAGTTAGTTGGTTGTCAAAGATCAATTGTCAGTGTTTTGTCTTCTAAATATAGATGGTGTACAATTCAGCTCCCTTCAAAGCAATGGGCCGTTGACTTCAATGGAAGTTTAATTTTCAGACCAACAATAACTTTTCTTCAAGTTGTTGTAGTACAAAATAGCAGAAATAATCTGATTTGTAAGGAAACACAGAATCACAGAACTGTAGAGTTGGGAAGAGACCATGAGGGTCATCTAGTCCAACCCCCGACTCTGAGATTAAGAGTCTCATGCTCTACCAACTCAGCTATACGTAACAAACGAACTTACTCTGCTCCGATAGATAAAAAGCTACACGATTCTGAAGAAACTACCCATCCTTCAGTTTCAGCATTGGTTTTCCCTGTAATAAGGTTTAAAACAGTAATAACAGCATTAAAAAAACCCTTCTAATTGATTTTTTTTTGTCAAAGAAAAAGTCATACAGAGTTGCAGAATAAAGTAACAACAGTAGAACAGTGTACCAACTTAACTCTGTTACTAGGTCTTTAAAAATCTGTTGCAAATGCTCATTACCTTTCTCAAACGACAACAGTCAAATAGAATACAAGCATCTGAAAGTATTACTCCAGTGGTGACAATGTAAAACATCTTATCTGACTGATGGCCAACCACGAGTGATATGACCGTGAAACTCAAGTCATGCATTCAACAGTAATTCTGTTTGTTGTAAACTATACTGGTGTTTGCTACAGCACATATATATATTGTGAAGGGCAGAAAAGCATCCCTAAATAGGCCTGTCTGTGAAAGCATGACACAACCATAGCTAATCAGCATATGTCAACTGTCTGTTTAGGAATTAATATTTCCTTCGCATTTTTCATGGTTACTGCAAGATGCAACACAGGATGTAACCGCAGCAAACACAACTGCTATGTAAAGTATGACATTGCTCCAAAATAATAACACAAGTTAGTGGCTGATCTAACTACCAAAAGATGTCCCAAAAATTCAGTCTAGACTGAGCTGCTTAGAATTAATCTTTATAGCGTTTCTGAAGATGTACCTATGAAACCAGACACACATTCTTGTTGTATTTATTGGTTGCCTATATGTTCCCCAAATCTCAGGTGTTATGGATAAATAATAACATTATTACCCAGAATTTAGCATTTTATTTCAGGTGTATATTATATAAAATTTCATGATGCAATCACAAGCAAACTGAGCCAGAAACTTAAGCAGAAGAAACAAAATGATTTCCTCTATTCTACCATTTACTTTTTGAAATATGGCAACCCTAGTAATTTGATATAATAGCAACTTGTATTAGGCTTTTATCACTGTTACTGAAGACTGCATTCATTGTAACTAGAACCCTATTTTCTCCTGAGTTATGCATTTTTTCCACTTTATGTTTCCTCTTTTCATGTAGGATTACTGTTCTTCCACTAAATCCAATGTTTATCTATGTAGTTGAACATTAAAAGCATAAAGAGTACAAGTGGTAAGTGTTTCAAAATGAACATTGATGAAGTTAACTCAAAGCATAGCTCACATATAAACATATCAAATATGATGATAATGATAGTGATATATTTATTTATACCCCACAGGAACTCGGTGCAGCTTAGAGATTTAAACAACCACCACCACAACAATTACCCCAGCCACTCTGGGCGGCTCCCAACAAATTAAAACATAATATGAAGTCTTACCTTTTCCACTAATATCACCTACTGGAACAAGACGGCCAATACAGAGTGGACGGTTCCCATAGGGATCACGAACAGCATAGATAATATCTTTATGCATCATCAGAAGCGAGTATGAAGTGGGTGTTTCATTCATCAGATTTTTTATCCTGGAACATGAGAGCTCTTTTAATATACAGTGGTACCTCGGGTTACAAACACTTCGGGTTACAGACTCCGCTAACCCGGAAGTAGCACCTCTGGTTAAGAACTTTGCCCCAGGATGAGAACAGAAATCACGCGCTGGCGGTGTGGCGGCAGCGGGAGGCCCCATTAGCTAAAGTGGTACCTCAGGTTGAGAACCATTTCAGGTTAAGAATGGACTTCCGGAACGAATTAAGTTCGCAACCAGAGATAACCACTGTACTCCTTTGGCTTAGTGCTGCTTATTTCGCTTATTTCCCTTCAAACCAATTGCTTTACCTTGCTACCCAATCTGGGGTGTCGTCATTCTCGAAAGGGGGTGTGAATGCCAGCAGCTGAGTGATCAGTTCACTGTCAGAACTGGTAGACAGTCCCACTCCATGGCGCATTAGCTATTAAACAAAGGACCAAAATGCAGCATTAATCAAGTATATGCAACTCTCGTATTATCTGTAGAAGAAACACACATGAGTACATGCATAACTACACCAATGGTCTAGAAAATAGAAGTGACATCGGCCAATTTCTGCTCTCTAAAATCAAAAGAAGTGGTATCCAAAGGGGAAGGGCACAAAGAGGACATCTACACCACACATTTGAACGGGTTAAACTGTTATTCCTTCTTCTGAGGAATAGTAGTTCTGGGAAAGAAAATGCCAGAGAGGGAGAACCCCACATCTGACAACAGGATTCTTCTGAGCACTGCGATTTTTTTGCAGGAAGTTGTCATTACTTAAAAGTTCGAGCCTAATAGAGCAATCCTATACATTCAGAGGAAGGAGCTGTTTGCACCTTTGGCAAGGGAGGGAAGACTGAGCTACTACATTAAGTGTAGAGATCAGCTCTTCAGTGAGATGGGTACTTTATCTAAATTTGGGATATAATATAGATAAGAGAAAGAGGTGATGGGAGGTAGGTGTACATTTATTTTTGCATGTCACTTTGGTATTCCAGCTTCCTCTTCGTATTTTCAGGATTTAAACTGTGAGTGCTGTGAAGAATCCTTGGAATATAAAATGGTATAAAATCATAACCCCGTTTCATTCCGTATTCAGTTGTGAAAAATAAGCCAATCCTTGGGTCATTCCTTCGTAATCATGAGCAAGTCATGGAAGGGGGAAAAAGTACCTCTAAAACATTGCTGTAAACCATGGGTAGGGGCCAGATCTAGCCCAATCACCTTCTCAATCCAGCCCATGGACGGTCCGGGAATCAGCGTGTTTTTACATGAGTAGAATGTGTCCTTTTATTTAAAATGCATCTCTGGGTTATTTGTGGGGCCTGCCTGGTGTTTTTACATGAGCAGAGTGTGTGTTTTTATTTAAAATGCATCTCTGGGTTATTTGTGGGGCGTAGGAATTCGTTCATTCCGCCCCCCAAGGTCTGAGGGACAGTGGACCGGCCCCCTGCTGAAAAAGTTTGCTGATCCCTGTAAACTGTTATGCTTATATATATCACAATTGTGCATATGGTAGAGGATGAACTACAAGACGATAAGAAATCAACTGAAGGGCAAATAAAAGACAACTAAGGACCTGGTACATTGCAGAAGGGGAAGGATAGGTGTTCACAATTAGCAATGCGGCACTTGCCTGGGATCTGTGGATGATCTCAATATCATGAAAACAGTTGTTCACCTTTAGGCTTATCATCCTAATGATCTGTTGTTTTGACTATTTTCCTACCGTCAAATATAACAAAGACCTGGTTATGTGCCACTTATAAATGCAAATTTACTATTATGTTCTGCTTCTTCGTGCTTAGAATCCTGAATCCTGGGGCAGCCTCCCCCAACCTGGTGCCCTCCAGATGTTGTGGGACTACATGTCCCATCTTCGGGGCTGCCCAAGACCTTTTGGTGCCCCCCATCCCAGCTAGGGAAGAAGGGGTGAGTTAAGATCTACATCAGGAATGGGGGGGGGGGAATAAAGATCTACATCAGAATCTGCTGTCCTGTGGATCCTGCCCACTGAGGCAGTCACCTCACCCTGCCTCATGAGTCAGCTGGCCCTGCCCATCCTTCTAAACCAATGGCCTTGAGAGCTGTAGACCAAAAGAACTACAGGTTGGGAAATTTATACCTTTCTTCTCAGTCGTGCAGCATTTGTCAGCTCCCCATTGTGGGCTACAGCAATCTTCCCATGCAGAGTTTCCACAACAAATGGTTGACAGTTATCCAAGACAGAGACTCCGGAGGTAGAGTATCTTGTGTGGCCAATTCCAAGATTTGAAATGTATAGCTTCTTCAGACTGTCTTCGCTGAACACATGATTAACCAGACCCATCCCCTGCAAAACAAGAATGGGAAGTGATTACATGCTCTTAAGAGCAGTTTCCAATACTGCCCAGAGTACTTTAGCAAGCTAAAATTAATCTACATGTGCGTGCAAACACAAACAAGTTCCTGTTCCCAAACTTCCAGATTGAAGACAACTCAAAAACTTCAATTGGCCCAAAATGCAGCAGCCAGATGGCTGGCTGAGTTTCCCTTCACATTTCATATAAGCCCTGTTTGAAAACAGCTGCATGGATTGCCAGTTCTTTCCCTGGCCCAATTCGAGATGCTCATGTTAACGTTTAAAGCCCTAAAAAGATTCAGGCCCCAAATGTCTTCAAGACCACCTCCTTTCCTACAGACCCTCTGGGATGCTAAGATCGTAGGAGGCTACCCTCTTAGTTGTTCCACCACCCTCAGAAGCTTAGGGTGTGGCAGTCTAGGAAAACACATTTTCCGTGGTAGCCCCTAAGTTGTGGAACTCCCTTTCCACAGACGTGCATCTAGCACAATACTGGGACGCAGGTGGCGCTGTGCCACTGAGCCTCTTGGGCTTGCTGATCGGAAGGTCGGTAGTTTGAATCTGTGCGACGGTGTGAGCTCTTGTTGCTCTGTCCCAGCTTCTGCCAACCTAGAAGCTCGAAAGCATATCAGTGCAAGTAGATAAATAGGTACCGCTGCAGCAGGAAGGTAAACGGCATTTTCATGCGCTCTGGTTTCCATCACAGTGTTCTGTTGCACCAGAAGCAGTTTAATCATGCTGGCCACATGACCCAGAAAGCTAGCTGTGGACAAACGCCCGCTCCCTTGGCCTGAAAAGCAAGGTGAGCACTGCACCCTATAGTCGCCTTTGACCGGACTTAACAGTCCAGTGGTCATTTACCTTTATCTTTACCTTTACCTGCATCTAGCACCTTCACTATACACAGCTTCCAGCAAATACTGAAGAGGCACCTCTTTTACCCTTGAGAGGTATATGTATTTTAGGACCTGCCTTATTTTTGTAATTTCAAGTTGTTGTAAACAGTTTTAAATACTGTGTAATGTTTTATATTAATATCAATGTTGTGTTTTAAGTGTATGAAAGGCAAGTAATAAACTGTAGTAGTAGTAGTAGTAGTAACAACAACAACAACAAATTTTCATGTAATGATCATTTCGCACTTGGAATAAGTAAATAAAGTTATGCTATTGTGGTGTAGTAGCAATAGTTTTGGTTTGTAAACCACTGCCTGGCCTAGGGCAAATCACTGTCTATCTGAACTGACTGTCAAACCACTTGGCTTCACGCTAGGATCTCCAGCATAAGGGGCTGGGGCTGGGGCTGGGGCATTGACCTCATATTCAATCGCTGTGTCCTTAACAGCAGCTTGATCTGCAGGAAATAAATAGCTGAAGATTTTTAAGGCAGGGACAAAATAGAACTGAGAAAGTTGGCAACCCTACTTTATCCATCACATCTTCCCTGCATTATCACTGAGCACAGATACTGTATAATATAATTTGGCTAGACTGCATTTCCTTTTAAAGGTTTAGTGACTCCATACACATGGTACTCTTGCCAAAAAAAATAAAAAATGGGTACATGTGATGATGTATACCTTTTGCTCACTTTCCCTGCTCCTCTTTCAGGAAAACTGTTGTGTCTGAAGTAGCATGTTGTGCTGCTATACACAATTTATAACTTAGATACTAGAAACTTATGTTCAAAACCTTGTTCAGCTATGCAGCTTCTGCAAGGTTTACCTCAGGTATATATGCAGTGAATGGTTTTTCAGCTTCTCAGCATTATTTTTAACATCTCAGAGTCTTAAACGGAAAGTTTCTACATGCAAAAGCCACACCTTCTCTTAACTATATAAACAGTAAACAAGCTTCCCAGTTTACCTTGTGTAGTTTGAATGAATGGGCTGACTCGCCATCACTTGTCACAATCCCAGCACTCTCTTGGCCTCTAGGAGAAAAGCAAAAGCAGATGATGGCACCAAAATGGCATTTATATATTCACATTATCCAAGTGTGGATTTGTATGTAGCAAAAGCAGCACCATCCATACACAATATGGAAGTATCAAAATGCCTAGAGAACATATTTGTATGCAAACAGATAACCTTAAAGGGGGGGGGGAGAATCCTATGGCAAGAGAAACCCCATCCTCCTGAATTTCACCTTCCCTCATCAACCACCAAATCCAGGTACAAGGCTCTGGTTCCAGAAAGGAAGTACAGTATTGGGGTGGAGACACAAAGAAACACAAAACCTTACAAACAAGTTCAGTGTGATAGCGGATACGTAATATGCTTTTGTTTTGTTTTTTAATTTGTATTTGTTTCTGCTGACACTAATACACTTTCCTGTCTATATTGCACTGCAGTGTATTGTGCTTTTCTAAGGATGAAGAAGTGTGGTGGCATTTCTAAAAAGGAATTGCAGGGCTGTGAACATAGGCGTAGCCAGGAGTTTTGTTAGGCAGGGTAGGCCTTTTGTTGGGGGGGAGGCGCAGAACCTCAGTTAGATATGTATTTTTGTTTATTTTTATTGATGGGGGGGGACAGCTGCCCCTCCTGGCTATGCCCATGGCTGTGAAGGTTTTACTTCCCAAGGTGTACCCACATTTGTAGTCCTAGTCTTCCCTTCTGGGAAGGTTCTGCAGGATTTTGAGACAACAAGAATACCCTGCCAAACCTGTTTGCCAGATGTGAGAGCGGAACATACCATAGTGGTCCCTCATTTTAGACAGCCCTTGGACTCTCAAAAAAAGTAAAGTAAAAATCTTCTCTCTTCAAACTGTAGCTCAGTGATGGGGAACCTGTGGCCCTCCAGATGTTACACGACTATAGTAGGGTTGCCATACGCCTGAAAATTTCCCAGACATATTCTGAACACTGCAGTCGGCAGTGGCGTCTGGGCAGAAAATCTGCAAAATATCCAGTAAAATCTGTACACATGGCAGCCCATGTTGGCAATGCTGTTTTTTGCCAATTATCCATAAAATTTCTGTCCAGATTTTCACTGTTTGGAATATGGCAACCCTAGACTATAGCTCCTATCATCCCTGGCCACTGGTCACACTGGCTGCAGCCGGTCGGAACTGGAGCCCAACCAATATCGGGACTCGAGTTTCCCCACCCCTGTTGTAGCTCAGTCAGTTGGTCATTTACCGAGGCCATAAAGGCTGCCAAATCCACCAAACATTGACAGCACCTGGCTTCCATAAAAGAATAGTGGGAACCAAACAGAGGGCCTTCTCGGTAGTGGCACCCGCCCTGTGGAACGCCCTCCCACCAGATGTCAAGGAAACTACCTGTATCTTACTTTTCGAAGACATCTGAAGGCAGCCCTGTTTAGGAAAGTTTTTAATGTTTGGTGTTTTATTGTGTTTTTAATATCATGTTGGAAGGTCCCCAGAGTGGCTGGGGAGGCGTAGCCAGATGGGCGGGGTATAATAAATAAATAAATAAATAAATAAATAAATAAATAAATAAATAATAGCCTACATTCATTGACATTTTCACTGTCTGACAACAAGGCATCCCCTTCTTTACCAGTGCTGACTCAAGATGTTTTGCTCCCTGGAACACGGTCCAAATCCCCCATCCCAGGTAGGGACACCATGTTAAATATTGCAAGAAGGCCATTTAGGCAACAATTCCTGTCCTCATCTATCACCCCACTCTTCAAGGCATAGCCTGAAGCAGGTCACTCTCTTGCTAGACTTATGTACAACCCAACAGGAAATCCTTTCACCCATCACAAACTCACAGTGCCAGGTTTGCAAAAGCACAAAGAATCTTAAGGGGGCATGGAATCCTAAGGCACAGGGCGCCAAGCGAAGGGGGAGCAAAATCGAGACAATTCATAATCGAGAAGATGCATTTTGGGGCGCCAAATTTTGGCCTTGCTCAGGGTGCCAGATTACCAAAGTGTGTCCCTAGAAACCTTTGTGCATTTGCAAGGACATAAAATATACACGTGCCCTTCTCAGGAACAGAAGAGAAGATTTGGAAACAACAAACCATACCATAGCAATATCACCTATAATCAGTATCTGCAACATGCAACTGGTTCTACAGGTATTGAAGCATCTTTTAAATTGCTTGCGTGTGCATGTTGACAATTAAGTGGGAGAAAACAAACTTACTGCAAAATACTGTATCTACATGGAGCAATGCTGACAGGAATGTATAAAAATAAAATGAAGAGCTGTTTAAAGTAGTTTTAATTATATACAACCAACATTTATGGGCTGGATATAGGCATAACCATAGCTAGAGCAGGTCTGTGGAAATTCATGAAACTCAGGTTAGTCATGATCAGCTTAAGTTCCACTGATTTTAATGGGTCAACTCTAAGTGTGACTAAGTCTGAATTCAATACAATATGTATTTTTATTTTGTTATTTTTGAGAAAAACCAAAGCTTTTATTTGGAAAAGAGAAATCTACTTTTCTGGACAATAAAAAAGTCTAATATAGTTTTTCCCGAGACTAATTTGTTCTTATTTTTTTGGTTGCTCATTTTTGTGCATTGTTGGTAAACTCAAATAAATGTCACCCACATGAAATTATTACCAATACAGTGGTACCTCGGATTAAGTACTTAATTCGTTCCGGAGGTCCGTTCTTAACCTGAAACTGTTCTTAACCTGAAGCACCGCTTTAGTTAATGGGGCCTCCTGCTGCTGCTGTGCCGCTGGAGCACGATTTCTGTTCTCATCCTGAAGCAAAGTTCTTAACCCAAGGTACTATTTCTGGGTGAGCAGAGTCTGTAACCTGAAGCGTATGTAACCTGAAGCATATGTAACCCGAGATACCACCGTACCTTTAAATCTTCAAAATATAAACTACAGCCATTCTGTTTGCTACAAATTACAAAATGCCTAAACATGTGGATACAGAATTTACTTAAACTGCTAAATTTGCAGTTAGACTAGATCAATCCACTGTACATATAAACATGCCAAATTGTGAATCACAGGTTTATGGCAGCGATCCTAATATACTTGAACCTACTTTGAAATCAAAGGCACTTACTTGCTAGTAAGTATTACAGCACGAGGGTCCAAAGCTATTGCAATTCAGTCTGAGGCATATATTTAGAGTCTCAATTTTCATTTTAAAGCACTGCGCACAACAAGGGTTAAAGAATGCATTTTGTCAAGCAGAAAACAGCTTATTCTGAGTGCCAATTATTAACATACTTTGTAATCATTTGTGCCTGAGCTGCTTTATTTTCCTGCCTCTAATACGGAACCTGCTTATTTGGCAGTTTCTCAAGTTACTCCCCTCAGGCAGCTTGAGCCAGTAAAACTAGATCCTTTCATCTCTGTGGAGCTTACTGACAACCAGCCGTCTGGTTTCCTAGGAAACAAAATCTTGGCTAGAAATAGTGAATCATTTCCAGGTCACTTTCAACATGGAGAGTGGAGCAGGAAGGCACTGGACTGAGGAGGAGGTTAAAGCCTTGTTAAGCGTCTGGTCAGAAAAAAACATCAGAAAGCAACTCCATGGAACACTAAGGAATAAAGGAATATTTATTTACATTGCTAAAAGGCTACAGGAGCTGGGGATCTGCAGAGACTGGAAACAATGTCGTGCAAAGTATAAAAACCTGAAATATGAATATAGGACAGTTAAATATGCCCACAACTCAGGAGATGCTACAAAGACCATGAAGTTTTTCCACGAATTGGATGCCATATTGCAACATGAACCTGTCACACAGTTAACAGAGGAAGAGAACGGCAGGTGTTCAGCAAATGACATCATAAATGCCACCAGGGAGAACAATGAAGGTAAAAATAATAATAATATGAAAATCGTTTCTGTATTATCTTTACCTGAAATAAATTAAAAGGCTGCTAGGGTTCAGTCCCCACTTTGCACCACAGATGGCACAGTTGGAAGAACAAACTGACTTAATGCACTCTCTCCTTATCTGTGTGTATGTATGTGTGAAAGGGGGGCGGGGAGGGCGGTTCTGCTCACCAGCTTTTCTATAAATACATAAGCCTGATGGTAGTTAAACCAGCTGCTGGAGCTAGCTTAGACTCATGAGGCCTTTGCTGTAAAGGAAAGCAAAAACCTCAGAGCAAGGGCTTCCAAACTTCTATTGCTTTTTTAATTGGGATTTATCTGTCACTGTTCATATAATAACATATACATTTTTTGCAGCTATCTAGCTCATACCAAAGGGAAATAATAATTGTGGAACGAGCTGTGCTATTGTAATAGAATCTAAAATGCTGCAGAGATGCATTTATGCTCAGGTGGAATGAAAACAAAAGGGCCAAGGTCGAAAGACAGATATTTGTAGTGATGGAAAGATGATGTCCCTTTTTGAAGTAGCGGTTAATGAATATTCCTTTGGATAAATATATATAGAGGGGGGGGGGAGTCTCTTTCCTTTTCACAGTGATAATAAAAATAGCTGTAGTCTTCAGAACAGCTCCTCCTATTAACTTGTTCAGCTGTGAATATTTGTGTCATATCTGTCGCTCCTCTGTATGTCCCTTTTGGAGCTTGTAGCTCTAAAAAGCGGCTTAAAACGCTTTAAATAATAGCACTAAGTCATATGCATTGCAAGGCAGCTTAATATTCTATGTTTTCCAGAGGCCTGTATGATGATATGTGATATATTTTGCTTGTCCCTTAAAATCAGAGAATTAAAATTGGAAAGGCCAAACGTTGCAAACACAATCTGCAATATGAAAGTATGTTTATTATATATAAAAAAGGAAATTTGTATGTAGTTGAGAGACTGGAGGTTCTACAGGAGAGGGTTAATGGGCCTCTCCTGTTTAATGCTTAAAGTTGGTCAAACCTGCTGGCCAGGTCTGGCCAGGCACATCCTTTGTTATGTAAATAACAAGAGATACGTTGCCGTGGAAACTAAATAGTTAGACAATTGCTCCTTGAATGTTTGGAATAGGAAAAGATTAAGGGGGGGGCCAGACCTCCCTCCCAACTAATAATCAGATAATTCAGGTGTCTGTGTGAGAAGACTGCAGTTTAGACTGAGAAAGAGACAGATAGCCAGTTTTAGGCATATCGGGGTGTTTTCAGTCTCCTGGAATTCTGATGTCTGAGCAGCAGACTTTAGCTAGGGCATATTTTAAAGCACTATCTTATCTTTTTAAGTCCAATCACTGATAGCAGTAAGGGCCAGAAACGCCCCCCCAAATGCTATGCAACACATATTTAAATTAAATGCAAAAAGGACAAACTCACTACAATGACTATAAAAAACAAATTTTAAATAATCTTACATTTTGCAAGGGGGGGCATGTGTAACGCAAGAATTGCCCACCCCAAAGAAAGCCAACGTCCACTGAAAATACATAAACGACGATAATAAATATGGACAATAAGCATCTGTCCTAGCTAACTCTTATCTTTTTTTTTTTTTGTTCTAGCATGAAATACAGCACCAACATCTTCCTGTTCTGCTTTCACAGGCACATTTTAATCACTGTACGAAACATTATTTTGTGATGATAATGACGAAAACACTGGCCTCCCCGCACTCTAAAAGGATTATGACTATAGATCATATTCACAGAGATTTAATGGAAAATAAATAGGAATTAAATGCTCACCAACTTATTGATATATCCTTTTTATCCAATAATATATAATAACAATAAATAATATTTTCCCACTGACCCTCTAAGAAGCTATGGGCAACTTGCACAACAGTCTTGTTAGGGAGGTTACTCTGAGATATGGTGACTGTTCTAAATCAATTAACCAGCTTGTTGCCTCCCCCATTTTAAGTCCCACAGTCTAGTCAAAATGCAGTGGGTTGTTGTATTCCACATAGCGCTAAGGCTAAGATTCTGTCAACACAGATTTCTCATACAGCACAGGGTGCAAGTGGGGAGGGGAAACAAGGGGAAATTCCTGTCATCTTGGCTTCTGCTACCACAATTTAGTTGAACATGGCCAGTTATCTTTGAAAACCAGCCATCAGGTTGCTTTCTCTTTTAGTCTCTTCATACATTGTAATTTCCTACATGTGGCATGTAGGAAGTGAGCAGCCAAATAAACACGGGGCTGCATTCACACACAACACTGAGCCATAGTTTAATGCTACGTGGATTAGAACATATTGGAACAATTAAATTATTACTTTCATATTTAATAAATTTATTGTAATGCATAAATATTGTGGGGAAAATAGAAGACTAGATCTTTCTTCTAGCTTTTTCATTACTGAAGTACCAGTACATGGGAAGTAAGAGTATCAGTCTTGGCTAACAATGAATTGTGCTGTAGTTTTCATTTCCTTTTAAAACGTGATACAACTTGCTTCGCTTACATGCGTTTCTCGTACCACAGAAATCAATGTCCCGTAACTGCATGCGTATTAAAAAACAAATATTTTTAAAAAGTTAAAAAAAAATGTTTTAGCTGTTCTTATTTTATCTGTAAGCTGTCTTGAGTCCGGGTCAGGGAAAAAGGCAGAGTATAAATAACTATACAATAGCAACAACAACCACTGCTGCTGCTACTAATAGCACCACCACTCCAGATTCAGTCCTATAATCACTTCCCAACATAAAAATGCACAGATTCTAAATAGCCTTTCATTAGATGAAGATTGTATGATCCTGTCCTTTCTTGGCCTACATCATCAAATTGATATGTAGAAAATGCTGGCTTGGATCTAAAACTTGGATAAGTGGATCAGTCACATCTTCCACAAATCCGAGGGGTGGGTTCCCTGGGGTGGGTTTTGGAAGACAGAAGAAGGTGGAAAGGCACCATCTCAGGAGTAAAGTTCTGCTCAAGATTCTTTGGATTATAACCACACTATCTATCTATCTATCTATCTATCTATCTATCTATCTATCTATCTATATCTAATCTATCATCTATCTATCTATCTATATCATCTATCATCTATCTAATCCAGTGTTTCCCAACCTTTTTTGGGCAAAGGCACACTTGTTTCATGAAAAAAATCTTGAGGCACACCACCATTACAGCCCCGTGACGTCAGCGCGCAGCGTCACGCCGGGAGGGACATGAATTGCTAGCAAATTACATAATCACCTCCTTGAGGGCTGGCTCATCTTCTCCGAAGGCAGAACCCCATTAATTAACAGCACAGACTCACACCATAGCCAAGACGAGGGGGGGAAACCTCAGTCATGCACAGTCATGCACATGTGGGGGCTAAATGAGGACGAAGACCGGGCAGAGAGCAGGGTTCAAATCACCCCACCTGGCCAGGACAATCCCTGGGTGCTCCCTTGGGCCACTCGCCTGACCCACCTCGCAGGACTGTTGTTGCGAGGATAACACGGGGAGAACCACGCGCGCCTCCGGGAGCTCCTTGGAGGAGAAAGCGGGCGATGAATGCAATGCACGAAATATATGAGAGGCGACCAGGTTTTGCAGGTGAGGGGCCCCCGCCAGCCTCCGCTTCCAACACCCGGCGCAACGACGCCGAAGTTTTCCCCCGGGCTCGGCTCGGGGAGCAGCGCTGCTCCCCCCGGCTCCCCTTCGCCCTCCCGGCTCTCTCTGCCGCCCACTGGGGACCCCCCTCACCTGCCAAGTCCGGAGCGCCGGTGGAAGTTGCATGCATGCAGGGCGCCGCGTTGCCATTGCATTGCACTGCACTCCATGCAACGCCTGCACGCATGCATTGCCTTGCACGCCCGCCAAGGGGTCTCCCCACGGTCCGATGCGTCCCCTCCGGCGCAGATGCAGCATTGCAAAAATAAAAAACCCCTGACGCAGCCCTACCTGGGGGGCAGCCTCCGCCTCCGCCGCTCCGCCTCCGCGGGGATCCCCGGGCTCCATCCTGCCGCCCGATTTCCGGGGGGCGCAGGCAGGCTGCGCGGGGTCTGCGCGGAAGAGCCCCTGCCCGCCCGGCCGCCGCCGCTGCACTCATTCCATGGCCGGGAGAAGAGCGCTTCAAACAAAACGCCCGGCCCGCCAGGCCACGCTGGGAAACGTAGTTCGCGCACCCCGCGCGGGCCCCAAGGGCGAGGGGACTACGGATCCCGGCAGCCCCTGCGCCGGGGACGGAGGGGGAGAGGCCGGGTGCAGGGATGGAGGGACGGGTGGGCGAGCGAGTGAGTGAGTGGCAGCCGCCAAGCCTTGGCCGAGAGCCAGGAAGGGCCTCCCTGGAGGAGGAGGAGGAGGAGGAGGGAGGCGCAGAGCGGGAGGGAGGGAGGGAACCCCAGGGGTCATCTAGTGACGGCGCCCCAATCGAAAATTTGACTTTAAAAAAAATATATATCTTTCAATTTTTTAATTTTTCCCGCGGCACACCAGGCAACATCTCGCGGCACACTAGTGTGCCGCGGAACAGTGGTTGGGAAACACTGATCTAATCTATCATCTATCTATCTATCATCTATCTATCTATCTATCATCTATCTATCATTATCTAATGACCCTTTATTTCTGCCTCTTCTTCTTTCATTTTTACATTTTAAAATGCTGTGATATGTTAGGGTAAGATTTGCTGTAAATATTATTTGAAATTAATATATTCAAGGTACTATGTTGTGGCTTCAATAGGAAGTTCGCATTAGAAATATCTATAGCAACTCATAATTCATACAACAATATACGGTATTTGATGCCTTTCCTATGTCTAACAATTCTTTTCTCTCTCCCCCCCCCCATCCCAGGTGAAGTTGCAGTTACACTGGAAGAGGAGGAAGATCCTCCTGCAAACCCACTACTTTTTATGTCCCACTGCAGGCCCATTCAACTAGGTAACAAAGGATGGCAAACGAGAGACAGCAAACTCTCTGTTTCTCATACTCGTTCAGAATGGAATATTATTGTATCAGAGGGACAGAACAAATATGTTGGAAAGGCTAGAGCATTTAGGGGTGGTTTCTTATTGCACAGTTTCTGTGGTGTTTGCTTTAACGTCTACATAAAATACAAGAAAACAAAATTATTTTATGCAGCAATTCGGTTCTTGATTGGAAACAAGAACATGGTTGTGTGCATCAAAGGCAGAGGAAGTAGAAACTCAACTCAACATGCAGTTCATGGGCACTGATATAAGGCTATGAAATAAAATTGTCAAACTCTTCTGTTTCATCAGCTGAGATCCAGAGAGGACTATTTGTGAGTGTGAAAGTGCTTCTGTGTGCGCAAGCATAAGGGGTGTGTGTGTCTATTTTTCATTGTTTCAGGGAAAAAACCTCTTAAGAGTGCTGCTGCAAAGGTTTTCTGACTTTTCCAGGGCTCTTCAAGAGCCATCTGGTATAAGGCTTCTGTTGAAGCAGAAGAAGTCAGTCTAGCATGTTTTTGGAACAAACTCTGAGATAGGAATCAGACTATGAATGGTGCTTTCAGGTGCATATCAAACGATAGGAGTAAATTTATTTCTTATGTACTGTGGGTGGTATTCCACTAACAAGTCCTGGTTAGAACAATAATTTCTGCTTGTGCAGTGAGACTTCTCCCCTCCCTCCCCACATATGCCACACACCCACTCCTCAAATCTGTTCCATAGGGTTGGAGGAACCCCTAGAATGGATTTCAGAGGAGAACTTTCCACAGCATATACCCTTCTGCTGCCAGAATGATTGCCTTAGCATTGCACTAAGTTCTACTTAAAATGTTTTGGAAAGATGTTTGCTCGCTATGCATTTGGACATCTCATAAGACATCTTAACCAAATTTTGAATTATGTTCCTGAAGTGAAGGAGCAGGTCTTCACCTATGTTTGGATACAATTGGACATCATTTTGAATTAGGGTAGTGCACGGAATCTTTAAAAATGGTACTGATTTTTACCACTGATTTCAAAGCTGCACTGATCTTTCACACTTTATATTATACACAGTTCTAAAACCATGAGCCCCACAGAAGAATGAGAGCACCACTCATAATCTGGTGCCATCAAACCCTCCAACATTTCCCTGTTGAAAATAGGGACGTCCCATCCCATATTGATAATTTTACTATTTATATCCCACACATCTTATCGGGTTGCCCCAGCACTCGGGGCAGCTTCCAACATATATAAAAACATAATAAAACTTCCCTATACAGGATTACCTTCAGATGGCTTGGGGGTTGGATAACTCCATAGCCGCCAACATTTCTCCAGTGAAAGTAGGGACATCCTAAGGAAATGCGGGACATTCCGGGATCAAATCAGAAACTGGGACGGCTTCCCTAAATCAGGGACATCCCTGGAAAATAGGGACGCTTGGAGGGTCTGCGCCATTATCTCAGATTCTGTTTCTGCAGTCAGTACGGCTTTGCTCTGATAATGTATGTAATGTTGGCTTTTGTTAAATCAGAGAACTTATGTCAGAGTTTTCCAAACTTCGCAGTCCTGCTGTTTTTGGACTACCTTTCCCATCATACCTAACAACTGGCCCTGCTAGCTAGGGATGATGGGAGCTGTAGTCCAACAACAGCTGGACAGCCAAGTTTGGGAAAACCCTGTTATATGCTGAATCAATTTGTTTTCTACCTTGAATTTATTTTTATAACAGTGCCCAGAAATAAAACTCACTGAGCCTTACTCCCAGGTAAGTGGGTATAAGACTGCAGTCTAAATGTGCACAGGAATTAAAAAGCTCACCAAAACCATTTTTTTTCTCTCTCTCTCCTCCCACCCTTTATTTTACCTTATCCTGACCCCATCCCACTCAATGCAGGTAACACATATCTGAGTCTCTCCCCTATTCTGCCTGATGCAGGTAACCCAACCCCAATACTAGATGCGACCAGAAGTCTGCCATACATTCCATCTGTAGCAAATGAAGGAGGAAAACATTGGACTATTAATGAAGTTAGAGCTCTAATACGTGTCTGGTCAGATAAAAGCATCCAGCAACAACTCGAGGGAACGGTGAGAAACAAAAGAATATTTGAACATGTTGCTGCTAGACTCCAAAAATTTGGAATCGACAGGGACTGGAAGCAGTGCAGGACAAAATATAAAAATCTAAAGCATGAATATAAGAGTGTAAAAAATGCCCAATATTCAGGCAACACAAGCAAAAGTATGAAGTTTTTCAGAGAGCTGGATGCTATTCTGGGCCACAGCAATGCAGATAAAACAAGCAGGTCGGATAATGATGACAGCGAGAAGCCTGTAGAATGGGTAGAAACTAAAACAGAAAAGAATTTCAGAGGTAAGAGTTCTAAGCCATCAAAATTAGTTTTATCAGTTTTGCACTAGTAAATATATATACATATGAAAGTTTATATATAAAAGTCTGTTTACAAATGTCTGTTTAATTCAAAGTACAAATAAATTAAAAATAATAATTAAAAGGTCAAAGAAGACAACCAAACAAAACCATAAGTGCAAAATCTAAGAAGGAATGTGAACTGCGATGAGGTTTGCCTTGTGCCATAAAGAGGATATTCCATTACAAAATCTGAATAGAAATACAAAACTACTGTTTATGATAACTCTAAATGTCATAAAGTGCAATGACATGGTGATAAGGTAGAATTTGTACTCTTAAAATGGTCTCTAGTGGATTGTATGGAAACACAGGTATCATTGGGGTGGGGGGTGGAGCCTTGGGCCACTGCTACTAAACTATATTGTGCCCCCATTTCCTCGCCACCCAGTCCTAAGTAACTTGTGGCTCACTGACATGAATGCAGCCAGCCAATTGGTTTTTCTGACAAAAACTCTATGCGTGGAGGATGTTTTAGTGTGTGAAGCACCTGGGAATATTTAAATACCTTTAATTACCTTTTTAAAAATGGAGGTGCCAGCGGTCATTTGCTGGAAACACATTTACAATGTACTGATAAGGCAATGAAAAACACAAGTATTTATAGTATAAATAGTTAGCTATAGTTCTGTGCTTCCTGACCTCCACGTAATACATTTGCAAGAGCATATGATTCAACTGAGGGACAAAACCTTATTTATCAGAATGGCTTGGAGGCCAAAGTAGAGATAAATAGTTATACTTTACGTAGTATTAAGCTGGCAGGGACTAGGAGGGGAACAATAGAAGTTTGTCTAATAGAAAGTCCCATCCCTTGTTATCTTTGCTTCTTTCATTCTTTTCCCCACTCCAGTGTATCTAATTCATTTAAATGTAGGTTGCAAGGACCTTACGGACAAGAGTCCTGGTTTTGTTTAAGTTACTTTGCAGAATTAAGCCGCATGGTTGGTGCTACATAAAATTGGATAACTCACTTTTGATTTTCTGGGGGCCATCTAGAAAATGCCTAAGCATGTTACTATTGTTTTTTTTTTTAATTAAAAAAAACTGTTTCCTTAGAATAACTGCAGTAAGACTCCTTATAATAATTTCACAACCTAATGTCATAACCTGTATCGTTTCACTCAGAATTACATGGAGACACAGGTGCGGAAGATTCTGTTAGTAGTATGTCAGGAGATCTGCAGCTCACAGACACAAGGAAAGTGAAAGACCCAGGTAAACACAGAGATACTGTTTGTGAATCCCTCGATTAAAATACAAGTAAAATATAACTGCAGTAGGATGTCAGCATTTGCATAACTATCTCTTTTTGTGCGTCTAGTGCTCCACAGCGCAGTAGACAGAACTAATTATCTAAATGGAGATTTGGAAGAGCCCATTACCACACATGTGAAGGAAGACATAAAAGAAGAAGTTACTGACTTAGGTGAGCAGCATTCAGTTACAATCTACTAAACAACAACAGAAGGTTAAGTGTGAGGGTGTATGTTAGGTGACAATTTAAAACTGTGAGCCAAGCCCAAGCTTATTCAATGGCCAACAATAAAGGTGGGCAAGGAGGAGACTTGTACAAATCCCATCCAATAGAATCATAGAATTGTAGGGCCGGAAGGGACCACTAGAGGCATCTAGTCCAACCCCTCTGCAATGCAGGAATCTTTTTGCCCAACATGGGGCTTGAACCCACAACCTTGGGAATAAGAGTCTCATTCTTGGCTATCCTGATGGGGATACTTTGTCCATAGCAGAAACAAAGACTTCATGGAGGTCAAGTGAGGAAAAACCTAAAGGGCAATCTTTTGCATGTAAAGGTTGCCTGTAACAATAAGCCAGGTTTGTTGGCTTATCTTGGTTTATTGTTAATGAGCATCGTGCTCATGCATGCAGCCTGATCGCTGAACACTTTGCTCATCCCCTGTGTGAACAAAGCTGAAATTACACATGGCTTGTTAGGCTCTCTGAACCTGGATCCCTGGTTTGGCTCACTAGGCTTAAATCAAGGTTTCCGGATGGCTTACGATCCTGGCTTGTTTGCAACACCAGGATCACCGGCTCAGATGCCAAAACAAGACATGCTTTAAATGTGGCTTCCTTGCATCTCCCACTCATGTCAGGGCAAGGGCAAAGTGAGAGCAACTAGGCTGGCTGCATCTCACACTGCTCAGTCACAGTAAATCATGGTAAGTCAGGCTTTTCATTACCTTTGAATGTGGCCGAAATAATTAGATGTTCTCCTATGGTTCTAAACAGTACAGTACCTTTTAGACAGTCACAGGTTGCCTTATGTATCATGTCCAATTTGAGTTTACATCCCCACTCTCACTCCCCCTTCCCCACACTGTTTATAATTCTGCCCAGGGTAGAGATGTAAAACTCTGAAGCCACCTGGGGAGGGGGGAGGAGATGATGTGTGCGCACACAATCAGAATGCATGCAATAGGCATATCAACCCTAAATTTTATTTACTACTCTTAAGATCATGAATCCTAGCTGGCAATGAGCACTCAATAGAAGGCTACTGTTTATTATGGTTATGAAGTCTATCTCTTTAGTTCGTATTTGACCAATAATTGCCAGTCAGTGCCTGAGCAACACCAAAGATGAGTGAAGAGGCTACAGAAGGCCCTTGAGTGTTTATGTTGGAGAGTACAGTATGTCTCCTGAACCCTCAAAACCTGGTTGCATTTCAAATTTTCCTACAAACACAGCAGATTTCTGAGATACTTCTCCAAAAGAAAAAAAAAGCATAGTTACTACACATAGCTTACTTAAACAGCCTCATGCTGGCACCAGCAGAGGGTGCCAAATTACTTTACCATAACAACCTATAAATCTGTATAGGTTTGTCCCACTCTTCTAATGCAAGAGAAAAAACTATGGGATTGCCTGTTTGCTCTGTATGAAGGAACTTTAACTGATGACAGTAAAACTTGGCTACAATTTCAGAAATCCCATGTTGTCAGTGAGTAGGTAAGAAACCAATTTAAGCAATGCCTTTTAAACACATACCAAATTCAGCAATTATTTATCAAAGGTCTTATTTAGAAAAGGATTTGAGTCATTTCCTTTAGTGAAACGCTATGGCTGCCAGTGATCTTTTCTTGCTCAATGTTTGACAGCATTATCTAACAGCCCGAGACCATGGCTTGGAGTTAGATAACGCAGTCACTGACCCCTCTGCACAGCCTTGGACATTTACCTCTTTGCTGGGTCAGCCTCTGCTGACGTAACTGACAAAATGATCCGTCGCATCCTATCTATCACAAGGGGAGCATCATCAAACAGCCAGAAACCAATTACATTAAAGGTCAGCATTCCACCCACTTCGCTGTGATGAAACGCCCACAGCATAGAGAAAGAGGCAAACAATTTGGAATAACTGCGATTGCGCTGCCAAAATGTCTTCCTTCAATTAATTATCTTATTAGAGAATTCTCAGTGTCATCAGTGCTATCAAAAGATGCAGGAGTATAGCTCTACAATATTGGAAGAATACTGTGTTTTTTCTGATGGTGACTCCAACCTGTTGCAGTCAACATAGGAGCCAACTCCAAGGGGTCTTCGGTTCCCCTCAATAAAATAATTGAGAGGACCACACCCCGAAGTTTATGGGCACTGCCATTCAAATGATGTGTATGTCCTATGTCAGGTGATCAATTTTTTTGTGGGACGGGGCTTACCTGCCCCCTGCCCAATATTTTATTCAAGTTGACACCCCTGGCAGTCAATAAAATGATTTTCACAATTCATTTGGTGGACAGTTTCCCCCCAGAAATGAAAGAGAAGGTATAATAGCACACTGGTCCATTTACTAAATTAATGTAATTCTGGGGACACAACCATTTCGACGATCAGTTTTGCTTAGCACAAAGCTGTGAGCATGAGGCTACTGCATTCCTCACCTGGTCCTCCTGCTGCTACATGGTCATGAGTGAAATCATGATTTGGCTCAGCATGACATGCAAACCAGGCCTTTTTACGCACAACACCTTTGTGCGACAGTGTTAGAAATTAGCCAGGTGCATTTCACGACTGGCGTGGGTTCAATAGCTAACAAGTGGAGATCTCTGGATACCAGGTTGGTGGCAGACATCTCCACCGGGCTGGCTCCTCCAACTTCCTTAAGCAGGGAAGCAGAAGAGCTTATTTATGCCATTTATATCCTACCTTTTTCTCCAAGGAGTATATGGTTCACCCCCCTCCTCAGTTAATCCCTACAACGACTCTATGATGTTAAGATGTTGCGACTGGCCCAAGGTCACTCAGTGAGTTTCATGACTGAGTGGGGATTTGAACCCTGTTCTCCCAGGTCCTAGTCCAACACTCTATCCACTACACTACCCTGGCTTCCTAGAGTACTTCTGCTATGGAGCAGCTATATAAATTAAGCAGGTACATAAATATAGGGAAAGCAATTTGTCACTTAGAGAAGGATCTGAAGTATTCTCCTTGAAGCTTGAATTTTTTTTATTCTGGATTGTTTATTTGATGTTTTAATGTGTTGTAAACGGCTTTGAGGTTGTTGTTTTTTAAAGCAGCATAGAAAATAAATAACGACAGCAACAATAACAACAATAAACATAACTGGGGGGGGTGGCACCTAGACATTCCGTTGTGACAACCGTCACCCAGGTTTAAGGTACCATTTGGCAATTAGCTTATGTATCTGAGTTTCCAACACTTCTTTGCAAGATCCCCATATGTCATCATCACAAAGCCAAATACTCCCCTCCCACCTTGACACCAAACTATTAAGGAAACTGGAAACTCTGTATACACATCCCATACCTATGTGCAGTCCACTACCTGCAGGTGAGACATGAGTGAGAACTGGACAGGCTACATGGGAGACAACCCTAGGTCTTCTGGTCTCCAGTCTGGCACACTGCATGCTGATGCTGAGAGGGTAAATGCGCACTTAGGCCATATTGGGACCCCATCACACACAGGCATTAGTCCCACGTGGAAAGGTTATGTCTAATGTGCTATACAAAAGTACCTAGAAATCTCATATGCTATCTTGGACCCAATAATAATCAGTAAATACATTTCTAAAGTTTACTTTGAATTTGCACAGAAATCCCGGAAGACGACGATTCCATCCACAGTACTCCCGAAGGTACAGAGCTCTCACACATAAAGCAAGAGCCGATTGACGTAGGTAAGTCAACCATTTGCCACGTGAATTTGTAAACTCTTCCATCCTCATTTCAGTACAGAGGTTTAAAAGATAGTTAGCTTTAACCATTTTTATATGTATAACTCAGTGTGCTTCTCATGCAACACTAAACTGTGGTTCAGCGGTATGTGGATGAACCTCAGCAAATCTTCCTTCCTTATCCTTGTTCCAAATTGCCAGGAGGAGGATTTCTGCTGAGTTTTCTTTCAGTTTCAAAAAATATTGGCTTAGCATGATGTGCGAACCAGTAACCCTGGTTTACAGTGGGCCACACCCACTTCAGCCATGTGGGAGCACTGGTCAAGTGCTTTTGTCCCTTGGGACAAAAATGGTGAGCCACTCCTGGCTAAAGGAACAAAGAATGGGCATTCACAAACTCCACACCTATGATCAAGACTACTTCCAAGTCTTAGCTCTCTGTGACAATTCTGTTCATGACCTCAGGGAACTCCTGAAGTGAACTTCCATGGGAAATCAAGACTGAGAGACCTTAAATATGTTCATGCAAGACACCTTAATCTTCAACCCCAAGCACACTTACTAAAGGAGTCAGAAGTACCTCAGGTTACAAACTCTTTGGGTTACAAACTTTGGTATCCCAGAAGTGGTACCTCAGGTTGCGAACTTTTCCCCAGGGTGAGAATCACGGCGCGGCGGACAGCGGGAGGCCCCATTAGTGAAAGCGCGCCTCAGGTTAAGAACGGATTTGGGTTAAGAATGGACCTCCGGAACAAATTAAGTTCGTAACCCGAGGTACCACTGTACAGTTACGTGCTGGGCCTCCGCGCACATAGGCGAAAACCGCTTAAGTGGAGAACCAGAGTTGAAGCTCTGGGACCAGCTGGAGGTCACATGAGCAGTGGTGGTTGTGCTACCCCGAGCTTCAACTGCTAGGTAGAGAGGCTGAGTAGCTCTCAGGGCTCTTTGGGGATTCTTCTGCCTTCACTGAAATCCTCTTTGGGCTCTGGGGAGGGTCTCTTAGTGAGCCACAAGGACTTTCCAGCTCTCTCCCATTTCCTGGTACTTATTTATTTATTGGCACCGCAGGTATATGCGGTCACAAACGAGTCAATTGCACATGAATGGGAGGACGCCTGTACATGCCATCAACTTTACTTCCACACAAACATGCACAGAAATGCATGCTGGATTAGGGATCTACAATACGGCATTCTGCTATCTATACTTATTGTCTCTCGACCCCTTAAATCCAGGAACTGATGTAGGGTGAAAGGACCGTAAAGACAAATTTGGTGTTTTTAGGGACAACCAATAAGCAATGTGTACAGATCACATAAATGCTATGGTGAAATACCACATTAAAATAGCTCAGCGAAGGAAACATTGGACTCAATGCAGCCTTGCTTCCATAGAGGAAACACAACATCTGTGCAAGTTGAAAGACAGAATCACATCACATGAGTGCAATGAAATATTCCACACAGTAGTAATGCAAATGATAAAGTATCATGTGAACTGATTCCCTTTCTGCAAAATGCCTGCTCTGTTTTGGACATGTACACTCCATTTGAGGAAATTAGCTGCATGAAATCAGCAGCACACAAATTCCTTTGCCCAAAGAAAGCATAAGTAGTAGTTCAAAAAAAGGGTCACTACTGAGTACTTCAGAACAAGCCAAGCATCCCCCCCCCACCCGGTTCTGGGCTCTAAAACTGAAGGCTAAACAAAATTTTACAAAGCAAACATGGGGCCCAGACCTGTACTTCATTCATAGTGCAAACATGTAGGCTGGGCCGAAGGATTTGCAAAGGAGAGTCAGCAGGCTTCACCAATTCTTTTCTGCAAATGCCTTCCCCTGGTGCAGTCTGTCATACCTCCCACCAGCTTGGTCTTGAAACCAAAAGCATTTCATGGAGAAAGCCTTCCCTAAGGTGGGAAATATTTTAAGCTCTTTCTCTTTGCAGTCCTCCCCTATAAGTGGCCCACAATTGCATCTACAATTATTTTCAGGAAAGGGGTGGTCAGGACCATATATTTGCCAACATGATCTCTAATGGTCTTGACTTGGAGAGCGTGGTATGAAGGCGCATTATGCAGCAAGGCCTGGGAACTGCAAGTGCGGGGAAATAAGTGCCACTTCTACTGTGCCATATGAAGAGAGCGTGGAGCAAAATCTGTGAGAGGACCGAGATATTTGGAACTCACATATCTCTCCACACAGGCAAGAGCCCCAAGCCCCTTCCCACATTACAACAGAGGCCTCTTCTACCCATGCACCAAAATAAAGTGGGAAATGAGGTAGCAGAGATCTGAGGCTCCCAAATAGATGGATCCCTGGTTCTTGAATGCTTCTGTGCTGAGTGGCCACGAGACTAAATTTATACAGGCCCAGATTACACTCAACGCGTAGCGAACAAGCTGTCCGTCACAAGTACAAACTGCTGTTTTAAACACTTCCCAAGCCACTTTAGGAAGGATTATGGAGGACTGTAAAGTTGCATTCATGTCCACCTTACATACACATGGTGCAATCTAGAACAAAATTGAAAGTACTGTCCATGCCTGGGTGATTATATGAACAAATCCATAATAATAATAAGAATAATAATTTTATTATTATTGTTGTTGTTGTTGTTGTTGTTGTTGTTGTTGTTGTTGTTATTATTTATTTCTACCCCACCCATCTGGCTGGGTTTCCCCAGCCACTCTGGGCGGCTTCCAACAGGTGATTAAAAATACATTAAAACATCAGTCATTAAAAACTTTCCTAAACAGGGCTGCCTTCAGATGTCATCTAAATGTCATATACTGTGGTACCTCAGGTTACATATGCTTCAGGTTACATACGCTTCAGGTTACAGACTCCGCTAACCCTGAAATAGTACCTTGGGTTAAGAACTTTGCTTCAGGATGAGAACAGAAATCGTGCTCTGGCTGCGCGGCAGCAGGAGGCGGCCCCATTAGCTAAAGTGGTGCTTCAGGTTAAGAACAGTTTCAGGTTAAGAACGGACCTCCGGAACGAATTAAGTACTTAACCCGAGGTACCACTGTAGTTGTTTATTTCTTTGACATCTGATGGGAGGGCGTTCCACAGAGCGGGCGCCACTACCGAGAAGGCCTTCTGCCTGGTTCCCTGTAACTTTGTTTCTCCCTGTAACGTCTAACTTGTGACTATTTCTGTGCATGCCTTCCTCTGTCCTGATTTCAGAAGTTGTGAAGCAGTATAACTGAAGCTGCATATATCATATGCCAAAAGCATCTGAATTTGGTTATGCAATCTAAAAGGCTTATGTAAATGTTACACAATTTACATGTTTTGTCCCAAATTGCAACGTTTGCATTTGAAATTCTGGCAAGTAGCGGAAGGGGAAACATATTAATATTAAAAACAGCAACACACACTCTAAACAACCCCCCCAACCCCAACCCCAGTCCATTGAGCAGCCTCAGCTTTTGTGACTGGAGTCAGTCAGGGCCCTGCCCTGCCCTCCCAGGCCAGGTGCTGATAAGGCCTGCAAGGCAGGGAGCAGGTCTTCCAGGACTCACAGCCAATATTGTTTTGTTTGGGATAGTTTTAACAGGGAAACAATATTTTAATTTACTTTATACATTAACAGTGTCATTTCAGCTCATGAAAGGAACCCCCCAGTTGTTTCCACAGTTCCTGTGTACTTGGGAGTAGACGAAAATAAGATGTTTCTATTCAGACAGATTAATGTGAACTCAGATGTGAGTTGAATGAAAAGTGGGTTTTCTCGCCTTCCCCCAAATACTGGTGTGTTGTTGTTTTTATATTCAGCTACTCTGAGCAGTAGAAGCTTCAAACAAAAAGTCATCAAGACACCATTCAGAGGCTTTTCGAATGTTTTAGCCAAGGCAACTAATTGGACTCTGGTGCTTTGAAGTATCCTACACTTGAGTAGCTCAACTTGAAAGACAGATTTCTCCTCCTAAGGGACAAACCATACATCATGTGCCAGAAACCCTTTTGGGCATCTATACTGAAATCAAGCATACACTGTACCATACCAAGAGCATAATAACAGAGCTTGTTATAATCAGATCAGAAATGTAGGCGAATTTGGAAAATAATGACCCTCTAAAAGGGTAAGACAAGGTATCTGTTTAAGGCTGCAGATCTCTGTACACTGAACGGAGAGCAAATCCAGTTGAATCCAGTAGGAGTTGTTTCCCAGTAAGCATGCATAGATTGGATTGGGCTGCACAAAACTCTTAGGTGAGATTCAGACCAGATTAGTAATGGTAATACTTTGTGATTTTTAAGAAAGCAGCTGTTTACCAAATGAAATATGAAATTTTGTTACAAGACAACAAAGCCACATGGGCAGGGTGGTATTATTATTATTATTATTATTATTATTATTATTATTATTATTATTAAATATTACAAGTGAAAGGGATGCAAAGGAAGAGTGAAGGCTGCCATGGAGCTACAAATTAAGCCTGACCATGACAGTCCAGGCTACAGCTCCACTCACACACAACTGTTGTGGACATTATTTGCGGCTCTGCCCAGTTATAGGAACCTCACTGGCTTTTTGCAATGCAGCCTTTTGTAGGATGCCAGGCCTACAGCTGGGCCACTTGGCAGCCCTCTGTCTAGCTTATGATGCTATTTGCCAAAGGCTGCAAGGTGGATAAATTATTTTTGAAATAACAGATTGTGCCTACATACAATAGTACCTACAAACTTTGCATGTTCAGGTCAACATTTTGAAAAGAAGGTGGGGGAAGTTATGGAGAGAATTGAAAGGAGGCAGGCTTACCATTCCTGTCTTTTTCTGAAACCGCTCATCCTGCTCAAGAATATTAATGTAGACGTGTGGGAAACACAGCTTCAAATTTTATTTTGATTATTGCTGTTTTAACTGCAATTCTAGATGCAGATTGATGAGAAAGGCCCAATAACAGAAACTATGCTTCGTTTTTAAATTTTTTTTTGTCTTTTTAAAAATAGATGATGATTCTATCAGTACAACCTCAGAGGATGCACCTGGGTTTTCAATGTGTAAACAGATTACAGGGGCAGGTAAGGGACTGGTCTGTTGCTTTGGGTTGAGGGGCAGCGGGAGGAAGAGGCTGTCAAGACCCTCCTTCATGGATTCTGGTCCCTAGTCTTATGCCTCTGCACATTCCTAGTTCTCAGTATTGTGCATTCGTAACAAACAAAATTGTTGCAACATTCAGTGTTAGCATGCATGTTTCCCAATGCAGAACCTGAATTTTTTTCAAATAGGATTCTAGATTCCTGGGCAGTTTATAATTCTGTTGCTGCCCTGAAGCACACTCAACTCTAGTCGTTATCATGATTAGGGAATATCTATAAAGTCACATTTGATTCCATCCCCCCATTACATTATATTACATGTCTGAAGGAGGTTTCTGAGACACGAAGACCACAGTTCTAGACACACTTCCCTGAGACTTAAGTCTCGCTCAGCTTAACAAAGCTGAATTGCTGCTGAATAACTGGAAAGTTACAATACTTAACACACATGTGGAGAGTAAACCCCACTGAACAAAGTGAGATTTACTTTTGAGTAAACATGGCTAGGGTTGTATTGGCAGCCTTGGATAAAAGCTCTGATTCTTTTGGGGTTCCCTACCCCTACAAAGTAGAGTACGTCCATGAGCAAGAGAAGTGGTACTTATAGCTGTGTCTGCACGTCCTCTTAATTCTTCCCAGTTTCTCCTGTGTGAACCAGCTCTAAGGAACTATGTTAAGGCGGATGCTCAGATTCTGAAAATCTGGCCATATGCTATGGTTAGACAATTGGTTCACCACCAAAATGCACTCCAGTCTTCTATGCCCCTCTCACATATGGATAGCCAAAGTCAGAAGCACCCTGTTCAATACAGAAAGATTTCTGTGCCAAAGTAATACAGTATGCCAAACAAGATGCAATATTCTACAGCACACTCAGAAAGCAAGTTTACTCTTCCCGTTTGGATCTTTCCCGTGTTGATACACGGTGGATCTAATTCAGAACATTTTCTGTTACCTTTAAAATGTTTCCCAAATGTGGGTCTCCAGCTGTTTTTGGACTCCAACTCCCATCATCCCAAGCTAGCAAGACAAGTGGTCAGGGATGATGGGAACTGTAGTTCAAAAACAGCTGGAGCCCCAAGTTTGGGAAACACTGCTTTAAAACAAGGGTAGAGAACCTGTGGCTCTCTAAATGCAGTTGGACTCCAACTCCCATCAGCCCCAATGGTTAGGGATAATGGGAGCTGTAGTCCAATATCTGAAGGACCACAGGTACTTCACCTCTGCTTTAAAAAGGAAAAATAAAGTTGTGGTTGTTTTAGTTTCTGAATATTAATCTATTATCGGTTCTTTGTTTTATTTTGAACTTTCAGACCATCAAATGTCCTTAAACGAAGCACAGAATCACTTTAGAGTTATTACGATTAACGACACAGGAGCAGGAAAGCACTGGTGTGACAATGAAGTCAAAGCTCTGATAAATATTTGGTCCGATGAGGAGATACAGCAAATGCTTGAAGGAGCAACAAGGAATAAAGAAATATTTGAGGAGATTGCCAGAAGGCTAATGAAGGTTGGAATAGACAGAGACTGGAAGCAGTGCCGCACAAAGTACAAAAACTTAAAATATGAGTATCGTGCGTTGCAGAAAGAAAACGACCAGGTTGGCAATGCAAGAAAGAGGATGAGGTTTTATGATGAAATCGACTGCATTTTGAGAAGCCAGCCCTCAGGTAAGCATATCTGCAGAACTGATAAAACTAATTTTAGGTGAAGACACCGAGGACATAACTAACTAAAGCAGCAATGTGTAAAAGTTCGTTTGAATATTATATGCCTCATACAAGTTAATATTACAGGAAGGTGACAGCAAGTTGTAGTTCAATGACCAATACAGAAGAATGAGAGCATGGTTATACAGCCTACAAACAGACCATTAATCATTTTACTAAGCAGCTGGCAGAGGAAGAGTAGATCAGAGGGACAGGCTTCCCTTTCTCCACACCCAGCATGGAAACCAAATGGAATTGGGAAAGAGAAATGCAGATATCTGTTCTTTCTCAATCAACCCACTCATGGAATGGAATTACTTATTGCCTGTAGCTACCAGATAAGCTGGTAAATACAAGGCTGAATTAATCTTGCTCACCACTTTACTCAGATCTTGGGTTAAGCTGGAAGTCTGATTAGCACTAACTCCAGTGCCTGGGTTCGCTGTGATTACATCATCCAGGGGTATTGTGTCTGTCTGAACCAGCCCATTCTTTGTAAGAATAAAGTTACAAAGAAGTGAAGCTGGAGTTTAGGCATGTGGTAGTGGTTCAGCATTAGCAGACTGGTGCACAAAGTGAGAGACCCACCTTCCCTACTCCAGGTTTTCTGCATAGATGGAAAAGATTCAGGCCCTCAAGTTCACTGGCATATTAAGAAAAAACTTGTGGAAAGAGAGACCCACCTCACTTTACACTGAGAATCTGTCTGGTTACTTTTTGAACTTGGACCAACAGTATTACATATAAATAAGAGTGGTATTCATTTTGCCACTATACTGATAAAAACTGATGTCCCAGCCTGCTTCTTCCTTAGGGCTTCAAGTTGTCTTCTTCAAGCTAACACTTTAGCTATGTATTTATTATTAGGCTCCATCTTTCTTAACATTTTGTCACAGAACACTTCTTTTCTTTTTAAAGAGACAGCTGCAGAAGTTACCACAGACACAGCCCCACTGAGTGTCAAAAGAAAAGCCTCTCAAGATGGTAAGAATTTATTTGCATTGTTACACTATTTTGAAGGGTAGATTGATGACACAAATCCACAAGAGAATAGATCTCTAATGCGTTCATTTTCATCTGTGTCAAGTGCTTTGTGCACACTAAACCTGAAGAGAACAAACATCTGGATAGGAAACAAGGATAGATAAAGAAATCTGCCTTTTGTGTGTACAGGTTGCAAGGGATGCTATTGTGCATGCAGGTAAGCTGCCTGACAAACATAGCTATGGATTCATGAGGCTGAATTGTAATCACATGCAACCCAATCCAAACCAGCCCACATCATTCAAGCAGAATACAAAAGATGGTGCGCATGCTCCTCTGCCTTCCACAGCAGATGTAAATACTTATCTTCATATGCTGTCTAGAGCCACTGTATACTCTGGTTCATGCCCAAGAAAGTGCCAGGATTGCACACTCCCACACTCCCTCTTCCTCACCTTACACAGCCGGGTCCATAATGTTAAGACATGATTCTTAGCAGAAATCTACCTCTTTGCTGCATTGGGTGTAATGTGTGAGCCCAGTACTTTGCTTGGACTCATTGGCACTCATGCACATAGCATGAAAAACCATGATTTAGCATTACAGTGGTATGTCGGGTTAAGTACTTAATTCGTTCCGGAGGTCCGTTCTTGACCTGAAACTGTTCTTAACCTGAAGCACCACTTTATCTAATGGGGCCTCCTGTTGCCGCTGTGCCGCCACCGCACAATTTCTGTTCTCATCCTGAAGCAAAGTTCTTAACCCGAGGTAATATTTCTGGGTTAGTGGAGTGTGTAACCTGAAGCGTATGTAACCCGAGGTACCACTATACATGCAAACGCAGCCATGAAGCTATATAAGCAGCAGTGATTTACATCAATGATGCAACTAACTTAACAAGCAAGCTCAAAAAGACAACGGCATACCAACAAAAAATCCCAAAGTTTGCAGAAGTACAAAATATATATTTATTTTTAAAAAAGAAAAAACATAACCCCAACATAACCCAAGGAGAACTGAGCATGTTCATGGCCACAGATTTCTGGCCAGTGGAGGGAAGAAACAGATAACTAGGGAGAAGGGGAATGGAAGGGCTATGGCTGGAGGGCACTTTGTACATGAGCAGTCCACATGGCAACCTTTCATTGGAGAGCCCACTCACAAAAGTATCCCATGTACCTACCTCTATGAGCTCCTTTGAGGAATGGCAGGATACAATCGTGATAAATAAATGTTACTGTTCACCCTCTAGCAAGTTTAACAAATACATCATTCCATTGGTTCTCATGACTTGCCTATTGACGCATGCTAGATTCAAATGAGTTAATCTCTTCAATTCAAATTGTCACTAATCTCTTAAATTGCTTTTCCCCCTTTTCTAGACCCCTCACCCATTCAGTTTAAGAAAAGTGTTTCTGATAACTTAACAATCCAGTCGCAAGGTGTGTCTGACAGCATGCATACTGTAATCAAGAGCCGAAGGATGCTTCTAGAGAGATTTTACAAGCAGGAAGAAATGCAAGATACCAGCAGAACACAGATGAATAGCAGCGTCCCTGCAGTGAAACAGGTTGGTTTAATCCCCCCCCCCCAAGATAAACATGTTTGTTAAAAAAAAAGTTGCAAACCTCTCTAAGCAGTTTACTAGAAATATTAGCGTTGCAAATAGCAAACAGTTGAAAACAAGAAAAACATTTAAAGAACATGCCAAAAAGAATGCAGTGAAGCTATCTCTCTGATGTCAATAGCCAGGGAGCAGCGAATATAGGTGCTACTACACTAAAAGAATGATTTCTAATAATAATAATAATAATAATAATTTATTATTAAGTGTGGAACAAGTATTATTTGGCATTTGTAACAGTGCTGGGTCCACACATCAAAACCATTAAGCGGGCACATATGATGTAAGGCGATCCTGCCAGTCAATTGGTCCCAAGCTGTTAGGGGAATTATATACCAATAGCTGAACTTGGCTCAGGAACAGATTTGCAATGAGTGCAGATCTCTGAAGCAAGGGGAGCCCCACATAGGCTGCATTGCATTCATCAGATCTTTAGGTCACCAATGCTTGAACTGCTGTGGTCAAGTTCTCCTGACCCAGGAACAGTTCCAGCTTTTGCACAGCTGGTAAAAGATGCTTAGAAGTAAAGCGACTCTTAGTTGACAGCAATGAAAAGCTAGTAGCCAATGATCCAAAATCAAACACACACACACCTGCTGCCAGATAAACAGTGAAATTATTGGCCAGATTAACAAACTTAATTGCATAGAAAATTCATAAAAATGAAGAAATCCCTGCTTTCTCCTGTAGTTTTCCCCCAGAGTAGTAAATTGTGCTAGTCTGTTGTTTAAATAAGGAATTAACACAGAATCCTGGCAGAACCTTTCATGGATCAGAAAACACACACAAAAAAGCACATTTGACAAAGCCAGTTCAACTTCACACAGTCACTCGTGCCACAATAGTTTTGTAGTCTTTAAGCTGCCAGTGAACTGTTGGTTTTGCTGTTAATTACACAGGCTATCACAACAAAACTGCTCTGTGCTTTGCATTCCTAAAATTTCAAATACATCAGTTTGTCAGAAGCCCATGCACGTCTAAATTTGTTTCCAGCATCCCACTTTCCATTATATGGTATGAGACTTCATCCTTTAGTAAAATTTCCCATTCTACAGTCATTCAAAGGTCTCAGACTACAGTCTTCTGTAGGTGGTAAAACCGAAAACGCAATTCAAGGGAAGCAAGTTTAAAGTGATGCACATTGGGGCAATCTTTTATTTCACATACCGGTATATGCTCGTGGGGGTCTGAACTGACCAGGAATGAGACCTTGGGGTCATAGGGGACAGCTCTATGAAGATGTCAACCCTATGTGCTGCAGCTTTGAAAAAGGCAAATTCCATGTTAGGGATAATTAGGAAAGTAATTGAAAACTGCTGATATCATGCCATTATACAAATCTATGGTGTGACTGCTTTTGGAATACTCTGTACTGTTCTGGTTTCCTCACTTCTAAACAGATATTGTAGAGTTGGAAAAAGTTCAGAAAAGGACAACGCAAATGATCAAAGGGGTGGAGCGACTCCCCCACAAGGAAATGTTGCAGTGCTTGGGACTTAAAACCTGGACACCACCCTCAATGTCAAAAACGACCCTCTAAAAATCAGGCCAGAGGGAAAAATTGTAGCAATTTCCCCAAGGACCTAAAAAGTTATGTAGGCGAGGTCAGGGGAGGATTTTTATTCTCCAGAAATGAACTGATAAAGCACATTTTCTGAAAGCACGAGAAATCTTATCTTTTGAAATGAAGTAACTCTTTATATACTCTACAACGACAGAAAGCAAAAAGGGCCAAAACATAACCCTCTGAGAATTATTTATATTTTGCAACAGTGGTTAATGCAAACTGTGAGGGCACCGCTTCCCTCCTTTTTCCTTGTAACGAATCTCATGGCTATTCCATTAAAATGTTACCATGCATGCTGCCTGCCAGATGTTCAGATTGGGAGGCAGCCTTGCAAATGTTCTGATTGGGAGTAAGTGGAATGTGTTCAGAAACTCCCATAGTCTGTGGACATCCCATTCTTGCCAAAGTATTTCTCAAAATGGAGTGTCTGTTGGAAAAAAATTAACAAACCCAAAGCTTGTTCCAAAAGGCATGTTGCAGAACAGCCTGGGTCAAGGACTCACATGACGTCTCCCTCCCGCCCCAAACTTTTATTAATTAACATGGATTAAGTGACTGGATCAAGATATTCATAATATTGCTCAGCCTTCTTTCTTTGTTGGACAGCGTAGTTTTGTAACAGGTTTTATAACTAACCAACCCTATCTCGTGTTTGCAAGTAACAAAAAGGCTAGATTTGATAGATCAACAGCTTGTGGTGGTTTTGCATAGCAGATGAAGTATGTATGTTTCAGGAATTGCAACAGACAGCTTTTGTATATGAACACATGAAGCATGAATCCTATAAAGGATGTTATTCGTATTTAGGCTTTAGGGTACCCCCAAGAACTCCTCAAGTATGTTGAGTTGCATCCTAATGTACAGGCAACTCCCTGTTTGCATGGGAGTTGCATTCTGGGTCACCATGCACAATGGTGGACTGTGCATAAGCCCATCCCACCTCTTTTTCTGGCCACTTCCAGGTCAACCATGATGAGCGCATACACAGTCATGCATAAATTGGATGCACATAAATCGGTTACTACCTGTACATGGTTGAGACCTGTGACATTTTTTGTATAAATTGGCCTCAACACAAAACTTTAGAAGGACTTACCCCAAAGAAAACACCGTTAAGATGTGCCCCCACTGAAAAGTTTCTGTTCCCGTTATAAGGTACATGGTGAAGCCAAACACTAATTGTTGTGGGAATGTGTCCTAAGGTTCCTAACATACCAAACCTTGAGTATCATATTATTTCCTAATCAGACACTGTTGTTGGCTGAAAGGCCTATTCACGCACTTCATGAGACTGAAACCTATGCCATCTCATATGGAAAAGTTTCTGGACACTTAAGCAAGCATTATTTTAATGTGCCTTTCTCAAATCAGATGTCTTCAAAGTCCCCTTCCCCGTTTCACTATATTCAGTTTAATCATATGATTTATGGCAGAACCAATGCCATTTTGTGTGAAGCAGCAACATATACAACAGGTAATTTGCAGCATGATTTTAAGAGGTCTTTCTCCAAACTGCACCCTGATTTCATTCAAAAGGGCCAAACTAGATGCAACGGGGCCATTGCCTTTCATTTCTCTGCTCAAGTGACATATGAAGCAAGCAGGTAGTGTTGGGTCTTGCACAGTAAAAGTACCGTGCAAGAGTCCTCCCATCCCGTTTTACCGTAACTCAACCCACCACTCTAGGCTCTTTTCTCTGTTCTTGTCTCACTGTCCAAGTGAGAACCAACCATCAGCAGGGAGGTGAAAAACAGGAGTGGGGGGTGCCCGCCTCCCATACACTCTCTTTACAGATCAGATTGTTAGTGCTGATTCATGTGAATACATCACTGTTGCCAAAAACGAAATGTCTCGATGTCTAAAACTATGCAAACATATTGGCCTGATTATTCATACGTAATACTAAGTCACAGTTTAGTGTTGCAAGCACAATTCTTGGGCTCATGCACTCCCCAGATGCCTCTTCTTGCTTGTAAAGCCTGGAGTGAGCATCGGGGGCTAAGGGCAAGCCCCACTAAAACGATAAGGCCCTTCTGCACCTCTTTGGTGCTTTGCTTTGGACTTGCATCACCATCCTGGTTTGTATTCCTGGACTGTTTATTGAAAATAAGTCAGAATTTCCCAGGTTGGGCTAACAGGGAATTCTGGCTTAATGCAAACCATAGATGAAGTGCTAAAGTAAGGGGATGGGCTGTCTGCTTCAATACTTGTTCTTGGCTTTAAAAATCATGGAACGATCATTGAACGATAATGTTCAAGCCAAGAACTACGGCCAAGGTAATTTATGGTTTAGGAAACTGAAACAAGCCAGGACCATTAACCACTGTTTGAAACTATTTTGTTTTCCTGAACCATGGCTAACGCTAACCAGTTTGTGGTTGGGGAACAGAGCTTAACCACAAGTCCCTGTTTGGATGGTGTGCATGCTAAACTAAACCTTGGCCTAGTGCAAGACAGCAGCAAAGAGGACTGTTGAGCAAAGTGTCTGTGAGCTCCTCTCTAGGAGTCCACATGCTCTTGCTAAATTAAAGCTTGGCTTACTATGTCACACAAACCAAGCTAGTGTTGTTTCTTGTGCAAGTGGTACTAATCTATGATTTGGCGTAATGTGTGAATGCATCCAAGGATACATTACTCTGTCAAGTTGACATATACTCTACTACAGAGGTTTTCGGCCTTTTTGAGTCCACGGCTCCCTTAACCAATTACATTCTTTCTGCAGCACTCCTGTTATGTCACCCCTTGCCAGTAGAGCTGGCAGCCTCTCACCCATTTTCAAACACCCTTCCTTATAGAGTGTTCCCTCAGCCTCCTCTCCTCTCCCCTCTCATTGGGAGTCTTCTGGGCAGCTACTGCTGCTGCCCCTGGTCTCTGAGCTGCCCCCCCTCGCCCCAAAGAGAGGTGCCTCCCAGAGGCACTATTCGCCAGCAGAGCTTATAGCCAGGTCTGCTGCAATAAACAGCTGTGCAAGTCTTGGGGAGGCAGAGATGCAAGAGGGCATTAGAGGAGGAAGGGAAGGAAAGAGGGACAGAGGCCAATGTTGCCCATGGCACCTATCATTCAAGGCACCCCAGGGTGCCACGGCACATTAAATGGTCCACGCACAAGTATGAAGAGATATTAAGGACTGACAAGTCAGTAGAGAGGGGAAAAGGTCAGGCAGCTATGGAAGTGTGAGCTATATGTAGGCGTAAAGGTAAAGGAACCCCTGACCGTTCAGTCACGGACGGCTCTAGGGTTGCGTGCTCATCTCGCTCTATAGGCCGAGGGAGCCGGCGTTTGTCCGCAGACAGCTTCCGGGTCATGTGGCCAGCATGACTAAGCCGCTTCTGGCGAACCAGAGCAGCACACAGAAACACTGTTTACCTTCCCGCCGGAGTGGTACCTATTTATCTACTTGAACTTGATGTGCTTTCGAACTCCTACGTAGGCAGGAGCTGGGACCGAGCAATGGGAGCTCACCCCGTCACAGGGATTCGAACTGCCGACCTTCTGATCGGCAAGCCCTAGGCTCTGTGGTTTAGACCACAGCGCCACCCACGTCCCTCATATGTAGGGGTAGGGCGTATCAATAGAGGGATGCAGCTCACCTCCGGTTTTAGGGTAAAATTAGCGCATACACAAAATGAACTATTATATTGTTCTATTTTTACCGCTGTGGTGTGTGCCATTATTATTTTCAGGGTGTTTGGTCATATTTGGCTAGATGAGACAAGCCAATGTTTAGCGAGTATTTTGATGACAAAGCAAGCCCCAAGCAGAGATGTGCAGCGCAGTCCTATGCACATTTACTCAAAAGTCAAGTCCCGCTGACTTTCCTAGGATCTGCTTCCCAGCAAATGTGCACAAGATTGCAGTATTCAGATGCTCAGAACCTTACGAGCCATTGTCAGATATGGTCAGCGCATTGGAAGTGCAGTGCCTAATTAAATGGGTACTTCTTGATGGAAGAGTTGGAGCTGCTGTTGCCACAGTTTTATGTATCTCTCTTCGCAGCCCTCTAATTTCCCATGAGCAGCAATTGGGCTACAGTCACAACCTGCATTCAAAATTCTATACCACTTTATAAACAGCCATGGTTCTCCCTTCCCCAAGAATTCTAGGACCTGTAGTTTATTAAGGAAGCTAAGAGTTGTTGAGAGACCCCCCCCCAATCCCCTCACAGAGCTACAATTTCCAGAGTTCCCTCAAAAGAGGGGTTGATTGTTAAATTACTCCAGGATTTGTAGCTCTGAGAATCTTAGGGACTGTGGCCTGTTAAGGGTGCGAGGGGGTAAATCTGAGTTTCCAGGCATGTTTGGGGGAGGCAATAGGCTTTAAATGCATGGTGTGTTCACAGCCACAATGATGCATTCTGCATAGTTCCTGCCCTGCATCTATATATGTAAAAACATCATGAGATAAACAAGACTGCTTGTGCTCTAGCATGCATTAGCCAAGAAGGAAATTAAGCTGTTCCAAGTGCTTAGGCGAAACAATAGAGTTTGTGGCAGGATATAATGGGAGTTCACACGGTTCTGAGTATGACAATAATTAGGATCTGGACGATGCCAGCCCTGGTTTTGCAAACCGCTGCAGTTTTAAACTTACCTGCAACTACCGGACTTAAATGTAGGGAACTGCAGCAAAAAGCGAGGGCCGTAGGATGCAATCCTGCATACATTTACAAAGGCAAAACCCAGGGAATCAATTCCACTCAGCACACGCGTGCATGGAGGTGGGACACGGCTGTGCGCTTCTTTACTGCCTCTCGGCGCAGCCCGATCCTAGGAATCCAAAACCCCCAATCCCACCGGTTTAAATGCACTTTCTCCCCAGCAGTTGCATACAGAACTGGCGTGCAGTTGCATGCAACAGTTGCCTTTGTAGGGAGCTTGCCCTAACGGGGTGCATCGAGCCCCCACAACCTGCGCCCAGGCCTTCCAAGCAACCCACCCTTCCCCCGCTTCCCCAGACCGCCTCCCCCCCCCGCAGTGTCCCCTACCTGTGCTGCAGCCCCACTAGCCCCAGCGTGATCACATGGGGCACGTCCAGCTCCGTGGGCCACAGGCCGGAGGCGATGCACCCGAACACGCCGCACTCCTCCCGAATCCCCAGCTCCTCGAATTCCATGGTGCCCGAGCGAACACGTGTTGTTGTCAGCGCAGCTGCTTCTGTTATTGCCGCTGCTGCCTCCTGCCGCCGCCGCCTGGGTTTGAGGGGGGGGCGGAGGAGGAGGAGAAGGAGGCGGCGGCCTCAGAGGCGCGAGTTCCTCTCCGCGCCCACCCCTAGTTGCGCCCGCCTCATTTACATGCATACATTACGAAGGGGCGAAATTCCCCGCCTCGGGGCTGCTCCGCGCGCCCGCGTGGTGGAGTTGGTTTCCCCACCCCAGAGGAGCAGAGCAAGAGAGGTCGCCTTCGGGGCGGGGAGGGGGGGCGCTACTTTGTATCTGCCTTTGGACACAAGTTAGCTCCCGCTCGCTCTTTCTCTCTCTCTCTCCACAAGTTAACTTTGTTTCCCTCTCTCTGCGCGCGCGCGCGCTTCTGAGGGCGAGTTTTGCTCAGTGTAAATGGGTGGCTGAAGTGCTGAGGAGACCACGAAGGGCGGAGGGAGCTGGGCTTTGCGCGCGACGGAAGGGTCCCCCCCTTTTTTTTTGGAAACGGGGTTTGAGGGAATAAAGGGGTGGGGAGGAGACTTCGGTTTTCGCGCGGGGGAAGGGGGCGTCGGCGTGCGCTCGCCTCAGATTGGAGAAACGCTACCAAAGGGTTGTGTGTGTGTTAAAAACATCCCTCCCTCCGTGGGTGGAGGAAAGGGGGCTGGAAGGCAGGATGTAGCCCCGGCGGAGAGTTTTAGGTGGCCCAACCCCTTCCCTTTCCCAATGAGGTGGAAGCATTGGCGGGTTTCTGCAACCGCGCCCCGCCCCCCTTGGCCGCCCCCTTCCGCTGTCCCCCCCCCCTTTCGCAGCCCCAAAAGTGCCTCCGGACTCCGAACGCGCTTCTTTTTCGGGTCGCTTCCCTCTCGCGCTGCGCTTGTCCTCGCGCGTTGCTAACTTGGTTTTGTTCTCTCCTAGGCGTCTCTCCAGGCGGTCTCTGCGATGCCTCCCATACGCTCAGGTGAGTCGCTTCGCCCGCGCCGCCGGAGGGAAAGAGCTGGCGGTAGCAGCGTTCAGCAGTTGCCCCTCGCCAGGGACCTGCCCGCGTAGATTGTAGGGAAATCGTGTCTTCGGTACTCCCCGGCTTTGTTTCAAAAGTTTCTTGCGGGAGGAAACTGGTACACAGCCTTAATGTGCGTTATACCTCTAGGCAGATTCCTTTTTTCATGGAGGACATTTTCTCCTGAGATTCTTTTCTGCGGGCACTGTGCACATCTACTGCTTGAGAAAGGGCAGTTTCAAAAGTTTTATATTGCTTAGTCAGATTTCATTTCAGTTGTGCTTATCTTTTTGTCAAAAGCTCTACTGACGACTAAGGTGAATAATCCAGTGCTCCCCCCACCCCCCAGTTCCTTTGTATAAGAAGCAACACTTGCAATTGTGTTGATTTCACATGCCTCGGATTGTGTTCACAGTCTGTGTGTGCTGGGCAAGCAGATGAAATTTGCCATAAAACAAGGAGTGCATGCAGTTGTTTTGATGCATGCGATCCTCTGCATGCTTTCTGTGCAGGAGGTGCAGGTTAAAATGCCCTTGGGCGTTTTCATAGATATTACTGGAATTTGAGTGTCTGTCTCATGGGACCTGCAACAAAATGTTGCAGTGTGGAGCGCTCATGCCCTGAGTTCCAGCCAGCCAAGTTTTAATGGACTACATAAGGATCCACACGTGATGGATGAAGTTTCTCTTGTACAATATAATTTGGTTTAAGGCAGGCTTCCTCAACCTCGGTCCTCCAGATGTTTTGAGACTACAATTCCCATCATCCCTGACCACTGGTCCTGCTAGCTAGGGATCATGGGAGTTGTAGGCCAAAAACATCTGGAGGGCCGCAGGTTGAGGAAGCCTGGTTTAAGGGATTTATACCACATCCTTCTGAAGGTTCCCAGTGTGGACTAAAAGTTGAAATCGGAATAAAGCTAATGTTAAAGTAGTAGTAAAAAAAGAAGGCATCAGGAATAGAAACAAACAGTAAGAATAAAAGGAATGTACAAATGATTTAAAAAGTATTAAAAACCTGGTAATATAAAAGGCCCCTGGTGCTGAAATTACATCAAAGTAGGCCCTCCCAGGGAGAGCAGTTTATAATGAGGGTTTTATCACCAAGTAGGCCCTTTCCTCTGCAGCCATCCTTTGTATGTCAGACGGCAGGAAAATCTAAAGGGCCTACTCAATATCTAACTTTATTTCCAGAAGCGAGTCTGGAAATAAACTGGGAACCAGTGTAGTTTGCAAACCACACGTACAATGTGGCTGTAACACTCAATAGCAGCTAACACCCTTGCAGCCATATCTTGAACTAATTGCAGTTTCTGGACCATCTTCAGAATTACATCTGATGTTCTGTCAAGATCTTGCTCCAGGGTAGTTTTCATGGTCTCTAATATTTGTCTCTTTTATCATTTTGAATACTGTGTATCCGAAAATGTGAATGCAGCTAGCCTTACAGTGAAAGTTGCATGCATATTAGTTGAACTGGGATCCTTGCCATCCGATTTGCATCTGCTTTTGTGGAGGGACTGAGGTTTACCTCACAGTAAGATCCACTGAATAAAGTGCAAATTACCGTATTCTTTGCTCTATAAGACGTACCAGACCACAAGACACACCTAGTTTTTGGAGGAGGAAAACAAGAAAAAAAGTATTCTGAATCTCAGAAGCCAGAACAGCAAGAGGGATCGCTGCGCAGTGAAAGCAGCAATCCCTCTTGCTGTTCTGGCTTCTGGTATAGCTGCGCAGCCTGCATTCACTCCATAAGACGCACACACATTTCCCCTTACTTTTTAGGAGGGAAAAAGTGAGTCTTATAGAGCAAAAAATACTGTACTTCTGGAAAAAGCAACAACATACAATAGAGTTCCAAGATGAATGGTTGTAAGTTGCTAAGTTTCCTAATTGCATTGCAAAGCTGCTTTCAGAACATAACAATTTAAACTGTATTTTTCCATCCCCCTCCAGAACTTAAACTTGGCAAAAAAATAAATGAGGGGAAAACAAAAGAAGTCTATGAATTGCCAAATCTCCCAGGATGTGTTCTGCTTCAATCGAAAGACCAGATAACGGCCGGAAATGCAGCTAGAAGGGATCTCATGGAAGGGAAGGCCGCAATCTCAAATACAACAACAAGCTGTGTGTTTCAGTTGCTCCAGGAGGCTGGTAGGTGGTGGGAATTATGGAGCTGCATTGGGGAAAACCCACTTACTGGCAAAACAGTTTAAAGCAATAAAACCATAATCAGTCGCTATGAGTTTACATCACTTTGCAACTTATGAATACACTGTCCACCCGGTAATATGGAATCTAGTATGTGTTAAGTACTATTTTGACAACATGGGATGCATTCTCAAGATTGCAACACCAACGTTTCTGGGGGAAATCACCCATGTAAAAATGATAAAGCTACTCATTCCTTACATGTAGGTTACATGGAATGCCTGTGTCCTGCAGTACCACTGATGTCATTTAAAGGCCTTGCTCAGGCAGTAGCCTTTAGCATCTTATTTGTGACCAAATGCGTTTTAAGCAGTTTAAAGCATTCTGCATTGTCTGTTCAAAACGGATGCAACCCAAAATGTATTCCTACTACATTTTGAGTGTTCAAACTACTTCACATACATTAAGTCTTACAAGCGCCATAGAAGGTATCCTGGTATTATCCAAATATTGCTAATGGGGAGATAGCAGAGGCTGAGGGGGAAGTATTTTAAAGCTACCTAGTGGGTTTGTGGCTTGAGGAGAGAGTTGAACCAGGCAGGGACTCCCCAGGTACTACACTTCAGGTGAGACCAAATGCCAGTGCAGTTGAAGATCCACTAGCACAGCGAGGCTTCTCCCATCACCTGGTGTATCCCCCCCATATCTGAAGGGTTGGTGGAGGCTCTGGGGCAGATTTTAGGAGCGAGAAAAGAAACTGAAGATCCCATTGCACAGGAAAATTTCTGTGGCATATGTGAGTGTTATGAGGCTCCTTATGCCTTATCTGTGTGTGTGTGTGTGTGTGTGTGTGTGTGTGTGTGTGTGTGTATTATTCTGAAGAATTAGGGCCATGATTGCAGTCGTGGCCAGTAGCCTGGTGTTACAACCTTTGTACATTAGTTTGTAGGACAAAGAATAGCCCTTGCAAACTATAGGTTATTCAAAAGTGCTAATAAAACTTGCATCATTATATTAGAGTGTGCTTTTCAAACTTGCTTCAGGCCAGTGTGCTGTGAGGAAATGGCGGTATTGAGCAAGCTCTTTGGTTTAAAAATTAACTCGATTAGAGCCCTTTCTCCTGCTTCGAAGTGAACCCCCCTGAACCATCGAAACTTTGCTGGTTTAAACATTGCCTACCTTTTTGGAGGCAAGAACGTCTGTATCTCTTCCAGATCAGTGCTGCAGATTCCCAAGTTGAACTTAATGCTGCACTCCCAGAATATGTGGTGGTGTTCCTTTTGGGAAGAGATTGCTGTGTAAACTATGTCATTTAACCTTTCCCCCCCACTCTTCCTCAAAGAATATAAAAACCTTATAAGAGTTGGTGAACCAGGCCAATGGTCCATCTAGTCTTGCATTCTGTTCTCACAATGGCCAACAAGATGCCTGTGGGAAACTCGCAAGGAGGACATGAGTTTTCTCTCCTCCCCCAGTTTCCACCAACTGATACAGTGGTACCTGAGGTTAAGTACTTAATTTGTTTCGGAGGTCTGTTCTTAACCTGACATGGTTCTTAACCTGAGGTACTACTTTAGCTAATGGGGCCTCCTGCTGCCGCCGTGCCACTGGAGCACGATTTCTGTTCTCATCCTGAAGCAAAGTTCTTAACCTGAGGTACTATTTCTGGGTTAGCGGAGTCTGTAACCTGAAGCGTATGTAACCCGAGGTACCACTGTACTGGCTCTAAAGCTTTATTTACTATACTACCTGCTCCTTCTCAAAGATTCATAATATTCTCCTGCTACCTGGTCCTTGACAGCAACTAACAGGTTTGAGTTCAGAGAGCCATAGTGGTTGCCAAACATCTTGTATTAACTTGCATGGAATGCTGAGACTGAAATCCTATGCATGTGGAAGTAAAGCTCATGGACACAATGGGATGGGCTTCTAAAGCTAATATGTTTGAGCTTGCTGCACTTTAAAACATCCTTGGCTTCGAACCATCCATAACTGTACTCCAGACATTACAGTTGTACCTCAGGTTACATACGCTTCAGGTTACACACTCTGCTAACCCAGAAATAGTGCTTCAGGTTAAGAACTTTGCTTCAGGATGAGAACAGAAATCGTGCTCTGGCGGTGCGGCGGCAGCAGGAGGCCCCATTAGCTAGTGGTGCTTCAGGTTAAGAACAGTTTCAGGTTAAGTACGGACCTCCGGAACGAATTAAGTACTTAACCCGAGGTACCACTGTACAAAGATTAAAGGGGGAAATTAAGTTTTATTTTCCTGCTCCAAGTCGTGTCTCCCCCAGCTGCTATTTGCTTCTTCTATCTATAGTATTTGTCTCCTAACATTGCTTGTTTCTGTATGCTTCGCCCACCAATTTTGTGCAGGTCGAGATTGCTGTGCCAAACTCTTGAAATGTCTTTTCTGCGTTATAGGCGTATAGATTATGTCCCCCCCCCCACCACTCTTGGATTTAGAAGCATGTTTCAGTCATAGGACTAATGTGTTGTTTAATTCCTTTTTCAGGAATTAAAACTGCTTTTGTGAGGAAGCATAGTGACACGGCATTCATCGCTGCTCACTGTGAAATGATTCCAATTGAATGGGTTTGCAGAAGAATTGCTACAGGTTCTTTCCTGAAGAGAAACCCTGGTGTCGAGGAAGGCTACCGCTTTAACCCACCTAAGATTGAGATGTTTTATAAGGTGGGTAATGTAGATATGGCTTGGCTGTAATGGTGGTCATGGGATATCAGACATCAGCTGATTCTGATAGACTTTTGGGAATGACTGAAGTCATTCCACTTCAGTAATACGTTAAAACCGTTTTATGGTAAAATTGGTGGTCCGTGCAGGGTCAGATTTAGGTTTGATGAGGCCCTAAGCTACTGAAGGTAATGGGGCCCTTTATATCATAGAATCATAGAGTTGGAATAGACCACAAGGGCCATTGAGTCCAACCCCCTGCCAAGCAGGAAACACCATCAGAGCACTCCTGACATATGGTTTCAAGCCTCTGCTTAAAGACCTCCAAAGAAGGAGGCTCCACCACACTCCTTGGCAGCAAATTCCACTGTCGAACAGCTCTTACTGTCAGGAAGTTCTTCCTAATGTTTAGGTGGAATCTTCTTTCTTGTAGTTTGGATCCATTGCTCCGTGTCCGCTTCTCTGGAGCAGCAGAAAACAACCTTTCTCCCTCCTCTATATGACATCCTTTTATATATTTGAACATGGATCACCCTTTAACCTCCTCTTCTCCAGGCTAAACCACATATGTCCAGCTGCCCTTTGTCAACAACAAATTGTCACTGTTTTTTGTGTTGAATATATGCTATGTGGTAATTTATGGACCTAATAGGTATTTAAAGCCATTTGTGCATGTTGCCATGCAACCAGTCCATGAAGAATGTAGGCACCCTATATATAGAAATGAGCAAACCAGTGATATTTTAGGGAGCAGGCTAGCAGGCAGGGCCCATTACTCACATCACAGGACCCTACACAACTCAAAACACTGTTGCTATATGTAGGTTTTATTTTATTTGTTTTTTATCTTATATTTTGGAAATGTACATCCAGTTTTTTTCCCCTAACACAGAGATATCAACTTTTTCAAAAGTAGTGGGTCCATGGCTTGGCTTTTGAAAAACAGGGTGGCTACAGTATTTAGCTAATTGGGAACCACTGTGGTAAAACTAAACTTCCCATTATAAGTCTGCCACAGAAACATACTACTTTTGAGAGGAAGAGCAAGATAATGAATAAATATGAATGATGGCTGTGTCTATACTGCTGTCAGAGCCAGAATGATTATTTTGATGGTGGCTTTTCATTGTTAGGTATTGACAGATTAAGGATTTGTTCAAAATAAATTTGTTGATGCATCAAGTAAAAACGATGTACTTGAGTCAATAACACGTTACAGAAATTTCCAGTTCTTCCCCCCACAAAATGATGGTGTGCTTTTTGAACTGGGTGCCTGGTGGAAATGTGAAGCTGTTCTAATTAAAATGCACTGTTTGTTTACCAGGATGATGCAGCCAATGATCCACAGTGGTCTGAAGAGCAACTCATTGAAGTTAAGTTCAAGTTTGCGGGCCTTGAAATTGGACAGACTGAAGTTGACATTATGGCCCAGTCGACTCGAGCCATTTTTGAAATACTTGAGAAAGCATGGCAGCCCCTGAACTGTACTTTAGTGGACATGAAGGTATAATGAAGTGATCTTTTAAAAGCGTGTGTCAATTTGAAAGCAACAATAAATTAGCTAACTTCAACTTTTCCCCACCTTCCTTTGGGATATTATTAGGTTGAGTTTGGTGTGAATGTCGCTACAAAAGAGATTGTTCTTGCTGATGTCATTGATAATGATTCTTGGCGATTGTGGCCATCTGGAGACAGAAAACAACAGAAAGACAAGCAGGTAATTCTATCCTTATGGTTTGTTTGTTTTTTGTTACTTTTACTATTAAGCCAGTATTCTGAGCTCCTATCTTTTGCTCTTTCCCTACTGCTGCAGAAACTCTGTGCTTGCAGTTTCATAGCCTGGATTGCCCTAAGTACAGTGGTACCTTGGTTCTCAAACTTAATCCTTTCCAGAAGTCTGTTCTAAAACCAAAGCGTTCCAAAACCAAGGCATACTTTCCCATAGAAAGTAATGCAAAATGGATTAATCCGTTCCAGACTTTTAAAAACAATGCTTAAAACAGCAATTTAACATCAATTTTACTATCTAACCAGACCGTTGATCCATAAAATGAAAGCAGTAAACAATGTACTGCAGTCACACAATCAGTAGCTGAACTGGGTTCCACGCAGTCACAAAAACAAAAGAGCCGCAAAAACTCAAAATAAATAGCAAAAACAGACAGACCTCAGCATAACACTCAAATCGGAAGAGTAACACTCAAATTGGAAGCGTAACACTGTTACGGAGCACATTCAGCTTCCAAAACCGTTCTCAAGGGAACGCTTACTTCCGGGTTTGCAGTGTTTGGGTTCCAAGTTGTTTGAGTACTAAGGCGTTTGAGAACCAAGGTACCACTGTATAGTGAAGGGACCTACTTATGCTTTGACCTGTATGGCACATTATAAAGAGAGTGCTATGTTCTCAGCATGGGGCCAGAATGTACATAGCCTCCTCCATGGGGGCAGAACTGTGCCACTGAAACTGTGCACTAGACACTTGTCTTCCAAAAGTATTTAAAGGGAGAAAGGAGAGTGAAGGCACCATGAAGCTCTATTCTCACAGTGACTGAAAAACATCTGCTTGGTGTCGTAACAGCTAGCTGGCTTTTTGTGTTTTGGCACCGTCTTTTAAAACTGTTATTCTTGCTCTGTTGAGAAATGTCCTTATTATCTCGGGCACCTGTTACAAGCTGAATAGGATGCTAACCCCAGCCCCAGCTTTTAAATCCACTGAGGTTTTGAATTTCAACTCTTCTTACCTTCGCACAAAGTGGCCCAACTTGTGGGGGTGTGCAGGATTGGCTGCTGGTTGTGGGAGTATAGCTTAAAATAATCATAATGTCATGAATTCCGCACATTCAAATGTAATTTTCATAATTTGTTATTTAAAAAATCCAAATAACCCTCATGTAACTAATAAAATAATGCTATTATCAATCCCATGTGAGTAATTGATTTTTTTAATAGTGAAATAAATATGAAAATAATTTTTAAATGTATGGAATTCATTTGAATGGTTTTCTTAAATTCAAATTTACCAATGATAAATAAAACACATTAGTGTGATTATGTGAAACTGGTTTGTTTATTGGCACCTCAATTGAATTAAGACTCAACTTGGCTTGCCTTCATAGTCGGGTGCTGTAACCAGTGCAATGTATTTTGTTTCCTGTTTCTTTTAGTCTTACCGCGATCTCAAAGAAGTGACTCCTGAAGCACTGCAGATGGTGAAGAGAAACTTTGAATGGGTAGCTGAAAGAGTGGAGGTATTGGCGCTAGCCTTCATGAGACAGATAATTCTCTTTGCCTCTCATGCAAGTACCTAAAATTGTCCTTTGACTTTCCTTTCTGCTAGCTTTTGTTGAAACCACAGAGCCAAGGCAGAGTGGTTGTGCTAATGGGATCCACTTCAGATCTTGCCCACTGCGAAAAAATAAAAAAGGCTTGTGGAAACTTTGGCATTCCTTGTGAATTACGAGTGACCTCTGCTCACAAGGGACCAGATGAGACACTTAGGATCAAAGCTGAATATGAAGGTAAAACTGATTTTATTTAAACCTAGTGATAGTCATTGTTACTTAGCTTAGACCCATTGAAATCAATGGACTTAAATGCACTGATTTAAGTCAAATCTCTTGACTATAACTAACATGGGGGATTATTTCTATTCCTGTAACAAAACAGTTTTCCTGGAAAAAGGAAGGCATGCATAGTATTTGATGCTAGGTATTTTTGTGTCAATTATTAGGTGATGGAATTCCTACAGTGTTTGTAGCAGTAGCTGGAAGAAGCAATGGTCTGGGACCCGTGATGTCTGGAAACACAGCATATCCTGTTGTAAACTGTCCTCCACTCTCGGCCGACTGGGGTGCTCAGGATATATGGTCATCTCTGAGGTTGCCCAGTGGTAAGTTACCTGCCCTTGAAATAAACTGCTGTTTGCAAAGAGGCAGTACATATTTCAAAGTCAAAGCATAGCTATGTCGTTGCTTTGATCAAAACTGTTCACTCCAGACACATTTGTCACTTAATCGGGGCTTAGTTCAAAGTTAATATGCATTTTCTGTAGTGGCTCCGTTTTTAGAATGCTCTCTCCAGGGAAGCCCGCCTGACACCTTCATCACATATCTTTAGGCACCAGAGAAAAACTTCCTCCTTCTCCCAGGCCTGTGGCTAATTAAGCAATCTATGGCCTTTTAATGGGCCTAATAAAAGGTATTGCCCAACTCTAGATTTTAGAGTTTTAGCCATTGCTGTGTATATTCTGCTCAGGCTTTTCCAGTCATGTTAATAAGGCGTATCTGCTTAATTCTGTGTAGTTTACGACTTGTGTTGAATAGTGGTGGAAAGGAGTGGAAAGGAGAGAAAAGGAGGACAGCAAGAGAGCGAGCTTTTTGAAGAGAGAGTCCCAGTGCATTTCCTGAAAACCATACCTAGTCTGAGCAGTTAAGCATTATTTCTGGCACATTTTTAAAATAGAGCTATCAGGGCTCCAAATATCCTTGACAAACAGAAAAGCGGGACTTTCAGAGTCTTCAGATCTGCATTAGACTAGATGCACTGTACAACTCAAAACTTAAGTTAAAATTATACATAATGGCTCTTCAGAGCAGTTTTAGAATTGGACCAGGACAAGTTTGAGTAGTGTTGTACTGCCCTCTAGTGGTTGGAAATCTCTTCCTCCCAAACCCACTTTTCTGAGGTTTGGTTATAACTGAAAAATTCAGGGTTTAGCTTAATTATGGTAACTGCATTTGCCTGCAGTCATATACAGATGGACAGCTGTAAAATCAAAACAAAGGCTATAATTTCCCTTTTTATTTTTAAACAGGTCTTGGCTGTTCCACAATTCTTTCACCCGAAGGTGCTGCCCAGTTTGCTGCTCAGATATTTGGGTTGAATAACCACTTTGTGTGGGCCAAGTTGCGCTCAAGTATGTTGAATACATGGATCTCGCTCAAGCAGGCTGACAAAAAGATGAGAGAATGCAACTTATAAACCGCTTCTGTGTTCTGCCAGCTATCAGAATATGGCATACCATTTCTAACTCAAGAACACACTCACCAGTTCTATCATAAACAGATGAGCCTTCAGGTTCCAAGCACATACGGTTAATCTTTGTGGCTTTCTGAAAGCTGTAGAACTTCACAAACGCTACCAGTATTATGGAGTAGTTTTTACTGATCCATCTCAATAGCTTATTAAACAGAGCTAGTTACCTGTATTGATTTGTAATCCTGATCAGAATGTTAATTCTCAAAGTTTCTATTGAACAGCTAGCAATAACAGCAACTGTCTTAACCTAGATTCTAATTAAGAACTTGTTCAACATGCAACAATGTTGCAGAGGAAAGAAAGGCTAGCCATTATTTCAAGATAGTATTGTGAAATCTGTATTCGGAGGGAAAGTGTTTACCAAATAGGAATAAAAGCAGCTTTCACTAGTGTGGTATTTTTCTTCTTCTTACCAGTACAGTCATGCCTCGGGTTAAAGATGCTTCAGGTTAAATCTTTTCAGGTTGCGTTCCGCAGCAACCCGGAAGTAACGGAATGGGTTACTCCCGGGTTTCGCCACTTGTGCGTGCGCAGACGCTCAAAATGACGTCACGCACATGCACAGAAGCAGCAAATCGCGACCCACGCATGCGGAAACGCGGGTTGCGTTCTGCTCAGGTTGTGAACGGGCCTCCGGAACAGATCTCATTCGCATCCAGAGGTACCACTGTAAATCAAGTAGGAAAGCAGTTGTCAGCTGTTCAGTATCACACCTCTCTCAAGAATCTGCCTGCTGCTAGAGGGTTATGAATACACTGTCCACCTAGCAATGACTTCCTTGGAAAAGAGTGCTTAGAAGAACAAGGGTAGCCAATGTTGAACCCTGCAGATGTTTTCAATAAGGGCTCCCATGAGCTTCTGCCACCCTGGCTACTTATCAGGGATGGCAGCTGCAGCTCACAACATCTGGAATGCACCAGTTTGGCTATGCTTAGCTTAGAAAATATACGCTTATGCATGTTGGGCTTCTGAGGGAAAGAGATGGGCCTTTGGTCAAACAAGGAGATGTTCAGATGCGCCTTTGCTGTCCTACTGACTGTAGGGACCAAGACTTGGCAAACAAGCTAACAAAACCCAGAAGTCAACTGAAAGCCTGAAGGGTGAGGAAGATTGCTTGCAGCTTATACTGTGAACCCCCTTATGTTCCACACCCCTGAACCATCCTTGTCCCTGTGCACAAGCTGAGAGGTACTCTGGAGATGGGGAGGCCATAGGTAGGGAAGACTGAGCTGACAACACCCGAGGTGGCTGTGATGCAGCCTGCAACAGCTCAGGGGAAATAGAACCCAGTAGGGCCTCCCTTGATTTGAAACAGAACAATGGGAGCAAGCTGCAGAGACTATTTGTGCAATTTGCTTGAGCAAATTGAGGAGCAATTTGCTTGAGCAAAGGAGCAGGAGTTACTAAATTCACCAGAAGTCTGAAGAGAGTCAAAATGATGCATGATCTCAGGTCTCATGGTAGCATCCTCTTCCTGTAACAAAACCTAAGACATTTCCTGTCCCCAGTAGGGTGATGGACTTTGAAGTCACTGAAGTCCGTGGGAACAGTGCAGACATAATAGGCCCACCTGGAGGCAGGGTTCACTGTTGACTGGTTTGGTCTGCTCAAACGTCAGGGCTGCCTTGTTTTTAATCTGCTCAGCCTCAACAGAAGAATCATATATCCAGGGCCCTTAAACTTTAAAACATGCTTTTAAAGGCTTGGGTGGCTGCACCTGGGGGATATGGGCAGGAAGTCAAGACTACAGAACAATAGACCCAACAAGGTAAGGCCACATGTCTGATTGGACCTTGTTGGCTACTAAGAGGCAGCTACCATGATCTCTCCGCTCACATGCACGGGGCAGGAGCAACAGAAGAGTGAGCCATGGTGCATGCATCGTAGCAGCTGGCAAGGTGGCATGAGAAGGGCAGTGTTACTTACCTAGTTCCATTTAAACTTCTTTCCCATCGTTAGCTTTGAATTAAAGTATAAGCCACCATGTTGCTCTCTGAAGACAGGGAGCAAAAAACAGCACTGCTGACAGCATGTTCCATGTCACCTACTACTAAATAGCATGTTGGCACCTAGAAATATTTGATGGTAACTCATTCAGTAGCAAAGGACTCAATAAAGAGCAACATTATAGGATGAGAAGTTCAATGCACTCTAAAATGGAGCATACACTCCTGCTCCATCATAAAGGACTTTACCCATTAGGATTGGTGAAAGGATAAAATAATCTCATTCTAGGATACAAAAGGATACAATATAACTGCACGAGATATGAACAAGAAAAAATCTGATCCAGGTACCTGCCTGAGTTCTTCCAACAATAAGCAGAGGCATAACATTATCATGACTCAGCTTGCTGGAATAAGCCCATATTTATCTTTTGATCTCTGCCTGCAACAGTAGGTATGATGCCAAATGGGGTTGTATCAAGAACTGCAATTGTTCTTGGAACCTGCTCACTGCAGATTATCCAGAAAAGTTGATGCCAATCTATTCCATTGCACTTTCAGAGACATGCATTTCCTGAGATTACTGTACTCCCAAGAGATCATTCCATCAACATCAAATGTGTCTTCTGAATGGCACTAAAATAGTTCCAAAACTCCCAGATTGCAGGAAAGCTATGTATGGATGTGGCCTTAATATTTCAGGATAGTGTATCAAAAATATGCCTCAAAACAGTGATATGGGCTCATACAGGAAGAGGTCCTTAATGATTATGAAGTACTAACAACAGAATCCAAAGACTGCTTCATTCCCACCCCAAATATTTTTTTGTATGTTGAGCCAATAAGAGAACATAGCCAAGCTGTAGGGATCAGACACTACTGTGATCCATATATAACAATTCAGGTTTCTGATAACTATCCTTTAGGGCAGAGGTGCTATAAAAAGCCCAACAGAGACAGAAAAAATAATAGTTGTAAGTTAAAAAAAATATATGTTTTAGGTTTATTGAAAATTAAATATTAGCAAAAGCAAGAGTTTTACAAAATGATTTCACATACAAGTCAGACAGTCACAAACTGAAAACTACAAAAGTACCTATTGGCAAGCAGAATGCTAACCTTTGCATTGCTGTGTAATAGCGATATGAATAAGGCATGGAAGTCCTATTTGCACCAAATGTTTTTGAACTTTCAAAAACTAGTTAGACCCTTAACTTTTGTAGCAATGCTTCAGTAGTTCCCAAACTTTCATGAGTTGCCTAGAAGGGTATGGGAGTGAGCTGCAGCTGACTCATGGAGCAAAGAGAAGCAGTCACTGATAGTATTTTCAAATCTGCTCATTTGTCAGAGAAGTTTAGGAATCACTGTTGTATGCTTAGTGCATTAAATCAATTTTTTGTTATGTATTGGAAAGACTAGTGCTCAAAGCAACCACTCCAAAGAGTCATCTAGTAGTCATCTGTATCTAATCCAGTCTTTCACAATGCACAGTTATAGGTAATGTCTTCACAGTTTCAATAACTTCTTGACCAACCTATTTTTCAATTGTTCTTTAACATGGCTCCAAATTCATACAATCATTTTTATTTTGAAAGTATGCAAGAAAGTTAACTTGTGCCATATTTATAGTTAAGACACTCACAAAACAAGTTTTTTATAGCAACATTCAATACTACGTTTTAAATACTTTGTGCAAATAGCAACAGGGTGCTGTATCAGAGGCAAGTTCTGATTTGCAAGATTTTGAATGCATCCTTAATATTGTAAACTTGGACATTTTTAAATCTTGCACTTCCCAATGCTTCATAACTAATCAGTGGAAATACACCACAGGATGATACATTCTCACTTGTTTATAGTGCAAATAAAGTAGAATTTTCCCATAGCTTTTTTCCGGATTTAATTTTTCTGTGTGCAATTTTAGTGGTGCCCTTCAAGTTGAGGGGACCCATGTGAAGAACTGATTAATAAAGGAAGAAAGGAAGCAGTTCTGATACGGTTCTCAGACCAGTACTAAAAGTGCAAATGCTGCAAGAACTCCAGCTGTAGTTACAGCTAGAATAGGGTATTGTTTCAGTTAGATCTGGATAGTCATTTGGACTGGTTTCTAGAGAAATACATCAATATATCTTGAATTTTTATTAGTCGTTCTCTCAAAGATCTCATAGACAGCACAGAAAGCTGGTATCTAGGGTCCACAGGCAGGACAGCTAGAAGCCACCAACACCATGCGGGTCCATTAGCCATTTCCTAAAAATAAGGAACAAAAAATTAGAATGTACTAATGGTAACAAATGGCTTACAACACAGATGTGAAATGAGCAGGTTCTAGAGATCAAAATACATTGTTTCATTTTCCATTGCCATTATCAACTACCAGGTCCTAGGAATTCAAGATTTCCTGATAACGTAAAATGAGGTGGTTTTATTAGCTAGCTTACACAAAACCAACTTTCAGCAGTAATCTCGATCTGAAGTTTTAAATATTGTCTTCTCTGTCTGTGATTGAAAGTGTTTGCCCTAAGGCAGCTGTGTCTTACAGCACAAGATCAAGATGGCAAGTGTATCCCTGCTGTAAATTTCACTACCATTACAGTATAGACAGGTTGACACTATCCATCAGATGTTTTAGTAGAAATGTCTTGGACATCTCAAAGCCGCTAGGCAATGCAAAGCTTCAGTCTGCCTGCGCTGACAGCCACTGTGACAACAGCACTTGTCCATCCCACTAGGGACATGCAGCTTTGTCAGCTGTGTTGCCCATTGCCACAAAAAGTGAACAGCCTCAAAATAGTGTTGAGAAAGATTTATTCCTTAAGTATAAATAGAATAATATTGTAGAAGGAGGAGTTCAAGAACTGGCTTTTTAAAAGCCTGGTTTCATTGTCCGACAAAACCACATATTTAAAATACACACTCGGCTTTTATTAATTGGCACCATCTTGGCTTCTCTCTCTTTTAGCTGCTGTCCATTTTTTCGCCTAATGATTACCACCGCCACATCAGTTACTCTACCAATCTTTCTTCTGCTTCCTTTAGTAACAAAACAACCCATATCATGCCAATAATTGCTAGAGAGATACTGTATGGTGTCTGAATACCTGTATGTTTCCTTCCCTCTCTGGCATTGGACCAAAGTGCTGAAGTATTTGGCTACGAAATTTGTTTCTTAAGCTTTGGAACCAACTGCAAGCTTGGCTATATACAAAATTATGGAGCACTCCAAGTTTCTTCATCTCACCTTCATCTTCAACCTATGAATGAAGAAAGTACAGTATAGTCACAAAACAAAACAATTAAGCTGTGTATGTGTAATGGGATGATGAGCTGCTTGTGCGTAAAATGCAAGTCCCTCAGAGTTTGATCAAGTCCTCAAACCTCTGCCTACGGCGGAGCCCCTCCAGCATGGCTCCGTCAGTCGCTAGCAGAATCCGAAAGTGGTCT